AACCCTAAACCCTAAACCCTAAACCCTAAAACCCTAAAACCCTAAAACCCTAAACCCTAAACCCTAAACCCTAAACCCTAAACCCTAAAACCCTAAACCCTAAACCCTAAACCCTAAACCCTAAACCCTAAACCCTAAACCCTAAACCCTAAACCCTAAACCCTAAAACCCTAAAACCCTAAAACCCTAAAACCCTAAAACCCTAAAACCCTAAAACCCTAAAACCCTAAAACCCTAAAAAGCCCTAAAACCCTAAAACCCTTAAACGCTAAAACCCTAAAACCCTCAAACCCTTGAAAGTGACGTCATGGTCGGAAAATAACGTCATGCAAAAAACCCTAAAACCCTAACTTGGAGATTTCGCGATTTTTGCACGTTTTGAAAGCCCTTAAAAACTACAACCCCCCTTTGCATGTGCTTACGTCATAACCATAACGCCCTTTGCTTACGATCGATTTTTCAAATATTCGAACTTAATGATTTGCTAATCAATTAATATAGTTTCAAAATGAATTTCAAAAATTTTGGCTCGCGGTTGCCGAATTAATTCGTTTCATATCGTATTTAAACCGGCCTACAATTAAGGTGGTAAAGGGGCATGCAGCCGCTCAAGCCGCTAGGTGGGAGTGTTTGAGATTTCGTGTGTGTTTGCTTGGGTTATCGGGTCAAAAAAAGCCGTTGAAGTGGTTACGAAATTTTGTGACGAAATCATGCAAATCTCATGTGCAGTGCACTGCATGCCGCGCCATGCACGGCATATTGCAACGTACTTTAATTTGAATTCAAGTTTTGGGCTTGGTATAAGCAGTGTTTCCCCTGCCGGCCCACTCTCTGGTAAAATGGCCGGCAATGGTCAAATTGGGCCGGCAATGGGGGCCGGCCTCCGGCCCATCCGGCCGGCGTTGCGGGGCACCGGCCGGCCTCTTGGGCCGGCAATGAATGGATCTGTCATCGTATTTAGTGCGCAAAAAGAATAGAATTTGATGACAATCTAACTTCTAAGGTATTGGTCCCTAAAAAAGCTCTCCCCCAGGTACTTCTGGCCAGAAATAGCCTACAAAACAAATCCCTCGGTAGGTGAGGTAGACCGTAGGAAGTTGGTCGATTTTACATACGTTAAAAGCTAGAGACTTATCAAAGACCAAGGAACTGAAGCAGATACTGTAAGAGTTCCAATGTATGGGGTGCGCGCACGAAAATTTCACAAAGGTCGGTGGGACTTGGGCCGGCAATGGCGACCTCGGCCCGGCCCAACGGGCCGGCAAACTCAGGCCCCGGCCGGCCCGGCGGCCAGCAATCAAAACAATTAGGGGAAACACTGGGTATAAGGCTTATTTTCTTGCCATGAGCCGCGACCCTCCATTCGGGGTCCATTCGTCCCCAACAGGGTCCGTCCCCGGAGCATACGTAAGCATGATCGAGAGCTTGCATGCAATCAATTTCCTTAATATATATATATATATGCACATTGCAATGGCCCACAAATGGTGCATGCATGCGGCGAAAATAGGCAGGGTGGGCCAGCTTATTTAGCTTATAAAATAAATGATGTAGCTAAAAGAATTTATCCAGTGCATCATGGCATGTTGTGAATCTGATCGAGTTGTTAAACATGTCGCGGGCCTTGATTCATTCTAATTAGCTTACTAAGCGAATTTGGATATGATAACCTTAGTACATGTCTAGCTCCGCCTATTGTCGGCGCAAACGGGTGCAAACGAATACGGTTGTTTTTTGGGCGCGCGCATGCCATATGATATGCACGAATTTCAAGCCATTGATGCATGCCTAGTTAATGCAGGTACTTGATATACTTGAAGTTGATCGAGAGATCGAAGATTCGTGGTACGTAATTTGTTAATAGTCGATCGCAGTATGTTTCGACATGTGTTGCGGCCCGCGCGTGCGAACGCACTAGACGACTCAACTACTGAGCTAGCTCAGATGCACCGGCGTCGGATGTTATCTGTTAGCAGTCTGCCAATGAATTGTAATATAGACTCCGACCGTCCGTCTCTGAGAGCATGCTAAGCCAGGCTTGCATGAGATATTGGAACAACCGTCACCGCTTTGTAGCGCGCCTGTATCATGCGCATATCATGGCATGTGCATGACTTGAGCATACTATGCATGCCACCACTACATGCTCAGGCTAGCAGCTCCTTTCAACTTCGCCTCGGCCAACTGAAGTGTATATTGACTAGTCGACAATCTATATAAATAAAGTGGTAGCCCACTACTCAGGGGGTCGCCGGCAGAATAGGCGGATCTTTGACCAGTCCAAACCCAGATCTTGGGTTTGCTTACGTCCGGATTTTAATCGTCCATTGACGCACCAGTCTAGGTGCTTTGGCACTTGATTCTTGGCATTTAGTTGGTTTGGCCAACGAATTGCTTTGTATATCGATATTGTTATTGTTATTGTTATTGTTATTGTTATTGTTATTGTTATTGTCTTAACTACCTAGTTAGTATAGCATGCATACCGGCGTGCTATGTAGGGCCGTCCCAAGTGTGACCGAAGCCGGCTGGGTGGATGTACACCTCTACGATATATTTGCCAAAACAGTGCCACGAGTGCTCTATGGTTCGCTCGTAGAGTGTTTACCACTTGAAGGTAGCGTAAGTAACTTAAGTAAGAGTCACGTGCTGCTTGCAGGACTATGTACTTTCTGTGGACGGCTGGGTTTTCAGTCCCGACCGTGCCTTCTTATTGTATTTCATGAGGGTACACGTGCTGGCGCTCTTTCGCTTCTTAGTAATTATCTGTTTCAAAAGCCGGCCCCTAAACTGGATGGGAAAAGCAGATCTGCAAACTTGCCTGTGCCATGGTCCCGCGCCGGCTGACTTCTTTTGGCCTGGATAGGTGACCTCCGGCCGTTTCTCGACGTGGGCCACGACTAGTCGCTCCCCACAGTGCTCTTGACCTTCTGGGTGACATCCCGTGCCAACTTCTTCGCCTCCTCGGCAGCTGAGCCCCAAGACTTCTTGGTGTTCTCCTTGATTTCATTGGCAACCTGCACATGCCGAGTCACTTTGCAACGCAAGCCTTGCAAATGTTCTGAAGTTCAGATGGTCCAAAGTCAATGCAATCCTGCTGGATATCCTTCCGGTGTTTCCCTCGTGCCAGGTACCGGCGGTGGCAATGATTAAAGCTCCCCTCCTCACAACTGTACGATCGACAGACAGCCAAGAACAGTCAACAACAAGCTGAGACGTGAAAAGCCTCATTTGTTGCTCAAGTCTGAACCACGACATGTTGCCATCCGTTGGGTGGCATGCAACCACGCGGATGCCGCACGATGCCTCTCCTAACGGGAATTCGTGGACACTGACGAGATCGACCACCAGCTTTCTTCGAACGTACTGTTGGACAACCCTCACAACAGATCGATGTTTCCGGGGACTGTCTTTTTCCAATTGGTGCCGTGTACATTTCGTCAAGGTCGATCAACAGGGGCAATGATCAGTTTCAACGGCCTTCCTTCCTGCTTAACGAGACGACGGGGTCCGGTTCTTCGAGGCTTGTCGCATCGTGTACCACTACTTTTTGACTAAGATGTCTTCAAACAAGGTCAATTACGCTCGTGTACAACCAGAAGTGGATTACAGAGCCGCTGGTCGGATACGAGGTTCGAGTGCTCTCTGGATTCGGAGGCACGACTACGCCTTCGCACGTTCAGTCGAAAGGTACGACACCGCATACACCACAGTCCACACAGATGAGACACCGGAGCCGGTCACTTCGAGCGCGGGCAGCACGCTCGGCCCGCGGCGAAGCTGCTGCGCTGCGCTGGGCCTCACCTGCGCCTCCTTGTGCACTCGGTCGGCGACCGCGTCCTTGAGCTGCGCCGCGGCCTGTTTCACACTGTCCGGCAGCGCCTCCTTCAGCTGCTCGCCCGTCTCGCGCCAGCTCTGCTTGCTCTCGTCCAGGATCCGCTGCGCCTCGCGCTTCTCAATCTCCGCCTGCTGCTTCACGCTGTCCGGCAGCGCGTCCTTGAGCTGCTCGCCCGTCTCCTTCCAGCTCTGCTTGCTCGCATCGATCATGCGCTGCGCCTCCCGCTTCTCGATCTCCGCCTGCGCCGCAGCCGCCTCCGCCATGCGGCCCAGCACGCCCTTGGCATCGTCCACCCTGGAGAGGGAAAAGGAGTCAGCGATGCAGTTGGCAGCCCTAAGGATAAGAAAACGCCTGCGCCCAGATTGAGCCGATTCGTCTTCTGAGTAGGTCAGACACGACCAATATACATGACCATGCTCTTCTGACCGGCTTAGAAAACCTCCCGATCTGGTGTAGCCGACTGCGTGGAAGGGCGGGCAAAGGCACCAGCCACCTAACCTGCACAAAAGATCAAAGTTAACACTGGGCAACTTGTGACGGCTGCCACGGTCCAGACGGCTGTTATTACTTCCTGACCTACACCAGCTACATCTAGGCTATGCATGCCGGCGAGGAGCAGATGCAGAGGCGAGGCTGTCTCCATGTTGAGCTCCAAGGGAGAGTGTGGGAGCTTTTATTAGTCAAAGACAGGACCCCAACCAATCACACCCCTCTCACAGGAAGTCAGAGATCAGCAAGAACTTGGCAGCAGAATAAGCAGGTGTCTGGGGAATGTGCTTGTCAAGAGGAATGCTGATCAAGATCAATACCTAGGTTCTTGGTTGCTGAATCGAGCAACATGTAGATGCTAAAATGCCGGATTGCCTGATTGAATTGATAGTATGTCAAGCTTAAATGAGAGCATCTCGAGGATAGGCGACTCCGGACCACAGATGCGTTCCATTGGCAGTGTGCCGCCTCACTTGTCCTGGGCGTCCTCCGCCACCTGCTCTGCTTTCTCCTTGCCCGCCTCCTTGGCCTGCCCCGCCTTCTCCGCCGCCTCCCCCGCTGTTCTCTTGGCCGCTGCCTTGACCTGCTCCGCCTTGGCTTGCCCTGCCTCCTTCATCTCGTGCACCTTCTCTTCGCCTGCCTCCTTAGCCTGCCCCAGCTTGTGCGCTGCCTCCCCGGCTTTGCCTTTCGCCGCCTCCTTCATCCGCTCGCCCTCGTTCTTCCACTGGCCCACCTTGTGCTTGCTTGATTCCTTGACCTCCTGCGCCGCTGTTTTGCCCGCCTCCTTCACCTCCCCCGCCGCCTCCTGCGCCTGCCCCGCCCCCCTCCTGGCTGTCCCCGCTGCTTCCTGCACCCGCTGCCGTGCGCGCCGCAGCTGCTCCTCTGCGGGGACCGGCTCCGACTGCTGCACCTCGCTCCTGGCCAGCCGGCCATCGTCGCCATCGTATGCAGACGTCTGGAAGGGCAATGGGCCAACAGCGTCATGAGCCAGCCTGCTTCTTGAAGAGGAACCTAGGTGCTCCTACCTGGGCACTTTTAGTATATGAATCTTGGCTTAGCCAAACAAGTACATTCTCTTGACAAAGAGATACCTACATTAATCATAGTCAGCCTTTTTCAAAACAATCCAACAATCTGCGCTCATTGGCACTTCTAATGTACAAAGAGAAAGGTTCACCAAGAAGTGTGTAGAAGGACTAGATCTTCCGAGTGAGGGTCACTTTCACAAGATAAGAATATTATCAGTCCGCTGATTGAATCCATCATGTCTCCTGATTGATCCATCTCGCCTCTTTTGGATTTACAATGTGGCTGATCGAGGAAGATTGAATGAAATTCTTGATCAACCTTTTGGCAGCGCAATGGTGAAACAGATTATGATGAAAAACCTTAAAGGGCCTACACTTTCCACATCCCTCTTTCGTAGTGCCACTTTCTGAGACCCTTGCATTCTACTTCCAGATTTGGTGACCTCTCAGCTCCTTGCCCACCAGACAAGAAGTTCATCCCGCATGCATCGATGCCGCCGTCTGGATTTGTTGCACTCTTCACATCTTCTCATCCAAGGGCTTCCATGAGCTGATCAGGCCAACAGCTATGAACCCCCACCTGCAGGGACCTTACGGACAGCGGCCAGGTTGCAGCTGTGCGCAAGGTGGTGTCCCAGCTCGACGTAGCAGTCCTGGCCTCGGGCACCTCGGTCACACCCTCCCCTGCCACCAGGGGCAGCCCTGGCCGGCCCTGCTCCCCACGAGCCGCCGGGGTGACTGATAGGCGGGCCAAGGGCCGGGCCATGCGCAGGCTGCGGAACGTGGCTGCCATTGCTCCAGGACCTGATTGACCGCGTACCTCCTTTGGAAGTAGAAACAGCTGGCAAAGGCTTACAGAAGTAACACGCTGTGATCAGTCTGAAACAGGAGGGCGCACCGAAAAAGGGACAGGTTGCCAGACACGTCTTGGTGCAGGCAGCAGGAGGGATTGCGCAGCAATGGCGGCAGCATTCACAGCATAACGAGCATTGCACATTTCGCAGGTTGCACCTTGGGAGGGGATCGGCCAGGTGGCACTTTGCTGCCAGGTTCGTTGTGGGAGCGCCACTTGGACGAAAGTTGCTGGGAGTGAGAGGTTACGATGTTATGGCAGCCGTCGATCAGGTAGCTGACGTCAGTGTCAATTTCAACCCCTTGAAGTTTAGGCTAAACCACGTATGGTTAGGCGGGAAACCCTGACCCATCTGCGGCGCGGCACAACTTACGGTCGGATCGAAGCCGCCACCATACCGTACCGGCATGGGAATTCACCACCTTTTGGTGTGAAAACTTTATTTCGTTCATCCTGAGGTTTCACCGGGCGCGTTGAGTATATAATTTTCATTTCATACAAGCGATTTTTTTGCTTTTCCCACACTCAAAACATCCCAAAATGACCTTTTTCCTAAAACAAATTGATTTCACCGTTTCACAGTCGGGGTGACCTTTAGTTTTATTTTTTTCACAGTGACCCCAAAATAATTAATAAAAGTTGAATTCCCATGCCGGTACGGTATAAATTGAAATCGTCATTGCCTTCTAAGTTCTAGCTTTCCTCTTCGTGAGACGCCCTGCTAAAGCGCCGACCATGGCGGTTCCTACTATAACTTTCTCTAATGGAAAAGCGATTCCTGCCGTAGGTAAGTTGCACGCTAGTTCTTATCTGCCGCATTTCAGCAATTAGTGCATATGGCATCTGGATATTGTGCTCCAGGCCCTGAGCTGGTCTCAATCGGTGCAGACTAGTGCTGCTGACCCACTCATGTCCTGTTGTAGCTGGCCTTCACTTAGAGTCCAAGGATGTGCTCATGCAGATCACCTTCCACTGCGCCCAGCTTTGGGTCATTTGCAGTCCCCCAATTGCGGCTGTGCTTGTTTCTGTGTTCCAGGGCTAGGGGTCTGGCGGGCGGAGAAGGACGTACTGGCCTCGACTATCGCGGCCGCCATCGACGCGGGCTACCGCCACTTTGACTGCGCAGGTATGTATCAATTGGGACTAAAGCATTCGTCCGGTGCAATTTTTCCCTATTAACACTCCCTCACTTGGACAGCTGCTAAGTGCACTTACTCGAGGGCACTCATGTTCTTCGTTTTTAGCACAGCTTCTTCTCAATTGTCCCAAAGCGTGCGCTCCTTCGTGAACATGAGCAGAAAAGCATCAACCATCTTTTCTTGATGGACCTAGTTGTAACGCACAATCAGAGTCTATTCCTCCCCCCGGTGGTACCACCACCTTCTTGTGCTCCACTCCGTGCTTGTCCAGCCCAACCGCCTGCAGGCGCCCACGCTATCTTGTAAGTTGGAGCACAAGGGCGCTGAACGAAGCCCAAAGAAGCTTTACATGGAATAGCCATAGTGCAGGGCAATCCCCGCTCAAAAGTTTGTGCAGGGGTCTGCCAGAAAACACTACTTGTTCAGAGAGCGGATGTATCAAAGACCATGGTGTGCCTAGGAACTAGGAAGTAAGGGAGAATGTTATATTGATTGGACATTGGTGTCTGCAGCTGACTACGGCAATGAGGCGGAGGTTGGGGCAGCGCTGGCTGGGGCCATTGAGAGCGGGCGGGTCACCCGCGAGGAGCTGTTCATCACCACCAAGGTCAGCGCGCCGCCCAAAGCCCAGGCTATGGGCCAGACGCCCTCTCCCCGCGGACTTTGGAAGCCTCTCCCAGACGTTGCTGGAGAGTGGTCAGCTCAGTGGCTGCGCTCCTGATGGATTAGAAGGGGCACCTTGACTTCCTCCCCTGCAGCTTCTGAGGCGGCGTGCGAATTCTTGCCAAGGGGCCTTGCTGCTCCAATTGCAAAGTGCCGGTGTGTAAGCTCTGGTGTATTGTAGCAGGACCTGAGATACCCCTTGCTGGTGGGCCAAGCTCCTCTAGGAGTCTGAGGAACGCGCTTCCTTTACTGGGTCAGCTAAGGATGATGCTCTTTCAGCCTGCCAGTTAGCCCAGAATTGGACGGTTACTTCTTGTGGGGACTTTGATGCCCAGCAACAGCTGCTGTTCGAGTATGTTCGAGACTGCTGTTGTGGCTCGTTTCTCTGCCTTTTAGGACTGCCATATCTCAGGTTTTTGCCAGCATCTCGTGAGCCCACCTCTTTCTCTCCCCCTCCCCCCAGCTATGGAACTCGGACCACGGCCACGTGGCGGAGGCGCTGGAGCAGAGCCTGAAGAACCTGCGCCTTACTTACGTGGACCTGTACCTCGTACACTTCCCCATCGCCACCAAGCACACGGGTGAGCGGCCTTGCGAATCAAATATTGTTTCAGGTGGCATTCTTCTGTGGATGCCAGGGTGGCATTTCCCTGTGAGTCGTCCTGGTCGACGCACAGCCCCCGCCCTGTCCCACAGCTTCCTAAAGCACCTGCGGGTTCAAGGGTGCTCGGCAAGATCGGATTCGAGGACCAGAAGTTGCCGCCTTCTAACCCGCTCAGAAGTGTTCTGGAGGCGTTGCGTCTTGTCGCGTGGTCCCAGTGTCACATGAGGCACACACAGGCTGTGGCTGCCCTCTCTTCCCCAGATGCGCCGCCAAGCACGGGCTTGGGCCTGATGTTCGAGCAACAGACTTAGGCGGAGCGAACACGCTCGTCTAGTCACGGTGGTGGTCCCCTGTGCGATGGTCGACTTGAGTCCGCTGCTTTCGCTCCCTGCTTGGCCCACAAGCCGCTTCTTTGCACCCGTCGTCAACATAACCCCCGGCTGTTTTTTTCTGACCGCATGCCGCACTCATGCGCTGACGCCTGTATGGTGCAGGCATTGGGGTGGGCGGCATCGAGAAGGACGGCAACGGCGTGATGATCCTGGACACGAGCGTCAGCCTGGAGCAGACGTGGCGGCACATGGAGGCCGCTGTGGACGCGGGCAAGGCGCGCAGCATCGGAGTCAGGTCAGCACGGCGGACCGTCTTTGGCTTGTGCTACTGCTGCACGTGCCCGACACGTCTGCGATGGGAGCGGCGGGAAAGACACTGGCGGAAACAGCGCTTGCTCTCACAAGTCGTATCGTGTGCAGCAACTACGACGTCTTTCTGGTGCGCGACCTGCTGAGCTACGCGCGCATCCCGCCCGCCACGAACCAGATCGAGACGCACCCCTACTTCCAGCGCGACTCGCTGGTGCGCCTCTGCCTCGCGCACGGCATCGCCGTCACCGCGCACACGCCCCTCGGCGGCGGCCAGGCCAACGCGGACCTCTTCGGCTCCGCGTCCCCTCTGGACGACCCGGCCATCCTGGTGAGCAGCAGCAGCCCGCGGCCCGCTGTTGCCCGGTTGCACAGCGGTCTTGACGGGCAGACACGTTGTTCAGAGTCTGCCCACAATCTTTGTCAACAGGTGGCAGATTGAAAAGGGGCTCCGACCAGACTTGTTCGTTGGGACCGTTGCTTCGAGTGGTGCTGGAAAAGCGTCACCCTGGGATTCGTAACTTCAGGGAGAGTTCGTCGTCCCTGCATCTTGCTCTACCCTGAAAGTTGGAATCTTGCACTTCCCTTTTGCGGAGTTGCCTTGCACCTAAATACTCCAAAAAGACCGAAACGTTGCTCACTTGAAAAGATTACGCCGCTCGCTGGTACACAGCTTTCTCGTTTCCACACGGGTGTCAAAACAACTATGAGTCACCTTTTCTGACTCCGCAGGAGTTGGCCAGGAAGTACAACAAGACCCCTGCCCAGATCGTCCTCAGATGGGGTCTGGAACGACAGACGATTGTCATCCCCAAGAGCACCAAGCCCGACCGAATCAAGGAGAACATTGACAGTGTGGACTTCAGCCTGACGCCAGAAGACATGGCGCGCATCAAGAAGATTGACCGGAACAAGCGGAGCAATGACCCCCAGGGAGCCTGGGGCATCGACATCTACGCATAGAAGCAGATATTGGCAATGATAAGAGCAGAGATGTCCTAAACAATGATGGACGAAAGATGAGCTCAATCTCAACAACTACCTCTTCGACAGGGCATTTGAGTTGAGTGGTGTTTGGACACTTTGACCTTCTCAACCTTGACAGTTCGAGTTGTGGTCACGTTGACGGTCGGATTAGTCTCGGGTCCCCCAACTCGGGATGCCAGCGATCGACGATGCCAGCCCGGGCCACTGTGGATCAACGGCAGCCAGATCCTACTTTATATACATAATCAGCTGATTCCGACCTGTATGGCCCGGTTTGCTGGCAGCCAGCTGAGTCGCGCAGATAGTATAGCGCACGCATGACATAATGTGCAGCTGGCTTTTCGCTAGTGCGGCCGCCATGTGTTGAACGCATACCGTACCTTTTATGATTTGAATGCGTCCAATGCAATTTGCATGGATCGTCACTCCATGCATGGTGCGATCGTGCGCGGACGTGCTTTGCACGTACTATATGGTAGTTCAATGCAATTCCAGCGGAGTTTGCACTATATTCCCATATATCTAGAGATGCGCACGCCGTGACACTCACCACTTAAGTTACAAATTGTGCGGTGCAGCGGGGGTGCAGCCTGTTCTCCATCTTTTGGCATGTGCGGCCATGGGCGGCCGCCCTTGTGCTAATTAAGTTCATCAGAACGCGGTGCGGCGCAGATCCGAGACATAAGCGCACACGTGACCGCATCTGCGCTTGTGCCTGGACATTTTGACCGCGGTTCAATTGTTTTAATGTCAAAGGTGAATGTGGTTAAAACTCGATCTACCGGTTAGTATCAGAGTCGGATTGAATGATCTAGCAAGTTGAGTTATATAGGCCTTATAATACATGTTGCCTTCCCTATAAGTTCATGCACACGCAGCTTTGGTATCACGCTCTCCGACCATCACTGCTATATACTGCATCATGCATGTACCGTCGGTACGTGTATGCTAGCTGCTTCAAGGACCATATGCATGCCATGCAATGCTAATACCCCATCATTGCTATATTTCCTTCAGCTGAGCAGATATATGCGGACGTACTGTTTGTTGAAATGCAGTACGCACAATTAGGAGCACGATCGATCTCCCAGGCTAGTAGCTCAAACTCTGTCTGTCTGGCTATAGCGCGTTATTGTCATGCACTGATCGAAGAGAAAGAGATTAAGATATATACGTACCCGAAGATGTACCGTCCTTTTTTGCTCGATTGTCTTTTAAGTTCCCAACACCAATACTGTCTATACTTAGCATGTGACTCAGTGGAAGTGTGCTGGGCGCACACTGGTGTCAGTCGCAGCGTCCTCGCGCGCGAGGACGCTGCACATGGTAACTTACGCTTTATTAAAACGCCCTGAACCACATATTTAGCCATCGGATAGAGTCTGCCGGTCTCGGGATCATTTGCCCACGTTTTTATGCGCTACAAATTCAGGGGACTGCGCATCACAGCTATATACACGTACATGCAACCCGGCCATGCCATGTGATTTAAAGTATGCGCCAGGTCGACCGGACTGCTTTTTCAAGTAACGCTCGACATAGGGTAGTGATCTGAGTCACAAACGACGCGTGCAGATTCGAACGCATCAAAAGATCATCCACGGTATCTTGTCAGCTCTCATAAGTCGCTAGCCAGTACTCAATGACCTTGAGTCATACCAAAATGCACGATGCTGGTGAGGATCTTACTGTATCCAATAAGCTTAATGTACAGGTGAATCCTGCTTCAGTTCATCCAACGACACTTTTTGGAAGACTTGACATTCTAACTTGCACCTTTGCAACACAGATTACCGACCTCAAACTTGCTTGCACCCCCGCCCTTCTTTTGGGCACTTGTATCGTACAAAACCTTAGTGCCTAAATGCAACAAAACAGTGGAGCATGCACAGGTACACACCTTTGGAGTACCCTAGAAAAGCGCTCCACTTAGAACTGCATAAGCATAGACAGACCCGTGACCCCACCCCCTCCTCCCCCTCCGCCCGCTGGCGAGCTCCGCTTTTCTGTGGGAGGACTCCTGGACCTCCTCTCTTCACCCCCATCTCTAGTTACCCCCTCCCCCGCCACTACCTGCACCCGTTGCCTCTTGGCCGGGCTGGGCAGGTCCGCCCCCGGGTCAGGCCTATCGTGCTTGATCTCCCTGCCCCGGCCTTGCGAGTCGAGGCTCCCCTGACTCACAAAGGTGCCCTGATAGCCCTTGTACGGGACAAACCCGGAGGACCCCCCTGCGGTGCTACTGCCGAGCGTAGCAGCAGACGCGTTCTTGTTGCCAGCGTGGTGGTGGTGCCGGTGGTGATGGTGCTTTCCTGACGCGCTGCGCACCAGCCCCTCCCCCACCGCCCCGTCTTTGCCGCCGGCCTGGCCTGAGCGGGCGGTCGGGGTCCGATCGTCGCTGCCCTGCTCCATCAGTGCGGGTGCAATCTGCAGCTGCGGCTGGTGCCTGAACAACTCGTCGAACGGCCGGCCTGGCTTACTGCCCGCCTGCCTGTCGTCGCCCTGAGGGGGCTCCGGCGCTCCCTCACCGGGCCGCTCGTCCTCAGCCGGACTTGTGCCCTTCTGCTGGCCTCCCCTCTCCCCCGCCTGCTCACGCTCCCCCTCCGTGGACGCCCCCTCGCTGCCCGCCCGCCCCCGAGCCCCCTGCTGGTCCTCGTTGGGGATGTCTCCCACGGCCGACGAATTGGAGCTCGGGCCTCCCCCGCTCCCTTCTTTCCCGCTGCCGCTTGCCCCACCATCCGAGTTGCTGACCTCGGGCGGCGACCCCCCCCTTTGCGGTGCAGGCTCTGCCGTCCTGTCGTTGGAGTGCCCTGCCGCGCTCTCTGCCCTTCCGGCTGGCTCGTTGCTCCCGCTCGCGCTTTGGGTGCGCAGCTTGTCCCGCCGCCGTTCGTCTTTCTTCAGCTTCTTCAGAATCGCCGCCTCCAGCGCGTGCTGCTCCTCCTTCTGCTCCCCCCCCTTAAGCTGCACCCGCCCCTCCTCTGCGGCCCCCTTGTGGTCCCCCCGTTCTCCGCCTTTCTGCACCGCCGCCGACTCCTTGTCTGCGCTGCTCTCCAGGCTGCGCCGGGTCTGCGATGATGCCCAAGGGCACGAGTCCGTGAACACGCCGGGCGTCACACTCGAGTCGGCCAGCAGGTCGCCCGCTTTCCCGCTCCGCCCCTTGAGCTCCCGCAGCTTGTTCGCTCTCTCCGCCCGCCGGATGGCCGCCTCACGGGGTACGCCCCCTGGGGCCCCCATGCTCCTGGGGTCACTGCTGGCCGCCTCCATCTCAGGCTGGGGCGCACTTGCGGACGGCACCGCCATGCGCGGGGTGCCCCCTGCGGCCCCTTTCTGCTCCAGCTCCGACTCCTTGGCGGAAGCTGGGGGCGAATTGGGGCGAATGGGCGTCTCTTCGGAGCGCGCGCCCCGCTGCACGGAGTGCGCAGTGGGCATGCGCAGGAGGGGGGGGGCGCCGTAGTCTGCAGGGGAGGGGCCCTGGGGGGCGCTGGCAGGCTGCTGCTGCTGCTGTTGTTGCGGGTAGGGTGGGGTCGGGAAGGGCAGGGCCGAAGGCCGCCCCATTTGCGCCGCTGCCGCTGCATTGTTCTGAAGAGTCCACCAGGCAGACGCTGCACCAACAAAGGCGAGGAAGGGGGTCAGAGGAGTGTTTGAAGATAGGCTGCGGGAGGAGCTCGAGACAGCGTGCAGAGTCGACTTGCCCCAAATCAAGGTAGGTTCCTTGCCATCGACCAGTGTACCTCACAGGCTGAGAATACTTTATAACAACATCAGAAGGTACTTTGAAACTGCCTTGAGACTGTTGACCGTCCATGGTAGTCCAAACTTGCTTCTTGCCAGCCACACTTTTAATTTTGCCCCGTCTCTCACCTGCTGCCATGGTTGCTGCTGCCACTGCCGCCGCTGCGGCTCGGCTCTCTGCAGCCGCCTCCTCTGCGCTCTGGCCCTCCGCCCCTGTGCCCCCCGCCCCTTGCGCATTTTGCCCAAGTCCAAATCCGCCCCACATGGCCGCCGGGTTGGCTCCCCATGGCCCGAACGGGTTGCTGTTGGCCGTGTTGTAGGCGTTCATCTGCGCCAGCATGGCCAGCTGCTCAAACGCCGCATTGCCCCAGGGACCCCCCGCCCCAAACGGCATCCACTGCTGCGCGCTCCCGCCAAACTGCCCCCCCGCCGCATACTGGGTGGCCATCATCTGCGCCAGCTGCGCAGGCATTGCTCCCGACATGGCGGGCGCAAACAGGGCCGGAGCGGGGGCCTGAGAGAAGGCCATCTCGGGCTTGGAGAAAGGGGGAGTCTGCTGGGTAGCCGGCATCTGGGATGGCCTCCCCGCAGGTGCGCTGCCCTTTGGTGGGGGGGCAGCGAAGGCGAAGTCCTTGGAGTCCCCCCGCTGGCTGGAGCTCTGTTGGCGGTGGAGGTCCTTGCTGTGGGATTGCGAGGGGAAGACGCGGCCGCTGGTGCTGGGGGCGTACGAGTCGGTAGCGTCGCCCTCAATCACAGCGGAGGACACCCCCGACTCGAGGAAGCTGCGCTCCGAGGTGGCGTGCCGCTCACAGCCATCCTCCAGCAGGAGCTTGGTAGCACCTGGGGGGGAACGAGGAGCCCGGTTCAGCACCAGGCGAGAAGCAGGCAGGAAACAGGACGCATGCAGCAACCCAAGAGAGAAGGTAGGCAGGTGCAGGGCAGGGAGTCCAAACTAGTTGCTGGCACAAACGACCAGACGCCCACGACCTTGGCAGCCGCCGCAGTGTCTCACCTCTTTGCTGGTCCCCTTCGTCCTTCTCGCCTCGTTTGGGCCCCAGCAGCTGTCCAAAGAGCTTGAGGCTGTTGTACTGCTGCTGGGTGTCTGGCAGGGCGGGGCCCACGGAGACAGAGCGGCCCAGAGAGAGGGGCAGCGCAGCAGGGTCTCTGGAGACAGCAGGAGAGGGACCCAGGGGCAGCTCCGGGGCAGAGCCATTGCGCCACAGCGAGAAGCTGCGCGACTGTCCCCGCTGCACAAGAAGGGGGGGCAAGTCAGTGGCTTGAGGATAGCATCTTGCAGGTCAAGAGCTCATGAAAACTTGTTGTATTTGAGAAGACTTTGTTCTCTGTGAAGGGCTTCTCCAAATCTATTGAACTCAAAGCAACTTCCCAAGCATCTCTGAACGACTCTCTAAACTAACTGAACCAATTGATGGAACCAAACCACAAGTTCAAGCTTTCACTAAAAGCTCATGCACACAGGTACCTTTTGACCAAGAGGCCCAGTCTACACACACCTTCCACACGGATAACAAACACTCAAGAGGCCAGAGAGGTGACCTCAGTGCAGCCATTGGCAAGCAGTGCACGCCCGTCTTCTGGAAGCTGGGTTCAAAGGCCTCAGGTGCAACAAACACATCACACGTTTGTTGCCAGGTTGTTGCCTGACCTGGAGGGAGTCGGTGTTGGGGCTGAGGGCCTCGTCAAGGGGCTCGGTGCGCGACCCTGTCCGGGGGCTGGGCCCGTACTCACTCTCACTCTCGCTCATGTTGCCGCCCGCCTTGCGCGGGTACGGGTGGCTAGGCTTGCGCTTGGGGCGGGGAGGCGGGATGTCAATCTCAGGAGCACTGCTGGCAGGGTTGGCCGTGCTGCCTTCACGCTCCAACTGCAGATAGACACGAAACTTGATCAGGTTGCGGCTTTGCGACATCTCTGTTTCCTTCTAAGTGAGACTCCAGTGTTTCTCAGTTGGCATGATTCTTCAAGTCACAGAAGTGAGATTGCTAAGTAGAACTTTACTTTCTTGGCAGGTTGAGGACTACAGAACCAAGGTTTGGCATCCAAAGTGAAGCCTCAACAAAGCTCCTCGTGACTTCTAAGGCCAAGCTTTGACTTGAAAAAAGAAGCTTACAAAAGGGATGCTGCTCAGGAACAGAGCAGCAGGTTATGCGGAACTGGCTTCCTTCAGGACAAGGAAACAACGAGACATCCTTAGAAATTATTGCTTGGCACCCAATCCTACCATTCCAAAGCAAGTAAACTCTTTAGACGAGACCAAACGATGATGCATAGCAACGACTTGGACAAAGAAAAGAGGTGCAGATTAGATGCTAACCTTGGAGAAAAACTTCTGGGCGTGGCTCCTGATCTGGACAGCAGTCTTGGACCCGATGTGCTCTGTAGCCAACAAGAGGAAAAGAGGGTCAGAAGGGGACAAGGCACGGCCAGACAACCTGTACATGTCAAGTGTACATCGTCGGCCCTCACAAGCCAGTCTACCTACAGACAGCCAGGCACACCCTGGAATGCCTGTCAAGGAGGGGGGTCAGGGAGCGCAGAAGCGCACAGCCTCCAAGAAGCATGCAAGCAGCTACGTACTCACCCTCGATCTTGCGCCAGGCGCGGCCGTGCAGCTTGAGCGCCTCCAAGAAGCGGTCGTGCTCTGCCTCAGTCCAGCGCTCACGCTGCTTGGTGATGGTGTATGGCTTACGTACCTGTGACGAGCGAAGCAGGGTAGAGCGTCAGCACAGGGGATCCTCAAAGAAGGGAAATGCACAGGCTCAGAGGCTAATCAGAAATACAGCCAGGCAGGCAAACACAAGAAGCCCCTGAGGGAAGTCTGGACGACAGACGAAGAGACTTGCTGTCTCCTGAGGAGAACACCAGTAGAGGGGCAAACAGACGTCCTCAACCACACGCACAGACCCTACTCGCCCGACCCTTGTCCCCACCTTAGTGGACAAGCTCTCTGACGTGGAGGGCTTGGCTCCCGGCTGCATCTGTTGGATGAGCGGGCCCCCACTCTGCGCGTGGTGCAGCGGCTGCGGGGGCACAGGCATCAGCAGGGGCGCAGGCAGGCTGGGACGCACGCTCCCAGAGGGGTAGCGAGCAAGGGCGGGGGTAGGGCCGCTGGGGTAGACAGCGGGGCCCCCCGCCAGGGGGGGGACTTGACCGGGGGGGACCATACCCCCTTGGCCCATCATAAACTGGGGCCAGAAACTGGGGCGCGGACTGGTGCCATCCTGCACAGACAAGCACAAGATGATATAAGTACAGCAACGAATGGCTGGCCAACGCTTTCCGGCCCAATAGGGGCAATGGTTGTCTAAAAGTCAAAACCCCCCCCCCACCCCCGCACCTTGAAGGGTGCATGCGATCCCTGGAGAACCCTCTTTTGCAACCTAGTATCCAAGGTTTTGCCCAAAGAGCACCAGCTAAGGACTGGGGGGAGCCAGCGTTCAGAGACCTCTAACCACAACCTAGAGCCTGAACCTTGACTTGCATCTCCTGATATCCACTCTCACTGTCTCACCCAAGACTGCGTTTCTCAGGCCAGGTGAATCTCACTCCCGCTTTCCCTTTCGTTCTTTTTGAAAAACTACTACCTACAAGGTACCCAGCTTCATGATACTTGAATGCCCCCTGCACTCCTAGACAGGCAGCCAACCCGTACTGCTATGCTGTATTCATAAGAAAGCTTGTGTACGATGCCAGCCTTAAGAAGCCGCCTGGATGTTAGAAACGGAAATGCCATACAAGCCAAACCCACTGAACTATGAAAGAAAACAAGGTCAAGCACCAACATTGCTGCTGTCAGCTGCACCTAGGCCAGCCCTGACTCTGTTCAGCAACAACAGAAAGGTTGTCATCACAACATCTATGTCAGAGGCTCATAGACTTTCAAGGTTTGGATCTTCAAACGTGGAGGACGTGTAGCACGGTTAAGGACTAGCAGCGTTGCCTAGCTGCCTCTGTAGACCCAACAAAGCCCAAAAAGCTACTCAGACAGGCACTCATGCAATCCATTGCAGGTGTCCCCCTCTTATTCTTAAACATGTCCTGTCAGGCCACAAAAAATCCTTCCAGCAACGTAGGGTCCAGCCTACGTGCCTCCTGCTTCAGGCTGCTGCCCTCTTCCAGCCCTCTGTGATCTCCTGGCAACCCACTGAACTCTCACGCTGACCACCAATATAGGGTGCAAGAAGGCAAGACAGATCAGACTACTGCAGGTGCCTAGGTTCTCAAAGATCAACTTATGCCAAGGTTTGGTTGTTTGCACCAACTTGAGAAGTGTTTATCTAACACAACTCGATCTTGAATATTCGAAGAGTTCCCCCTATGCCTCCTCTTCTGCTCAATACATGCTCACACGTTTCCTCCCCACAGTGGTGATGCCTTCTCCAAATTGAGGAATGGATGATACTCTGCAGATTCCACTGGGGTGTTCTGACCAAACCAAAAACCCACTCTTGCCCCATCCCTTCTATAAAGAAGCAGTCGGCTCTTACCTGACTCTGGTTTTGATATCCCGTCTGCATCATGTCCATGCTTGTTTGTTTCCCGCAACGTCGTGTCCATCCACTGGAATCCAAAGATGCCCTTTCTCTAACAACAGATGTTTCTATACAAATCTCCTTTGCAGCAACGTGACCCTTCTCTGATAGCGACTCAAGAGCGTGCTCTGCTCGAGGGGCAACTTTCACGATAATACCAACTCGTAAGTATCAAACGAGCAATTCACGAACGTGCCCTCCACACTGCCTACACTAGCAGTCCAGCTGGAGAGATATTCCTTGCTGAGCCCTTTTGGGAAGCCCTTGTCAGCTAGCTAGATGGGCAAAGTAGGTCGTTCTCCTTGCCTCCACCTTGCAACTTGCAACGCCCCTGGAGATATTTGCAGGCTAGTATCTTCAGAGCTTCATGTTCCCCTTCCCCCCTCTCTTGTGGCTCGCAGGGCCTGCGGGTCACTTCTGGCTGAGAATGTGGATTCCGAAAAGGGAAAAGGTCCGCAGTTCTCCGCCGTCGATCAGGGTCTAAAAAGTCCCGGTGCCGTCGATGCTGGTCGCCGGACATGCTTGTCCGAGCCTCTCAGATGTGGACCAGATTCCAGAAGCACTCAACCGCAACGACCAAACTGGACCACAACAATCTTTCGAACGTCCGGAACAAGGAAAAGCAAAAGCGTCCGTAAAAGAACCGTAAAGTGCCCACATGTTCATCTACCCTTCTAGCCTTAGGATCCCCATCGGACGGCTACCAATCTGGAGAATCTGCAGATTGTTCCAACCACAAATCTTCTGCGTGCACTTTTTGAATCTGCGCCTTTTGCTTTTCGCTTTTGCGCCAAGCAGAACTGCTTTTCACACGCGTCAAAGATTTGCCATCCCATGCGGTTGGACGTGGCGGAGAGCCTGCCAGCGCATCAGCTATACGTGGCTGAGCAGGTAGTAGGTACCGGGCTTGGCCTGGTACGGTGAAAAGCGGCTTGTATTATGTATACTGGTAATAGGTACCGCACGGTACCGACACGCGCGCACATCAGGTGTCGGGGTTTCGCGCGGGGAGGGCCGCTGGCCCCGGCCTTGCATCGTCCCAATCACGTAATAAGACTAGATCTCCAGGCCACCTCAGTGGGGCCGGCCGGTGACCGGTCTACGGGTCGTCGAAGCGATGCGCGCGCATCATGCCGCCTGCCTGAGCATCATGGCCGGCCGCCTCCAAACTCTGAGGCTCGATTTCATGTTGTTGAACTAGAATGGGCTAGGAGGGAGACCGCCCTTCGGGCGGTCTCCTCCTAGTACGGGACTTATGGCACCGGGTCTACGAGCTGAGGGAACTGGGTATAGATTCAGGCTTTTGGTTTTGGATCTAAAGACCCGTAATAACGCTCAGTGAACTGCCCCGGGTGGCGCCTAGTCTTCGGTACCCACAACCTGTACCGGGCGATCTGAACCGTGGATGGTGCTTGCCTGAGCAGCATCGACGATTGAGCAATGTTGAATTTCGAGTGAATTAGGATTTGTTTATCGATTTTTAATTCGATAAATCCCACTAATCTGTCCGCTTATCATTAATGCTCATGATTGGAGGGCTCATCTTATCGAACCGTTCTTTACCGAGTTTTCATCGTACGGTGCAGACTTGGAGCCTTCTTTTATAAATGGCGGTCGATGGACGGCGATTTTCATCTAACGCTTTAGAGGGCTCATAAAGCTTGTCGTTTAGCGGCACGAGGCCGCAATTTCGTTAATTATCAGTTGAAACTGACTGTCTCCTAGCCAATTACGGCGCCATGTTGAGTTAGGTCATGCCCGGGGGACGGGTGGGGGTTGGTTTGGGGGTTTAGGCTGGGTACGGTAGCAGAGCATGTTAACATTGGGTTTAGGTTTTAGTTTGTTTGCGCCCGGGGTACTGATCTAACTCAACATACACCCCACTAGCTCAACATAAAATCGAGACTTAAGTACCTACCTAGCTACCTCATCCTGCATTATGATTTAAGTTCTTAAGTGCATGCGGTGCCAGCTATAGAAGGGCGGCTGCTCATGTTTGTGTGCTATTCAATCAGGATAGAAAACATTGCACATATAAGATCATCCATCATTGCATGCAATCTTTGACTGTTTACGTTGCAACATGGCTTCAACCTAGAGGGCCCAGCAAGTTGTGTACGCCGTTGGCAAGTTACGTAAGTCTTTGAGTCTCAAAAAAACCGCCGGTCATCGCGATCCAACGGCTCGCCGGCCGGTCATGCACGATACACGACTCGACCGTCGTGGCCCAGTTGGGCTTCAATCAATAGTGAGTCGAAGTGTTTGAACATCAATGAGCCTAGCTGGAGGGCTTTGACCTCCAACATGCTCAATTATTGGATCTTCTACGCATCCATTTGTGGAATTGCGTAGGCCGCGACTATGCATGAAGCCGACAGGCTTACTGTAGCGGCCCTTGAGTCCGACTGAGCAAGCCAGATACATGAAATAATATCGATTCAAAAGACCGACTTGGGCCCCACTATTTGTTCCTTCTTTCTCGAATTGGAAGTTTGGAACCTTCTCAATGCCTCATGCAATGCCTCATACAATGCAATTTGTTGATTGAGTAAGAAACCGTTATCGCGGAATCTGAATCATAACGGCCACAGTACCTAAGATGTCTTGCACCTGTTGTCGTACTTCTCGCAAGATGCGTATTGGCGAAGATCTGGCCGGTCGAGATCTTGAGCTTGTACACAAGCGCAACGAGTGCCAAGATGCTCGCTGCCCGAGAAGAACTGTCTTGGAAACCCTTTATCACACCACACCTGCAGCCACAGTGAAAACGAGCTTGTCTAGACAGATCCTCCTGGTCTTTTAGGTTGAATGGCCCCAAAGAAAGGCCACGGGTTTAGAACAAACGGAAAATAGTTTCAAAAGCAAGCCTGTAGAAATGATTGGGGGATGCGAGGGGATCGAAGTGACGGGTGGAGCATTTCTTGTCGGATCAGCATCAACGACCTGCCGTATGCTCAACTATTGTGGTACATAATTGATCACAAAAGAACTGACGAGCAGGGAGCCTAAGGGCGAAGTACACGCCACGGCTATCGATGGGGATCATTCGCAATCCCAAGTAGAGTTACTCCTTTCCAAAATACCGCACTATCACCCACTGAGCTGCAGAAGTTTAGGCATCGTTTCCTCCCTTCCCCTCCAGTTGCCTCCAGGGACGCTTCGACAACAGAGATCTGATCTTCTCAAACAGCATTACTGCCCTTGATCCGCTAATTCCTCTCAGACGCAGGGCAATAAGGTGCCCTCTCTAAGCTCCCTACAAATCCGCCAGTGCCGACAGACCCTTCTTCGGTGATATCAGAGCTCCATTGCGAAGAAAACATCCCCTTCCCTCAAGCTGCCTCTCAAAAGCTTGCCAGTGCCTCAGATGGGTTCGCAGGCTAGTCAGCCTCAAGTCCTCACGTCCTCACCTCCTCCTCGTCCTTGTGATTCGTTTAGGCCTGCATTTCCTTGTGGCGCGCAGAAACATTCTCAGATCATACCTAAGTCTGCAGCTCTTCGCCGTCAGACGCCCTCGCCGCGGCCTCACCTCCCCCCCGGCCGCCTGTGACCAGCGCGAGTTGCAGGCGGGGTACTGCTTCTCCTCCTCCTTTCTGCGCGCGTCCTCGTGCGCGGCCTCCTCCAGCGCGGCCTCCACGCTGCGCAGCGCCGCCGTGGCCTCCCCGCGGTCGTCGTAGTACCGCCCGGCCAGCACGCCCACCTGCTTGTAGCGCTCCACGTAGAATTGGCGCCACTGTGCCACGCCCGCCACCTGCGACGGCGCCAGCCCCGACACGTCGTCCGTCAGCCCCGCGGGGCTGAAGTCGCCCGTCACAAACGCAGCAGACGCGTCCCTGCACACACGGGCAGCCGGACCAGTTACGATTCGCATGCTTACGTCCAGGCCCTGCCGATTGTATTTTCATCTTGCCGAGTGTGGCCCCCGCAGTGAATCGCGAAAGAGGAAGGAGCGTGTCCGTTGTCAAACAAAAAGGAGGAGAAACCTCTGTGCGAGAGTCGCCGGCCTGGACCTTTTCGGAACTGGCACGAAGTGACTGTAATGGCACGGCGTTCAACGTCCTTCTGCAAGCTTTGATATTCAACGCCTCGCTCAAGTAACAACAACCGCTCTGTCGACTCTTCACGACACTCAGGGGTTGAAAGATTTGAGTCTAGCATTGCAAAGGCAATTGGTAAGCATTTATGGACATGAAGAAGCAATAAATTGCTCCAAAGATGCTCACCTGCCTGCGAAATGCGAGTACCCTCCTCCTGGCCCGTAATGATCAGCACCTTTAGTGACGTCAAAGACGGTCCTAAGGAGAGGACGAAGTTGTTGTCGGTTATTCTGAAGGCTAGAGTACATAGAGGGACCAGCTTCGACAGGTAAGCTACCTCCAAGAGCGGCACGGACTTTGGCCAAGTCGGATATGAAGGAGCCGTCGAATGTTGTGCTAACACAGCGCTTTGATGAGCCTTCGTTATAGCGTTTGTCATCAGAGTCGTCTTCAGCCGCACGCATCTCTTCATCCCTCCTATTTCAGGTATGTAATGTCGATTTGACACCCAGAAGACTGACACAGAAAACAGGCAAAACTGGAACCGTATGCCGGTTCTTCTCGACCGAGCCTTTTGCTCATGCATTTTCTTCTAGAGTAGCGCAGCAACTTGATCAGTCAAAAAAGCGTGCCTTAAGAGACAACGGCAATCGATGCTTGGCAGCATGGATGCCTCTACTCCCGCTTCCCTGCTCCTTGACGCTTCCGCAAAAGATGTTTAGACGGTCTGGTGAAGTAAGTGATGCTCCTTCAATGGGACGTCCAAAGATCAGACAGTCCTGACAGAACATGCAACCAGTGAATAATTGCCACTGTTTGCGACGATGCGGCCTGGATGCTGTGCTTACCCCAGGATAGCGATCAGGATGGGCTTATCATCTGCCCCCGTGTATTCAGACAGCTCCTCCGGGAACCAGAGCCTCTGCGAGAAAAGGGCTTCCGTCACAAATAAGAACAAATGAGGCACCCATGTTACCATACCCAGTAAGAACTGTCATCAGAATGTTCGAGGCTAAGCTCTGGTTGTGTTGGAAAGGGGCGATTCGATTGGGTCGAGCGGGGGCTTTGTTTCCCTACTTCCATATGGAGGTGTGGGGCAAGCCCAGCCCTTTGAGCACCGTTTAACATGAGAAAGTCTTGGAGAAGATAGCTGCAAGCCAAAGTACTCTGTTGTGTCTATTGAAAAGGTTTCACGCATTGCGACTCCTGGACACGCCTCCGACCCCACAAGGCAGGCTAGTCCTTAGCAGGCTGCAGTGTACCTGCAGCAGCCACAGGGATGACTGGCAACCAGGATGCCGGTGCGCTGGACCCAGATCAAACAGACATCTTGAAAGGTCTGCAAAACTATTCCCTCATGGCTTGCCAGACTTGAGCCATTTCGTGAAGATATGTCCTCCAGCTTGACACTGGCGCGCCTTCCCTCGCTAAACCCCTCAATCGTAAAAACTTCTACATCCTACTCAAACAGGTTAAACCCGGCCCTGACCTGCACTTCATTTCTCTTGCCCAGGTAGAAGAGGATGGCAAATACGACCAGAGCCACCACCACAATCCCGTAGTACTGCGCCAGGCGGGACTCCTGCGACGGGTGGGGCTCCCCCACAGGGACGGGCCCCTCTGTGCTGGCGTCCGAGACGGGCGCCGCCTGGATTCGTACAAAAAGGTGAATGAGTTCAATGTGCTAATTGGAAGGCTAATCTGGTCTCAAAAGGATGTGCAGGCTGGCTCTCCATCGCCTCTGCAGGTTGAGTGTGAGACCTGAGATCGACCTGTCTCAAAAGTGACGGTGACTAAGGGGGATACAAGCGCTTACCTCGAAGAGCTAAGAAGGGGTGGTGGTCGTGGCTAAGCCCCCACATTGTGAACCACCCAGACAGGCTAAGAAATCAAGCAGTTTTCATACTCTATTATGCTCAGCCATTCAGCAAGTATAATGCTCAAAATCAATTCTCAAGGCGCCAACATGATTGTAACCGTTAAAAACGATACGTCTACTTACAATGGGCAATGACCAAGGGAAACAGACATATGGGCTCTGAGTAACCGTTTAGATGTCTTGGAGTGGCTGCAAACCAAACTGGAAAGCTCCTTATTTCCCGGAAAATGTGATGATTAAACTTTGGCTGGCATCGGGGGTGTGCATTGCCATCCAGAGGGCCGACACACCTCTTAACTGCAATGCCGGAGCCTCGTCAACATACTTTTGACCTTGATGCAAGCTGCAGAGAGCCTGGACCTGGAACAACATGGGTACATCTGATAATCACAAGCGGAGGGCCTCACAGGAGAAGCAGGCAGAAAAGAGAAAAGTGAGAGCTTTGGAAAACTCACAGTCTCTACCACAGCGCGCTTGCGGACCTTTGCTTCTTGCTTTGCCATCACATTAACGTTGTTGATGAGCAGCGGGGCACACAGTTTAGCTGCCACAGCCTGGCGCACTTCTAAATTCTAGTAGTTCTTCAATTGGACCCTTTGGCTGCCATACAACTGGGCCTTCACTGCTTGCAGCTACCGTACCTTGGTACTTGTCAAGTCTCAATCTGTGCAGGATTTTTGTGGTCTTGGGCAGGTGCTGCTGGCAGTGCATCGTTCCGGCTCAAAACGGACGCCAGCGCCGACGGAACGGAATCGCCACATACCGGTACACGTTTGGTCTGCGCGCTGTTCAGTAACAGGGTTCCGTTGCTGGCAATTTTCCGCCGACTTCGTAGCCTGAGGCTGCGGAATAATTGAGAAGTTAGGGTTTGAAAGTTCGCAACCAGCCAGCAGCACCAAAAAGCCTTATATTAACTTATATATTCAAGTGGTGACTTCGGGTTATCTTTCTGCGCCGGCTAGCGAAGAGTTTCTCCGCAGCCAGGCATACTCGAAGGACCTTTAGCCAGATCCACAGTAAATTCCGTCCAGAGAAAGTTGCAAACTACGGGATTTGACCCGCGGACCTTCGGGCCAACCACAAGTGGAAGGCACGTGGCAGTTGTATCGAACTGCACTCTAGCCAGCTGAGCTAGCCGAGCGCAGAAAGATCACAAAACCCAGAGTAGCACTAATCCGTAGAGGCGCTTGAACTTGAAGTTGTGGGCGCTTTCACGTTTTGCTTTATTCGCATGCACCGAGGCAGGACGCAAAGGGAAGGAAGGAGCACCTCCGATTCTGCCAAACATTCGGTCTAGAAACCTCCTTTCATTTAGTCTACTGCTTCAGTCCCCCTGCTTCGCCTGATCCGCCACCGTTGTAGCTCATACATTGCTCCTGAGCTATGGAGGGTGTGTGGTCCAACGTCACCCTGGAAGAGCTGGTGGATAATCTGCAAGAGGTGGACTGGACCACGCGGCCACGGCCCCTCAATGAGTTCTTTTCCAAGTTTTCCACTCCGCGCAACCTCCAGGGCAAGCTGACCAGCAGGCTCAAGTGCAATGCATACTAGTAAGCCATGAATCCTAGACGATGATCTGATACCTGGTGAATCGTCCTCTTATTCTGATCAAGCACTTGAAGCCGCTCCCAGTGTGTGTGAAGCTCTTATCAGCCTCATATGAAGTTGCCTTGACAGCGGAGAATTTTTTCCTTTGCTGTCTCCCTAATCAATGTTGACTGTTTGTAACTCAGATCTCTCGTCCCATTCTTGTCGGGCAAAGTAGAAAGGGTGGCGTGATGTTCACTTCCACACATGCCCCACACTTTCTACGAGAACAAAAAGTAGCGAGTGCAGAATCGCGATATTTTTGAAAGTTTTGACTTAGATTTGTTTGCCATCATTTACAATGGCAACACCCAATTGGTTGCTTGGAGTGGTTGTGGCTGACTCAACGAAAGAGGGCTCCGATTGTTTCGGTGATAATTCCAGTTCAAATCAATATTCTGGTCTCTCCGAGCCTTCGTCTTCGAAACGAATCTCGATTCATCTTGATAGCTTACCTATCTTCCCTGCTTGCCAGTTGCTTGTTTTTAGAAAAGCATCTCAGCTCTGCAACACGATCATACTGAATCGACACAAAGTTTTCTCCTGAGGGGCATGTTTCTTTTGTGTAACTAGCTTCTCGACTGCGGCTGATTGGGACCATCAAAGAGGTTGCTAACGGAACTTGTTCAGGTTGCAGTAGTTGCTGCGCTGTGTCGTTGAGCTGATCCAGCTTGCGTTGTTGTGTGTGTTGTGCAGCTACCGCACCAACTACTTCCTCCTCGTCCTGCTCACGCTGGCGCTGGCGTTTGCCCGCAACCCCGCAGCGCTCATCGCCGTCGCCGTGGCGGGCTTCAGCGCCATGTGCCTCAATGACAGGTGGGCGCTCCGAGTTGTTCTTGACATTGTGGCCACCTGGGTTGTTATGTTGGTTGTGATGGCAATCCGTCGAAGACGGAGGTTGACACCGTTCGCAGAAGTTGGAGTCCAAAAGAGACAGACACTCAAAGCAGGATAGCACTGTGCACACTGGAAGTGGAACAGACTGACTTGACGTGATGATCCGTGGGACTGAACCTGAAGTGGGGGCATATCTTTGCAACTCCTACCCGTAACACTACCTTCTTCAGTACGATGAGGGGCTTGATGTTGGAGAGAGACCGAGCGCACGTCTGCTGTGGTGTCTGTGCTGAGAGGTGCTCTCAAGGCTCCGCAAACCCCGCTGCAGTTGCAATCGGCTCCCCTGACAGGCTGTTGTCCTGGAAGGCCGAGTCCCATAAGGAGGTTTTACCACTGAAGCCCCACGATGCTCGTGTGCGCAGTTTCGCCCTCAGTTTGGATACCAACTTGATGCGGGCCATCCGACGAATCCACCCCCCCACGGCAGCACGGCTACGAGGAGTCTCTGTGTAAGCCTCGGAGACTGTTCTCTAACTTTGTTTTGAGGCGTGACGAGACAGCACTTGCCTTTTCTGCAGAAACGAAAAGGAAGGAACAGCTTTTCTTTGCTTCTTTTCTTTGAACTTTGTTCTTGGAAGCTCGATTATCGTCGGGGTTCCGCATACGAACACCTCACTAGCAACTCTCACTCTTCTAAACGGCAAGCCAGGCAGGACTTCAGCAGCCTCAACGTGCGCAATCGTTGTACCAAACAGGGCCAGTACTTACATAATGACGAGGTTGCCCCCTGCTCGCTCTGCTTTGGACGGTCTCGTTTGTCAGAAAGACATCTGTGTTTTATGTTCTGTAAGGACCCTTCCGGTCCCAATTCTCTTCTTATCAGGACTCCTCACCTCCTCGAGACAAGCTGTTCATGCCCATCTCTTTGCTGAAAAGCTTTCAAGGGAGCATGTCTCTGGTCATCCTCATATCGTCTGGTCGAATTGACGCATCTCACACCCTGAGAGGAGTCGCATGGGTAGTTCCGCTCTGATCACGTTGCTCTTGGGCCCTGAGGCCAGAAGCTTCGGCATAGGTCCTGCCCTCTCCCACTCCATCAATCACACGGTTGCAGCTGTTCATCCGCTTGATTGCGGGTTTTTACAGATTTGTCGTTAGGCATACGTAGCTTCTGCGGGTTGCCTGTACGTGTCCGGACCAGCTCAACAGAAGAAACGACAAATAATGGCACAGGCCCGCAACAGCTCTTATGACCAAGTTCCTGTTTGCATGAGGAGCATTGACGCTTTGCATGAAGCGGGTTGCAATGAATCAAGATGATCTGCTTATCCATACTGTGTCGAAAAGCCGGCATGTGGCCAGAAGAGCCGCGCGTGTTTCTCATCCCCGCCGTGCTATCGTTGTGCAGGCACGCCGGCCCGCGCACCAAGCCCGGGAGCAGCCGCAGCCGGGGCGTGATCCTGATCTGTGGGCAGGACCGGCGCGCAGTCGTCGCCGTGCTATTCACCTTTAGTGCGGTGCTCTGGTGGCTGACGTCAGCGATCGTCACCGTGTTTGGGGCGCTGGCCGCCAGCATAGTCAGTGAGTGGTCCGCCCTGGACAGATGTCCCTGCGTTGAGGGGCAGGAAGTGCATTGACGTGGCCTCCGTTGGTGGTATGTCTTCAAGTGTTCTCTTGAGCATTCTCCGAATTTGGGTAGAGTCACCAAGATGGAGATTGGCGGTGTTGTGCTCGAAACGGTCGGCGTCTACTTTTCATTCTGCACTTGGAAAGACGGTGCTCTTTGTGTAAGCACTCTGCCGGCAGTCGAAAGAAGCCATACCTTTTTCCTGTGCTCAAAAGTGCAAGAAGGAGGCGATAGTGGAACGCCCTCTTCAAGGTGTCAAAGCCAGAACGGCAAAGAAGATAGCGAGAGCGGCCTCTGCTTGAGGACAGTGGCATGTCTGGCTTTCAGTGTCAACTTTGCTTTCTTTACAACTGCGATACACAGGTCAAAGTGTTGCTTCTCCGGCACGTCACGGATGATGGAGGTGCGAGGCTTTGCATACGTAGCCCACCTCGACGCCCAATCCCACCATGTCACAGAAAACTGTTCTGGTAGCCACGAATGTAGTTTGGCATGCACAAGCAGCAGCGGTGCGAAAGTTCTTCTTTAAAGAATCTGAAAAAGGTCACCAGGATGTTTCAAAGGTTGCTAAATCACCACTTCGTGGTTTTTGCAGTGGTGCTGGCACACGCGTCATTCCGGACGCCAAACTTAAAAGCTCGCCTCAACTCGTTTAGAGAAGAGTTCCGAAAAGTGTGGAGCGAGTACAGTGAGGCCTGATGACGAACGCACACGGTATGTCCCCAAGTGTTATGATTAATGTACTTAAACCTCTATGTAAGTCATTGTCAGCTGAAGTGGCCAATGAAGCATTCAAATGTCTCCTTTCAACTTCGAGTCCCTATAAACATCCAAATTACTGATTCTGAAACGCTTGAACGGAAGCTAGAGCTGTAGTACTAAAACATGCAAGCCTTGGAGCTGCAACTTTGAGCACCGCGGCGGCACGATTACTGCTTATAGCTGTATGCCTGATCATTCTACAGTTGTAGCTCGTTAAGTTGCAAGGCTATTGGACGTCTGTGTATATAGTAGACCGACGGCCGGCATGTGCCAGGTGATTTGCAGCTAGGCCCAAACATGATTGCCACCGCCGCCTTCTAAAACTGCGGGCGCAGCGGCTTACCGTTTGCGAATGAGGCCGCCATATTAATTACGTTTCACGCATGTATATATAGTATCGCATGCTCTGCACATGATGCAATACCGTAAAGGCACGGTATATGATTCCGAACATGGTCGGAAGTGACAATTATTTGATCAAATTATAATACGACCGATTTTGGCGACTTATTTAATGAATGCGACCGTCCCTGAATCCGAATCTCCTAGCTCTGAACGGCCTTCGAAGGCCGTTCAGAGCTAGGAGTGTTCTAGAGCTAGGTGCTCGGATCCGACCACCATTTTGCCCCAGGTTAAAGCCGCTCTAGCTTGGAGTGACCGGTTGGTAATTGTTACTTTCAAGTTTCCGACCGTGCTCGACCAGTTATTTTCTGAATCCGAATGTTCACTAATTTCCGAATCAAAAATGATTTGGGTTTCTAGCTTTCCGATAGGCAAATAATTATTTATTTATTCGGAATCATACCTCATGCCGGTACGCTGGGTATGGCCGCTGCGATAAGTCATCCGACGGTAGACAGAAAGATCGACGGTCAATCATACCATCTAAAATTTTGCAGCCAGCTGCAGTCGCTGACTCATTGAACGTGCGTACCGACTAGATTAACAGATATATATGTACACGTACGTGCTGACATTGCCAGATTGCTGCACACAATGATGCTCGATTGACATGCCATGATGCGGCTCTAGACCGTCCCGAGGTGACTCGAAGGCCGGGCCAATGCAGATCGATCTTGCCGAAGCATGCCAAGTTTCATAACATGGTGAACAATGATTGACACCATGCTAGCACACTTCCTTCATCAACTTGTGCAACTTCGATCTTTGAAAAAAGGCGTGTCGAGTTCACCGTTCTGCTGGTGCTCGACAGCATTCTTTCAAGGGCCGCTAGTGTACAAAGTGGACCATCCTTCATTCTGCCTTCTTTGTTGGTGGCGGGGGAGGCTCCTTCCCCAACAGAGCGGCATGGTAGCACCGCTTTTCGTACAAAGCGTGGGAAGACAAGAGGAGTTTCCCCTGTAAAACGAACGGTGCGGCGCTCAAGTAGACACGGAAAAGGTTCAAGAGTACGAAAGCAAAGTGAAGGAATTCGACGGTCACCAGACTCCGGCTCTCCCACAGCATCTTTAGATCTTCTTTAGCAACCCCTTCCTTGACAGATGTCAGAGTATGGTACTCCAAGGGGTGGATTTCCTGCGACAACAGAATGCTTTGCGGAGCAGGCACTCTTGTGACTGCTCCAGCCAAATTATGACAGCCGCACTGACGTGCTCAAAGACCGACATAAGCATTGCCGAGGCGGATGGGCGCACACATAGGCAGCACGGAAGGGGCCATGCCTCAGCTGTGCAAAGGGAGCGTCCACCCACCTCTTTCGCGATAATGTCCCGCACTCGCTGCGCGTACTTGTGCGGGTCTCTGCACTCGTCGAGGCTGGGCTTGTAGACGGGCAGCTCCGTCACCTCCAGGTGGTTCACCAGCTGGCTCAACAGCAAGAACATGTGCCGCAACTGGACGCCGAGCAGAGCAAAACACGTATGAGGAGGCGATCCGCACGAGTGGATCAGCTAACACGGGGAAGAAAAAGGAATTTGCCAAGTCTATGTTCCCTTGGTCGAAAGGCAATGAAAGAGTCCGCCGAGAATCTTCTTTTCAATGTAAACACTGCTTATGAAATGATATATGGATAACGGGTTCGTGCCATAGCGAAAGCTCAGCACGCTATCGGCCAGAGGCTCAGAGACAGCGCCTCGTATGGCGTAGAATCCTTCTTGGCGATGCTCATGCAAGCCTTCCCCATGCGTTGAACTGCAAACTCCGAATTTGAGGAGGCTCAGACAGCCACGAAAGCCGAAATCGACATGACGGCACATGAGGTGCCCACAACCGGCCCTCTCTCCGGAACAAGCCTCTACGGAAGCCCTACTATCACACCGAAACCCAAAGCGCAGCCTGGCCGTGTGCGATAACAGCCCGACTCCAGCAGCATCTCGTTTGACTCTGCTTGGAAGAGGGCGTTGACTCTCGATGCATCGTTCAACAAGTCACTTCGCAAGTCGCCAAGGGCCTGCATGGTGATCATAGCCCGGGAACCCAACCGGACGGCCTCGGAGGCGAACGGCGTTGCCGCTTACTGCTGACACGGTCTCCCAGGCGGGGTTGAAGCGGCGGTGCGGGAAGTGCAGGTAGTACGGCTGCACGGGCGTCCCCGCCAGAAACGCGCCCGTCTTGAAGGGGAGCAGGTGCCGCCCGTTGGTGGTCGTGCCCTCTGCAGCGCACGGGGAGTCGCATTTTCGTGTCACGGTCAAGTGCTCGGTTGAGGCTGGGAACACAAGCATGCAGGACCGGCTGACGGTACTGCAGGTCCAAGCCGGGAGAGGGGCACGGGCGGCACCTCGCTACATGACAGCCTCTGCCGTTACGAACGGGCGAGAGCTTGCAGAGGTGCAGGGAGCATGACGAGACGACGGGCTCAAGGCAGTAACAACCAGCAACCACCAGAGTGGACAAGGTGATGGCGGTTCTGCACGGAATGAATTCAGGTATCGTCGCTTGAACCAGCAAGACGATACGAGGGGGAGGAATCATTGATGCTTCCTCCGTTTAAGGTGACAGCACGCCAAGACGTGCGGCTACCTGGAAAAAGGAGTACGGGGGCTGCGGCAGGGTCCTTGGCCACTGCGAGCATCCTGTTCTTGACCAGTGTCGAGACGCCCACGTGCGCAGCCGTTTCGCGATCGACATAAATGCACCCCAGGCACTGGCTGCGGGAGAGGGGGAGCACTGTGAGAGGACAGCCAACTTGTGCCGTGAGAGGACTCATGCACAGTTTGAGTATTTTCCCTGGCATCGCTGAAGCATACGGGGCATAAGGAATCAGGAGAGAAGACGGGGATAGCAGTGATCGCCGGAACGCTTTCTGTTGCTTAAAGTGCGATGCGAACAAGAGGGGTGCTGGAGTCGGCCACGTGGCAGCACACACGACCCGGATTGCCGCTGCGGTAAGCCATGTTCAGGCTCCTGATGATCTTTCAGTCTTTCTTGATGGGATCGGGAGATCGACAGTTGCAGAGGAGGGCTGGAAGGACGTTTCACCTGATCAGCCCCACCATTGGCACCTTCAAAGTACCTTTCTGCAAGCACGAAGGAAAAAAGAAGCCATGATGTTGGAAACTCGTGATGGGGCCGCAGATCAAAGGACACCTCATGCATGTTGCTTCCATATGAAAGTACGTTGTGATCAGAAGTGCATGGAGGTCTCCACTATCTCCGGATACAATTTGCTGAACATGCTGACCACAAAAGAAGGAAGGAAGTAACAGCTGAAGAGAGATAATCAAATGTTCTGGAATCACTTTGCATGAAGTCGAAAAGGAGTGCCAGGGTCACCTTTGCAACGAAGCTGGGGAAGGTGTCGGACATATGGTACAGGATGTCGATCCATGACACGTGGTTGGACACAATCCCAGTCGCTTGAATCTGCAGACATTGGTTGCTGCAGTGTGTCTTCCAGATGATGCCAGCACTCCTCGAACTAAAGCTTTGACGATGTGCAGGCGTTTCATCTGAGACACAGATAAGATTAAACGTAGGCTCAAGAATCTTTGTGCCTGCAAAGGAAGCAGCTGAGCCCAAACGGGCACACATCAGAGCCGGACTTAACTTTGTGAAAGAAGCATCGCCATCAGACATACAGAAGACCAGACAGCTGAAGAATCAGGCTGTGCTCTCACCGTCCTTTCTCCCCCTGCGCGCTTCACCTTCTTGATGTGATAAAAGCCAATCACAAACAGCACGGCGCGTGCAAGTCGCTTCCCTGACTCCACAATGATTGTCCTGCGCAACCCTGTAGCGCTTTCTGCCGCAGGGCCGCTATTCCGCTTAAAGCTGTGCAGCCTCAGAAGGGTGATCCGGCAAATGAGATAATAGATAAAGACAATAATGACAACTACCAACAACCGCAGCGGGAAGAGAATGAGCCCCCCCAGCCAGAGGCGCAGGGTGTCTACAATAGAAAGGGGCCCTGCCCCCATGGGGCCATAGATGTCGGTACGAGCAAATGCAGGGTACTGTTTCTCTAGCACTGCGATCTGAGCGGGTGTGGGAGGTGCGAGCACTTTACTGCCTTCTCTAGCCTTGGCGTCACTAGCTTGCCGATTGGTGCCATTTGGGGTGCCAGATGCTATAGAGGTAGCACCGTTCCGCAACTCCGAGGCACCTGCGCCGACACCCATGTCTACTGCTTTGGCGCCGTTTGCAAGCTGGCGGGAATTGCCGGAGAGACAGGTGGTCCAGCGGGAGGGGCGCCAGGCGCCTCCTAAAGGATCCGCTCAGGAAGGGAGGGATTGAAGCTGGTCCCTGCAAGACAAGTCTGACGAGAGTCAGTAAAGCACCAACAAACGGATGTGAGCTGGTTTGAAAAACTTTGCAAAACAAAACGCCCTGTTGTTCTGGAACTATGCAACTTGACCAAAGGACATGAAGTGTCAACTCACGCAATGCCGCCCGCTTAATAAGTTGATTCCTTTGCACAGCACTGCAATGATAGAGAGACTTTCTCATGCGTGGAAACCCAGCAGTTGAAGCTGGTGCAAACGCACTCGCCATGTAAATGGTGGCATGAAATGACTGCACTGTTGCACGAAGTAAGAATATGCTTGTGTGCCAATGCTGTGAGGAGCAGAAGTTGCTGTGTGTCCATATGCATGTTCCTTATAGCAGTCCGAGGAAGACGGTGCTAAAGAAAGGGGTTTTCACAAGATTGAAGACTGGATTCGATGTTTCCCCAGCAATTGCACCCGCTTCACCTTTTGCTAGGAGCCATCAGTTGGAGAAGGACAAAGCTCCAGGTATGCTGGCAAGAAGGGGCGCTCTCGGCATTGGGTCTGCTCACAACCACGTCTAAAACAATCTAGAACAATTGTGCGCCTTTGAGCTGCACCACCAACGCCCTGGCCGGACAATCATGAGCTGCACCAGGCGTTGCCTTCTCTTCTCATGAAGCCTGATCGAAGGCTCATGAATCGTTGAGTGCAGCCTGTGCAGGAAGTTTCATCCACTGTCCACATAAGAACAATCTGACTCGTCGATCTTCAAGCTGTCAATCGCATCGCACGGTGCAGAAATCGATCAATCCAATGCGCGCGCAACCAGGTGGCTGTGGATACGGGATGTACAGAGTCATTGCAACCAGTTTTGTTGACTATTCGGACCATGTTGGTGTCAAACAAAACGGTGCCCGGGAGACGGCAGGGTCCGCCTCGGCCCGAAGGTTTGGGGTGGGTTAAAGAGTGATAAACTAAGAAATTTCAAATCTGGGTCACAGGGTTTCGGTTGCGTTTGTACCCCCGAGGACAGTCTTGGCAGTCAAGTCTCACTGTTGATCAGTCAACATGGAATCGAGAATGACCTATGGGCCAATCTTCAAGCTACCCCTAGCTGGGACAACGCAGATTCGAGATCTTGGCGACCTGGTGCTGTCAGTGTACACGGGCGTGCCGCGTCAAGCAGGTCAGGGCGGGCCCACGGGGGTTGCCAAACTCAGCCTTTGGAGACCACGTGATTCTGAGAGGGGTCCGATTGCCAACTTAATTGCTGATCAGAGTCTAACTTAGACCCTAGATTCAGAGATTCAAGATGCATCATGCAGCTGAGCGAGGCAAAAGCTAGGTTCTTCAGCACCGTCCTCGTCGATGCAATGCCTGACGATCCACCGAGGCGTGCCAGCATGTAAAGTAAGAACAACCGTCCACCCCGGGTGCTTCAGATGGTCTGATCAACAGCCTTGAAGAGAAGGCCTGGGACCCACCCCCCTTGGACGTCGAAGTTGAAGTCATGATCGACAACCACCATAAAGCGAATGCAACAGGGTTGACCAGATTGCCTCTTCGGATGACGACGGGGCCTAGTAGCAGCTGACACCTTTCAAGTTTTCTAGGCTTGCTGCGGTGCAAGGGAAGGTGTCCAATGGAACCCATACAGCTTACGATCCAGGGACGATGTGGCTAGCAGAAGGAGTACTGGATATAATTAGGCACGAAGCAAACACTTCTTGCTGTGGCATCGCTGCCAAGGCAGGAGTGTCCGGGCCAGTAGCCTGCGCCACAAGGGACAAACGGTCGAGAACCTTTGATATAAAGGCGTCACCAGTCCTTGGTCGGGATATCTGGTATGGTGCTGCATCGACAAGAGCAGTGGGGCTGCGCAGTCTCAAGTCTTTGACACTTGTGTAGAACCTTGTGAGGGCAGCATCATCACGAACGAAAATGGTGAGGATGAATCCACAGGGCATCCCAACCCTGCTTCTGCATTTGATCGAGAAGGGCATCTTGACAGCTGGCACACTCGTCCAAAAGGCTGCAGAAAGACCATACATTCTAACTTCCTGAGTCTCTTGCACGGTGGGGCCACGCAGTGCCAATCCATGTGGGAACTTATCAACAGCTGCATCGTACTGCCACATTTTGGTAATCAAGGAGTGTGCTTCTCTGACAGTCGCAAGCGTTTGTCCCCCATCAGATTGCGCATGCACACGATGGAGATAAAGGCTCAAGAAAGGCCCTGAGAAGCCAAGTATCACGGCCGTGCTCTGGTGTGCGTGCAGGGGTTGCCGCTGCCGGAGGTGCACCTGGCGGTGAAGGAGGGCCGCTTGGCGGACGTGCAGAAGCTGCTGGAGCAAGGCAAGAACGTGAACGAGGTGGACCTGGAGGGGCAGACGCCGCTGCACACGGCCGCTAAGTACGGCCAGGACCGCATCGCAGACCTGCTGCTCAACCATGGCGCCAACATGGAGGCAAAGGACAAATGGGTGAGCGCCACCTGGCAGCCACGTGTTGCTGCATACAGTTGAGCTTCTTGCGAGCAATTATATTGGACCGGAAGAAGTTTCTCTTAATCAACTCTTTGCAAGACCCTTCAAGAGAGACGGGCGCGAACCAATGTACAACTGCTGAGTGGTGTGATGGCAGCACATGTGCACACATTGTCGTAGACAAGGATTGCAATGAAGGGAGAGGAAAGTGGTACCACCCGGAGCAAGTGTCTGGCTGAACACTTGTGACATCCTGATCTAGGATGAACAGGCTCCTAAGGTGGTTGAAACGTGCTCTTGCCTAGGCCTTCTCGCCTGGTTGCCTAGAATGGTTCATCTGCAGGCTTTGAAGTGAGCTCGCATCACACATTGGCTGAAGCGCAGGTGATTCTGCAAGGCACGTGTGCTGTTGTGTCGAACCAGTTGGGAAGCTTTGGCTTGCAGGGGCTGTGGACGCCGCTCCACCACGCCGTGTTCAACGGAGCGACCGGCGTGGTGAAGCTGCTGCTGGAGAGGAGCTGCGACAAGGAGGCGCGGGACCAGGTACGCAACAAAGCCAAGGCAGCGTCATGAGCGCAGTGTCTGTGCTCCGATGCTCGTCAGCAACGAGTGTCGGGGGTGCCTTGCTGCTGATTACGTGACCCTCACAAGGAACTTCGAAAGGTATGCTCCATTCGAGATTAGACCGTAGAATTTTTTCGAAGTGGGTGCCCCATTGGCGTGTGCAGGAGGGCCAGTCTGCGCTGCACCTGGCGGTGATGCGCAACCGCATCGTGGAGCTACTTATGCTCATCGAGTCGGGGGCCAACCCCGACACCATCGACAAGGCAAGGGCCAACGCTTCCCTTGAACTCTTCTGTTGTTTCGCTCTGTTGAGTCAAACATTGCATGACGCCGCCGTAACGCCGACCACGACGTGTTTCCGCTTGGCAACTCGTGTGTTCTCCGCTGCAGAAGATGTTCACTCCGCTGCACTGCGCTGCGTCGAGTGGCAGCGTGGAGGTGGTCAAGGTGCTGCTGCAGAGGGGGGCCAACAAGGCGGCCAAGAACAAGGTGCGCCGCATGCGCTCTCACTCCTTCGCTCGGTCAAAGTTGATTCAGTTGCCTGAGCGGGCTTGTACCGGTCGCTCTGAGGAGGAGTTACACGAGAATCCGCCGACTTCGTAGCATGCTTCCGGTTCCCTGCGGCTCTACTGATTCCCAGGCAGTCCCTACTGTGCCCTGCTTTAAGGTAGGGCGCAAGAAGACAAACGGGTCGTGACCAGAAACTGAAGCAGGATACAGGACCTTTAGCCTACATAAAATGTGGTCCATAAATCTTGATAGACAGACTTGAAGGCTAGCTGAGGCATCTTGCGTTGCGATATGCGTGATCAAGTGGGAGGATCACACGAGCACAAGTGTCTCTACGGAGCAAGCGCTTATGGGGCGTGAGAATAATGGTCGGCCGCTGGTACGCAGGACGGGCATACCCCGCAGCAGCTGGCGGAGCACGGCAAACGGGCTGACGTCATCAGGATCATCAATGCGCACACGGCCAGCAGGCGGGGCTCCACCATGGTGAGCCGCCGCGCAGGAACTCACTAAGCATGCCAAGCCTACACAAGTAAACTTGATCGAGGAATTCAGATCATGATTGCCGGGAGTGGTAAACATGAGGAGCCATGTTGGAAGCTCGGATGTGCGCGGTAGCACCAGTGGGGGAATCAGTGCCGCACGGTGCAAAGAAGAGTTGGCAAAGGTTCACGTCTGACCACACAATGTAACGCTTTCCCACACGCCCTCGTGTTTCGACTGACTTGTGAGGTTATGTCCTGTCTTAAGGACTAACTTCTGAACACTGCAGTAGCAGAGAAAGTAGAGGCCTTGACGACCAAGGGGGTCGTCACAGTGTCTGGTGGGCAGTGGAACAGCACGAGCATTGACTCCCCGATCGAGGGACATCCCTTTTGGCAGTACGTTTCGCCAGTACCCACCTTGATCGGAACCAACCGGCTCGAATCAATCGCAAACACCGGTATTTATCGCTACGCAGGTTGTTTAAGGCTTAGCAACTGCTCTGACGCCGTCTTTGCGTGCTTCCCAGGTGGGCGGTGCGGTGGCGGAGACGATCGCGCAGGTGGACCTGATGCGGCGCGCGGAGGCGAGCGTGGGGCGCGCGTACGACGAGATTGCGGCACGGCGCGCGCAGGCCAAGCTGGAGGAGATGGAAGAGAAGAAGAAGGCCGCCGAGGACCGCGCGCGCGAGGCCACCGACAAACTGCAGGACGCGCTCGACCGGGCCGCGCAGGTGCGCTGCGGGGGGCCAATTGTCGACTATATAAGAATTTAGAATCCTTTCAACGAAAATGTTTATCTGGTGCGTCTTCCTTCTCTAAGGGACGGACTTGGAAGGGCCGCCAAAATTGCGTAGGGGAGTGTTCCAGTTGCTGACGGCAAAGTGCAGCTTGGGAAGTGAATTCCATCTCCTGACTGCCCCGTCTGTGGCTGTCCTATTAGAAAGTCAGTGTTGCAACCTTGAAAACATTTGGCGGGACCTTTGACTCTGATCACTCTATCCGATTTGGCAGGCGGAACGGAAGCAGTCCGACGCGGAAGCTGTGGCCCGTCGCGAGGAGGACATCCGACGGCAGGCAGAGGAGAGCGCGGCGTCCGAGAAGATTCTGAGAGCCGCCGCCGAAGAGCGCGCGCTGGAGAGCGCGACTGCGCGCGGGCGGGCCGAGGCAGGCGCAGCGGCCGCGGAGGCGAAGCGGCAAAAGGTGTGCGCTCCGATGTGGCACAAGGCTTGAGTGTTTGCGTTTCTTTCAAGTTGCCGTTTGAGAATGTGGATTCATTTGGAAGTACACTCACCAGAGGAGTTACATGACGGGAACAAGATCGGGAGGGCGAGAAGTGAGTCCCCAGCTCCATTGTTGTGAACGGCCCGTTTGGCGACACTTCTTGTAAAGCAGCGTTGCCAACAAGTTGGGGTTAAACCCTCTCGACGTATGCAATACTTCAACGATTGGATTTAGACGCATAACTGGTGAACCCAGATCGATTGAACGCCGGACGGGAAGGCTTGGTTTGACTTGAAAGGAATGAGGCAATCAGATATCTCACCCCGACACCTCCTGCAGTTCCGCTCCTAGCAACAATCAGGAAGGAGTAGCACGGCAGCCCCATATAAAGCCTACTCAGCGACGAATCAGCTTTGCTCCTCTCCATTGGCGCACTGTCAGGCAGATTGCAACAGTCCGACTCCCTTCACTCTGAAGTTCGAAATCTCGTCACCCGTATGCACATTCTCCCCTTGTCCCGCAGGCCGAGAAGCGTGTTGAGGAGCTGACGTCTGCGCTGGAGGAGACGCGCAAGACGCTGGACGACGCGACGCACATCCGGGAGAAGCTGGAGAAGCAGCTCCAGGCGGAGGTGCACGCGGGCCACCAGGCGCGCGCGGCCGCCGACGCAGCCGAAGAGCGCGCGCGCGCTGCCGAGACACGCGCGCAGTCCGCAGAGGAAGAGGCGGAGGCTGCGCGGAAGGAGGCGGCCGAGGCGGGTGAGCGCGCGAGCGAGGCGGGGGTGCGGGCGACTCAGGCAGAGAAGCGGTGCGCGGCCTCCGAGCAAACGGCGGGCGAGGTGAGGACTGTCAAAGGTTTCTAACACTGAGTATACGGAATTGGTGCTGCATGATATGTTGAGTGGCAAAAGCATTCCGTCGAGACAATGATTGCTGGATTGCAGCCTTGCAGTTTCTAAAACGCTATAAGTCCTCGAGCTCCGCAGCTTCTCCATATCAAAAAAACATCAAAGATGTTTGTTACTATCGTAGACCGCTTTTTTGGAGCATTGCAGCGCAAAATCATCCAGATTCTTCCATGCGCTTTTCGCTCGCTACAGCCAACAGAGTCCATAATCTTTTTGGAGGGCGACGGATCGTTCTTGGCACTCACCATCTCATCCTTCTTCTCTGCGTGATACTATCAGATCCAGCATCCAGTCTCATGAGGGTCCGCGCTTCCTGAATGGCCACAATAGCGCGCTGCTGACCCGTCGATCGTTCCGTTTCCAGGAGTCCGCCAAACGGAAGGAAGCCGAGGCGGCCGCGGCGCGCGAGTCGAGCCTGCGCTGCGACTTTGAGCAGGTGGCAAGCGCCGCCGAGAAGCGGCGGAACGAGCTCGAGTTGGTCAACCGGAAGCTGGAATACAAGCTGACGGGCGCGCAAGAGATGGCGCGCGAGGAGCGCGCGAAACGCGAGTCCGAGGCGGGCAAGGCAGACGAGAAAACTCGCGAGCTCGAGGCGCGGCTCGCGGACGCGCTGCGGAAGGTGGAGGAGCAAGAAAAGTGCGCGGGAGAGGCGGAGAGACGCGCGCGCGAGTTGGAGAAGAAGCAGTTCATCGCGGACAGTCGGCTCTTGGAAACGGAGAACGAGCTTCAGCGGTTGAAGAGGGACGGGGACCGGTTGGAAGCGGAGCTGGCGAAAGCGCGCGCGATGATGCAGGAGTGGAAGGCGCGCGCGGTGGACAACGAGGTGCGGCGGGCAAACGCGGAGGCACGGGCCACGATCGAGGGGAACAAGGTCGGGGACCTCGAGGCCAAGGTGAGAGCGCGCGCGCGCAGAGCCTTGCGAAATTGTCTTGATAACGTCTTTCGCAATTTCCATTACATCTTGATGCAGTGCCAGGTGAAAAGATACATCATTGAAAATGAGGTTTCTAATATCTTGCCCAGATTTCGTAACATAAGATGTTCAATCCCGGTCGTAAGGCCTCCATCCATTGTGCGCTGCCTTCTCCTTGTTCAATCGATGGTAGATCACGGACCTCAGGTGCATTGGATTTGTAAAGGCCTGGGCGCGGAGGGGTCCTGAAGGTTCTGATGGACGGTTCCAATCTGACGTCCCCCGGTTCTCACCCGGCGCTGGCTGACGTCATCTGCGTTGTGATGCAGCTGGTGGACATCCAGCTCCGGGCGGCGGGTGACGTCAACAGCGAGAGCGCGAAGCGGCGGCAGGCGGAGGCGGCTGTGCGCGACGAGAAGGAGAAACGCGAGCGCGCGGAGGCGATCGCGGCCGAGGAGGCGCGGGCACGCGAGCTTTTGGAAAGGCGGGACGCGGAGGCGGCCGCCAAGATGCAGGAGCTGCAGTTCTCGTGAGTTGGAGAACAGAAAGAGCTTTTTTGCATCATTTTGTGACTTGAGGCATTACAGCTAGGATGGAGATGCACGTCGAAAGTGGTTTAGACGGGCCGATCATTCAATGACCGGAGAAGCAAGGACGAGCAGTCTACCGAACAAGGATAGTAGACAGCTTCAGCTTGATAGCAACTTCTTGAGCCAGCCAGGTGCCAGGAGACGTGGCTTTGTAGCTGGACGATGATGGCAGATTATGAGTAGGGGCGCTCATGATTTCAATTTTCAGGGTTGGGTTATGAATTGAAAGACCTGTGGTACCTTAGCGTGTCAGATTTGTCTGTGTGTGAGCCTACGTTATGGACTTTTCTACGTGGCTCACTTCGGAAGAGCCGTTCTCTGACCTGCTCCGCCGTGCTGCCGTGCAGGGTGCAGTGCGGGGTCGAGAAGCAGTCGCAGCTGCAGAAGGCGCTCGCGGAAGAAAGCGCGAAGCGCGCGCATATCGAAGCCAAGCTCAAGGCGGAGGCAGAGGCGCGGGCCGCCTTGGAAGCAGCCATTTCCCATGAAATCGCGAGAGCAGAGGCGCATAAGCGCGCGCTCGCTCAAGCGGAGGATGACTTCAAGGAGTTGAAGGAGCGAGCCCGGGAGGCGGAAGAGGGGACCGGAGCGGAACGGAAGCGGAAGGAGGAGCTCGAGTTGGCGCTCGTAGAAGGTGAGGCAACTCCATGTAACAGGCTGACTGAATGAAGCAATACGTGCGTGAGCGTCTCCTCTTTCCGCCCTTCAAAAGCTCATTCAGCGCTTGTGACGTATTCTGGGTTTGAGGGCTTTAACGATTATGAGTTGCAACGCTGTTGTAAGACTCAAAATCTATCTGTAACACTCGCAGCCGACGGTCATAATGCGGTGACTCAGGGCAGCGCTCATTTCTGGTTCTCGCGATGTCTAACAGTCCCCCAGCAACAGCTTTCCTCGGATCCAGCACCGTGAGACCCTTTTCTTCTTTGTGACAGAGAGCAACCGTCGGATGGCCGCCGAGAGCCGCGCCGCGCACGAGGGCGCCAAGCGTGCTGACGCAGAGGCACGTGCCCTGGCGGCCGAGAAGAGCGGGTCCCTGGCCGAAATCGAAGCGCTCGAAAACGCGCGCGCGGAGGCGCGGGCCGAAGCCGCCAAGAGGGAGGAGGCGGAGATGCGCGCGCGGGAAGAAGCGCTAAAACGTCAGATGGCAGAATCACAGGTGGGCCAAGTTCGAGAGGTGCACCACAACTCCAAGTGCTTTGTCGTGCAAATAGGAATCTTCGTCTACTAATGGCGACCTTTTAGGCTGGCGTGCATCGAAGCCGTTGGTCTTGTTTCTGTACGGTGTGCCGTCAAGAGTTGTACCTACCACAATAACGTCTTGGAGAGGAGGTCGCGAGTTCTCGTTCAAACGGCTCTGTCCACTGAATTCTTAAGTATTTATTGAGTTACGAGCGTGACAAACTGCAAGGTCAAGCTCCAAATGCGCGGTTGGCTTATTCAAGCAATTACCGGCACTTCCATTGACCTGAGATCAAGCTACGTGTAAGGTTCCAGGATTAGAAGGCGTTCGACGTGCCATTCGGGGACTCTATCAAAAGTATGTGATCCCAGTCTGTACTGCGGCCGATACTTACCCTTCACTTCTTCCACTTGGAATACAGGTCGAGAACGATGCTCGAGAGCGCGCTGCCCTGCGCGCGCAGTTGACGGAGGAGCACGCCAAGCGGTCCGCGCTGGAAGCGAGCGCGCGCGAGGAGCGCAGGCGCTGCGAAGAGGGCGACGGGGCACTGCGCGAGGCAACGGGGAGGGCTGCGCGGCTGGAGGCAGCGCTGGCGGAAGCGCAAAGCGGCGCGTCTGGCGCAGCGCGCGAGCGAGAGGAGCTGGAGGCGAAACTAGCGGCTGAGGCGGAGAAAGTGAGCGACAACGTGTCTCTAACACTATTCAATCCACGGATGAGTACTCCCGATCACATTCGTGCGAATGGCAATCCGAGAGCGGTGTGCTCTTTCGCACACGAAAACTTGCACTGACTAACAGGTGACTTGCTGTCAATTCCAATTTTGCTTGCCGTCATTGAAATCGCCGAGTCTGCTGTCCTCTTGTCAAGTGCCGTCCTCAGTTTCTTGGGTGAGAAACAGATTGCTAAGAATAGTGGTCATCGTTAGCTGGTCTTTGATTGAATGCTTTTGGACCGTTCGTGGCTTAGACACCTTTCTTGACCCTGTTTTCCTTCTGCGCAGGCCCGCGAGCTGGCGTCCCGGCTGGAGCAGGCCCACAGCGCGCGCGTTCAAACCCTCGACACCGCGGCCGCGAGCGCGCTCCACAAGCAGGTGGAAGAGGTCCAGCAGCGCCTCCGGAGCGAGTCGGAGGAGCGCGCGTCGGCTCAGGCGCGCGTCGCGGAGGCGGAGGCCCGGCTGGCCGACGCAGAAGAGAGAGCGGCGGCCGCCGAGAAACTGGTCGCCGAGGCGCGCGCGCTCGCGCGCAGCAGGGGAGAGGCGAGGGAGGAGGTGGCGCGGAAGCGGGCGGAAGAGGCGGAGGAGCGACTGAAGGAGGTGAGGATTATATCCGAAGGTGCATCGGTGTATTCTCAATGGGCGTACGCTGCAAGATTGTTGCGTTACTTAGATGGGCTGAACCGGTAATGTTTCTTCCAAAGGATCTGCTATTTCCGTCCCGAGAACCTTTTTGCTTGCTATTTTTGGGATATCAACCTGACAACATCGCCAGATCTTTCGTCTGAAACCCGAACTTAGTTCTTCTCTTTTCTTTTCAGCAGTATTCTTCTATATACAAGACCTCCAGGGACTGTCAGAGATATGCAGTCTTACTGACAGAACGGCCACTCGCTGCAGTCCGAAGCCCGTCGCCTCGAGGCCGAAGCGCGCGCAGAAGAGGAGGCGGCCCGGCGCGCGCGGGCTGAGTCCAGCTTGCAGAGCCTTTCGCAAAGCCAGGCGTCGCTCGCGCGCCTTCAGGAGGAGGCGAACGCGCGCGCGGAGGAGAGAGCGGTGGAGCTGGCCGACGCAGCCATGGCCGGGGAAATGGAGAAGCGGCGCGCGGCGGAAGCAAAGCGGGCCGACAGCGAGGCGCGGCTCAAGGCCGAGGCGGCCAAGTGAGGAGCTTTAGTTTTGCGCTCAAGTGTACACCCGCCCGGTCCGGCGCTATTCGTTGAGCGATGCATTGGCGAGGCCAGATTGCGCCGTTTTTGCTCGAGGAGCTTTCAGACGATCGGATTCCGTTGCATCAGATTCTGTTCCTGTTGGGTGCAGGCAATCCGTTGGAAGATTCTTTCACAGTTTTCAAAAGTACTATTTGATAGTCGCACAATTGTCTGATCTGATGTGAAATCAGTAGAAGGATGTGATTTTGAGGTTATCTTCTTCTCTCGCTCTAGACGTGCGGAGGCGGACGCAAAGGCCGCGCGCGAGGAGGCGCGGCGCAACGAGCTGGAGCAGCGGCTGGTAGCGGCAGAGGCCGCGCGCGCGGGCCTGGAGTCAAAGGTACGCGAGGCGGAGCGGCTCGCGGAGAAGAGCGCGCGCGCGTTTGAGGAGGCGATGAACAAGAGCGAGGCCAAGGCGCAGGCGCTCGTGGAGTCGGCGGCGCAGGTGAGGACACGTGGAGCACTGGGATTGAGGGTATGTTTGGAGGCTATAGGCTCGTCAAGTTCAGGCGAAGGTTTTGAAGCCAAAGAGAACCTCGTGTTAAGTTCCAGGTTACCCAGCTTACCGTGCAAGACGAGTACCCTGCTTTCGAGGCTCACCTCGATGTACTTGTATGTGCATCCGTTTTCTCGTTGACGTCATGGCTCTGTTATTAATCTTCCGACCTTCCGTTCCGCAGGAAGAGGCCCGGAAGCGGAAGGCTGCCGAGGCCAAGCTTCAAGAGGAAGCAGCGAAGCGCGCGGCCGCGGAGTCGAAGCTGAGCGCGACGGAGATGAAGAAGGGCGACGCGGAGGCGCGCGCCAAAGAGGCGGAGCTGCGCCGAGCGGAGGTCGAGAAGCAGCTCAAGGCAGAGCAGGTGAGAGAGCGACGAAACGGCGGGCTGAAGCGGTGCCTAGCGTTACCGACGCACTGCATGGGCGACTAAAAAGTCTGGTTGTAAAAAGGCGTACTCTGATGATAGAGGGCAGAAACAGAATTTCGAAGGAGTCTAAATCACTCTATGCTCTGAAAATCTGAGTCAAACAGGTGTTTGATCAGTGGTGTTGTGTGATGTGAGGGGACCCAACATTGGAGTAGAAGGAAAGGAGCATTCAGGTCTGGATCGGCACTCCATGTCGTAGTATCCCCTAAGCCTCGGTTCGACAAGCGAGGTCTCGATGCTATTACAATGGTTACATACATCTAAAAGATGAGATCCTGCTTTTCTCTTTTTCTAAGCTTCCGGAAGGCAACAACCCAACAATATATTGTCCCACTTCAGGCCCCTCGTTTGTGCCAACCAGACATTCATGAGGCGCTTGGGCTGGATATCAATCAGATATCCGTTGAGTTAATATTATCTCGCTTCCGCTTGGAATGCAAACCCTCAAACCCCGCGCAGGCGAGGCTAGCGGATATGGAGGCAAAGATGCGCGACGCGCTGCGCAAGCGCGAGGAGGCGGAGATGAAGGCGCGCGCGATGACGCTCTCGCTCGCGGAGAGCATGGACGGCGCGGCCGCGGAGGCGACCATCAAACAGATCGAGAAAGACACGAAACTGTCGACGGACCCCATCAGCGACGACGAGGACGGCAAGAAGAAGAAGGGGGGGGGCATGTTTGACAAGCTCAAGGCGTACAGGATGGGCAAGACCTAGCCACGTCTGTGTCTGCGAAAAATGGCCTAAAATGTTGAGTCGTTGGAATGGATCCTGATAGGCTCAGGTTCAGCCAAGAAAGGCTTGAACAGGTACCGTACCTGGATGCGCAGTTCGAAGCGTGTTTTGGATGATTCAAAAGAGGAGCTGAAGGGAAACCTAGCTGCTTTCCTCAGCCAGAGAGACTGGTGGAGAGATCAAAAGCTCGAAGCAAGCGAAAGATGGGCCGCGGGACGTGCTCAATTGATGACTCGCATGCTGAGCATTGGTCAACATGAATCGTTGAAGAATTGTGTTGAGCTGTAGAAGACGGAGTTTCAGTTTTAAAGGAAGATGAACACAGCTACTCAGATCACAGGACAAGGTATACCGACCTCTACACATGATCAGACGTAAACATGACCGCTACAGGACACCCGTGCATGCTTACAGCTAATGTTATACAATTAGTCAAAGAGACATCAACAAAAACTTGGACTGCGCACGTCACGGTATTCAGATAATGACAGCACACGTTAGGAAGCATACTGTTCTTTGCATATATGCATTTCCGGCTACTCTCGTAGTATACGGTATGGCAGACAGAGTACCTGATAAGCTAGGCTAGGCATAACAGTGAGGAGGTCAAAGTGAGGCAAATCGATCTTTCTCTGTAATTATTGGACTCCGCAATTTCAGCACGACCGTACAAAGACGCCATGCATCCCATGGCATATGGGCAACTTAAGGCAGCTTAATTTGCAAGAGCACGTTCATGCTGCATGAGCTAGCCATGCTTATAGCCGGGAACTTTGCCGCGCTTTACATAAGTAAGTCAGCGATCACTTTCGTTAGCCACCCCAAGCTGCAGCTATGCATGCATGATCGATGTGTACGAGCGCGTTTGAGCATCACTGTTTATAGAGTTTATTCGAGTGAGTCAAATGTCATTCAAATTAATCAAATTGCGCGCCGTCGCACATATAGTACAGCCGAACGCGCCCGCCAGCTCGAAGTAAATGAATAATGATGCACTCAAAAAAGACGTTGGCGCGCCGGCGGGCTCGATTGCGTATGTGGCCGCCCGGTGAGCACTCGATCATCATTGCCTCGCACCGCGCTCAACACCTGTTGCACGGTTTGCCGCCGGCGTAGTACGTGCGTAAAGAGGCGTGTCTACCGTATATGCGTGACAGAGGGTCCCGGCCCACTCCATGACAGCTAGTAGATCGAAGACCGACTCTTACGATGGAAAACAACCAACGCCGACCGTCGGGGTATAGTAAGCTCGGCGCATGGCGCCAGCCTTTATGGTTGGCCACCGGCACAGACGGTAGGCCCTACCCGTATAAAACTTCCATCGGCAGGCTTACATCAACAGAGCAGAATGCCGCAAGCGGGATGGTCACAGTCCGGACCATGCGGCTGCAGTCGCCGCGACACTGATCGCAATAGCCTGAGGTCCGTCCCGCGGGGTTTAAGTTTGCGATCGCCGCAGCGAGCCTTCAAAATGTCCACTTGACAACGATAGAGCGGGGGAACGCGTCCGTACGAATCGCGTGGCTAAATCAGAGCGAAGACTTTTGATCCCAAAAATTTTCCAATTTCACTAGGGGTTCCATGCCGTGCTCCATCTACTTTCCTCTTGTGAAAGAGAAGCCGCCCAATCTCCGGCTACCGTCGTGCTTCACCACATCGCCTATGTTACGACACTCGGCCACGTCCTAAGCCCTCGCCTCCCGCGCATCTTCCTCCATTTTCTTCCGCTTCCTGTTGAAGTCCGCCATCGCCGCCTTAGCGAGCAGCGCCGCCAGCTCCACATCCGGAACGTCCTCATCGCCCCCCCCTTCTCCCCCGCCTTTTCCGCCCCCCACTTCCGCTCCATCCCTCCCCCTCACGATCGGCACCTCCTCGGGAGGCCCGTTGCCCTCTTCTCGATCGGCCCCCACTTCTCCCCCACCTTCTGCCGGCTTCTCTGCGTAGAGCTGAACCCTTGGATCCACCAGCGCGGCGATGTTGCCGTCCGACTGCCAGCCTTTCTCGGAAGAGGCCCCCCACGCGGACTCGGACGACTCGGGCTCCTCTTCTTCCAGGGTGTAGCTCCCGGCTTCGGACGGCAGCGCGACCGTGATGACGGGGAACTCGATGAGCGTCTTGCGCTCCAGCAGCTTGCGCAGCGGGCGCGACGGGTCGATCTTGTAGTACACCTGCTCGCTAGCCTGCGGGAGTCGCGGTACTTGTTTACGAAACGGCGCTTGGAATCTTCAGACCCGCTGACGCATTCAGAGGCCACACTGTTCAGAGTAGAACTGCCACTCGCTCATGGTAGCTTAACACCACGACTGAAGTTCGACAAACAGGTTAGCCAAAGGGAAAGCTGAGCAAATGTTGCTGGCTTAACAAGAGCAAAACACGCTGTCTCGATTTTCTGACGATGGAATGGAGGCAGTCCCTCAAGGGCTTGAACACACGGGACTTGTTGACTGCCAGTCGAGTAGGCTTGAGAAGTCGCAACGACTGGGCTGGAGGGCAGAGAGCACGACGTCTTGAATACAGTCTGTGTATACAAACATCGTTCATAGCAGATTCGACTTGGACAAATCATTACGAACTTCAGCAGGGCTTGCATTCTCTTCAACAGCAATCTCCTTGAGGCGGATCGCACAGAGACCCAAGTTGCATACGGCCCCAGCAGACGTCACACGACGGACTAATTGGGCGCGGCGAGCGCGCGCGCACCTTGCAGCAGTCCTTGCGCAGCAGGAACGTGAGCGTGTCCGCCCCCGCGGCGCAGTAGTCGCGCAGCTTGTGCCGCAGCGCCGCGTTGCCGGGCCGCGCCTCCAGGAGGCCGCCCAGCGCTTTCAGCGGCGGCTGGTGCTCGTCTAATCTGCGCCACGAAAAAAAACGACAGTGAGGACCAGCGGCGGTCTTCCCAGTCTGGGCAGCTGCCAGTAAGACCACTGTTGAGGACTCAGCGGTTCTGACGCGATCCATATGCCCAAATTTTATGCGGACCTTGATTCGAGGCGACTGATGATCACGCAGCCTCACAGGAAGGACGAGGCAAGATGTAGGTGCCGTCTCTCGAACTCAGGACGCACATGACGTCGAAGTAACGACGCTGTCAGCCTTCGCGGCCAATGCGAGCTGGCTTCCCGTGCTTGACGTTTAGATTTCTCATTTAATCGGACGACTGCAGGATCCCAGGAAGAGGTAGATGTGCACTGCTTTTGTGCGCGAAACTAACCTCTTGAGGCAACTTATCTATCGAGTCCGAGGATCACGAGAGTTGGGCGTGGACAAGTGAAAAGGAGGAACTCCATGCTGAAGCCCGTTGGACTGGAAGAAGCTCACGAGCCCGGTTCACTAGGATAACAAAGGCGGTCGTGCTTTTCTGAAAGCAGAGACTCACTTTGTCGTGGCCAGCTGAACTTGGGCAGACGGGAACACCCACTCGATCCGCCAAAAGAAGCATTTCCTCCTGTGCGAGACATTGTAGGCAATGTCAGCTTTCTGTGCCCCAGAGTGATTCTTGGATGACAAGGGATGAGCCCAGATGACACCAAGCACGTGCAGCTTGGACCTTCTTTGACGCTCTCCTAATTCTGACGGCTTCACGTCTATGAGAGGTACGTGGCAGTGAAACTCCTGGATTCGTGCCAACCGATAGCGTTCCTGCTAAAGGCCTGGGTTGCATACGAAGAACCGACTCCGGCCAGAAGATTCAGACCAAAAAACTAATGATCGACCCGGACCGCAGGGAGGAAGGTGAGCGAAATGGATGGGGGTAAGGCGTTCGAAAGGAGGCGCGTTTGTAGCGCCACCTCTCTTGGACTCAGTTGGACACATGTCTCTCGACGGCTTTGAATACCAAATATGGAAATGGGCGGTCACAGAACACAACAACGATTGCTATAAGAAAGAGAAACGCACCAAAGCTCCTTCTAGCTCCTCATAACAAAGTAAACTGCTCACTTCTTGTCGTAGTAGGACGTGTTCGCTTTGCGCCGCGACAGGTCCGACGAGAGCAGGATGAGCTCGATGCGCCGGTTGCGCGCCTGGGTGATGAGCGCCATCAGCTTGCCGGGCGTGCGCGAGTAGGGGCCGCCCTCAAACGTGCCGCGCATGCGCCGCGACGCCTCGTTCTGACGCAGCGCCTCCTCCAGAAAGTTATAGTCTGTGCGCAGGAAGAAGGGTAAGGACGAGGGACAATGAGAAACGCGTTGCTTTGTATCAAAGAAACGTTTTGGAAGGGTACTGAATGCGCGGAGATGCGGACCTCTACACAGCAAGGTCCTGATTGAAGACAGTATATGATTATGGTGTGGCTGGACAATTGTTCAACGGCCTACAACATCCTCTTGCCTCAGATGCTTGGGACGGCTGATTTCCTGCACCTGTCAGCACTTGTTTCTTGTGACCTTCCGAAAGAGCACTGTTGAGGAGGCATGTCGGACCATGGCCTTTGATCCCCAATGCAACTGACTTGCCACAGATCAAATGCACCAAGAGTAGACGACTAAATTGTATTCGCTGACTTTCTCTATCCCCAATGTTTGAGCAGGGCCATGGAGGCCAGCAAGAACATGCTCCCATCTAACACATCCCTGAAGCTGCAGGTCTCTTGCGGGCCTTGTCGAGATCTTCCCAGGCGTTCTGACATGTCCAAGCACGTGTCCAGCTTCTTATCTTCCAGCGCAATCCAGGTCACCGTTTGCCAGTCAGAGCACGCTGCGCTGTCGCGGTCACTCACCTGAGATGAGGTTGTTCTCATCAAACTCGGCCATCTTGACCATGGCCGTCTTGTTCCGCTGCCCTTTGCACCCCGTCCGCTCTTTGTGCCCTTTCGAGCACTCCAGGCTGCACGTCTGGACCCCACACCCAGGACACCGGTACTTGGCAGTCTGCTCATTACAAAACCCGCATGGCTCGTCTAGTTTCCGCCGCTTTGGGGGGCTCCCTGACGGTCCTTCTCTTGAAGAGCTTTCAGGAGGGGGAGCTTCTACATTGGGGGCTTGAGAAGCTCCGTCTAAGGTTTTAGGAGAGGGGGAAGCTACGTTGGCGTCTGTGTTGGGCCCTCCGGAGGTTTCTGCCGGGAGCTCAGTCTCTTGTTGGAAGAGGATCTTGGAAGGGTTGCTCATGGGTTGGTCGAGGGCTACGGGGGCCAGAGGTGCTGGCTGAGTTGCCCCAGCCATGACGGCTGGAGTGACAAAGGGCTGCACTACCTGTTTCCCTGAACGAGGGTGAATCTACTCGAAGCTTCAGCGGTTGGGCTCAGATGGTTTCAGGGGCTGCAGGGGTACAAATAACCAGTCTAAGAACAGAGTGATCAAAAACAATCATGACACAGCTTCAGTGTACGAGGAACGTTGTTTGTGACGTTCCTGCCCTCATCTCAAATTTTCGCCCGGAAAAGAAACGAACAAAGCAAGCCACATTGGAAAAGGAGAAGTTGACATCACTGGGCGTAAAAGAAAAGAAGTACGTGAAAGGTGACACCTGAAAAAGAGGGCAGTCTACTTGGAAGGCAGCAGCCGCAACACGGAAAAGACCCAATGAGCTGAGCTTTCTCTTCCCTTGTGTTCCCCAAGACTTCTAATCTAAAATTTTGGGTATTAGGCCATTTGGGGCACCCAGCGCAGCTAACAAAAGACAATGCATGATGCCAGTCGCAGCCCTTAACAATTCACCAGAGTGAGGAAGTCTTGAAGTAGTGGACAATGCTGCTCCAAATCTCTTCTGGGAAACCTACCCCTTGTTACTGGATACCAAAAATCACCACCACCACCCTTTGGTTTTGAGCATCTTTCAGAAGTTCCCACTCATGTGTGATACGATCGATCCACTCATGCCGGCAACTTCCAAATACATCATTGGAGCGGTTTAAGAGCAAGTGCACACTTGTTTGGGTCCAACTCCCTATGCATCAGCTGTTTGAACAGACCTGTAATGCAGTAGGGCAGCTTGAGAGCAAGGAGAACGCAGAGGAGAACTTCAAGACATACCTGCCAGAACTATAGTTTAGCCAACTCTATTATGGCTTTGTGCACATCTTGACGTTCGCCCTCTTTTGAAACCAGCTCAGCTGAAAAGATATTCAATTTCTGCAGTGAAGTCGAAGCCCGACCCATGAGGCAGAATCCAAGTAGTGTGAATACGCTACGACGGCACCGATAACGGTCACAAAACCTTTACCAGGCCGATGCGTCGATGTGCGTGGGAATGAACCTGTGCCACATTAACCCACAGACAATATAGAACGAGGTTGCTTATAAAGCCTGGTGAAGGGGCTCAGTTTTGCTAACTCGTCCTGAGTCAGGGAGAGTCAGCAGGTCAATGACCGTCTAGGGACGGCTTGCTGTGCTATTACCCAATACCGAACACACCTTGCAGGGGCGACCCTCTGGTCGTTACCTGCAATTTTTGCAAGCCGTTCAGAGCATTACTTTACATGCCCTGAAACGGCTTCGCGTGATCATGATCTCGAGAAGTTGATTTCTGCCTTCGCTTGCGACGTTGCGCACCTCCATATCGTGAGAACTTGACGGTTGCACACTTGACAAGCGTGCCATAGAGCGCCAGCATTAGTGTACGTTGTGACCCAAAGCTGCTCGCCGCGAGGTCAAATGACGATTAGAGTTCTTTACATACATCCATTTTGGCGTAATGCAGGTTGGTTTGCCAGGTTGGTTCTACATATATATCTCCCCTTCGTATTGTCGAACTGTCTCGATCAAGGTAGCGGCCCACACATGCATGATGCAGACCCGCACTGATGATCAATTGCTCTTCATGTAAGGAAACGGATAGATCCAGCGGTATTGCCAAACCTCCTTAACTTAAGGAATGAGTCAATACTTACGAGAATCTGCTTCTAACCGTTTGGAAAGGTCCAATGTGACAGATCTGAAGTACGCCAGCGCGCGCGAATATGGTTGCAGATCTGCCGCAAGTCAAATCAACAGCAGCAGTGGCCAGCATGATCATCGATCAAACGATCAAACGAAGTCAACTTTGAGGGTGTGCTAGAAATGGTCAGCTGTTTTCAATGTCCTCGTGCACGTGTCCTTACGTCTTTGTTGCCATCCAACTATCCATCCAAAGCGACAGAAGCGAACATGTTCATTGGCCCGTACGTTGCTGCGGCCTTAAAACTCGAACAACTTATATCAGGGGTTGTAAATTTCAAGCCGCCCCGCTGACTTCTCGTAAGCATGGAACTTCCGGAAAGCTGTGTCAGACGGCATGAGTAGATTCGAGAGCCCACGGAGTCGCTTCCTTGCAATTCCAAATCATGAAGGCTTCTTGGATCATGAACGTTTCTCATGCCCATGCCTAACCTGTTCCGCAGTCGGAGCCACTGTGAGAAACCGCTTATGTGTGCCTTTTCGCCATTAGTCACAGCCCGCTGTTCACCCACTCAGTGCATTGTGATCGACAATCATTTTCGAGACTTCGATCTGACGCGTCCGTTGCCAGTTCGATGGGCCTTTCACATCCATGTCTGTAACCGAGCCGTGCGCTAGCAGCTGCGAACAGGAGATTAAAGACCGAGGGCTTCTTGGATTCTTGACAGTCTTCGATCGGATGAGTTGACGTCAGGTGACCTTAAACAGCTGAGACCCGAGTCGTAAAGGCTGAACTGGACATGCCTGGACAAGGGAGGAAAGTGTGGCGGGTCGGGACTTGTCCTAGCGCAGAGCGAACAACAATGGGCTTAGGTCGAAAGGCCTTCCCACTTAGTAGCTAGCCATCCACAGCATAAATCAGGAATCACTGTCGAAGACGGTAGATGGGTTGGTCTTCAGATTGACTGTGCGAGTGGAAATGATTTCAATCCTGTTGCTCAGATCCGCTCAAGGTTTCGAAGTTTTCCAGCCAATGATTCAGGTAAAGAATTGCGCGCTTAACAAGTGGCGTGGTACTGAAAGGGTGCCTCATCGCAAAGCCCACTGCCTTGCCGCGTGAAATGGACTCTTGATGGAACTTGCTCGCGCTCAACTTGCGAATTAAACCTTGCATTATGAAGTTCGAGTTATTGGTTGATCCGATCATCAAACCAAGGTCTTCCAAAGTGTGCAAGCTTTTTCTCGTAGAGGCTTTCGATCCAGCCGTAATTCTCCGAGCTGCCCAGCTGTGAGGAAGGACTGGATCTGCGCGTTCAGCTTGCCGTTCATGTTCTGCTCCTTCCGCAGCTCGCGCATCAACGTCTGCATCCGGGTGACGCTGTCCTGCAGGTCCACCATCACCTGCTGCCGAAAAGGAAGAAAGTGGATTGTCAAAGCCCATCACTTTCATATAAGACTCGACGAAGGTGTGGCTAAGTTCGGGCACGAGACGCCCACAACAGGAGAGTCAGGAGGAAAAGTTTTTCCGCCAGTACAACATGAAAATGGATTGGTGCAGAAGGCGGACATCTAGCATATGTTGGGGAGCCATCGGAAGGTCGAAAGCGAGTCCCCATAGCAGCCGCTGGAAGGCAGAACAAATTCGGGGGAGGAAGAAGGAACGTGATTACTCAACGTTCCCTCAGCTGTCAATCGGATGATTTTGTCTCTCAATCGCTTCGGACTTGAAGGCAGCTGATTTGGCTTCAACCCATTAAGGCATGTTACTGATAGTCAAACGCATGGTCACAAGTCAGCTTTACCCGGACGGCGCTTTTTCGGCCGTGGTCCCTCACCTCGTTGGACGCGGACTTGTCTGGTTCGTGCCACGCCTTCCCTACAAGGCCTTCCGTCGCCGCCCGGATCCGCCACGCAGCGGAACTCAAGCGTAGTGCATCGGCGGAGGATTCGCTAACAGGTCGGCTCGGCAAAGCCTGCGGAACAAACTTCATTGGTTAACAATCCAAAGGCGTTTCTGCCGTCTATTTCAACAGATTAATGGAGACCGAAATTTCCAAACTTTGCCGTTGAGTCCCTCGAAGGATCCTTTGATTTGCAGGGACAACAGTTTACAACGTCCACGGCAGATCTGGTTTTCAAAAGATGCATTGAGGAAAAGGCACGTAGTTTTCCCTGTACGTAGACTCGATGGTCGCTCGAGATTTCAGGAGATGGAGAGAAAAGGGGCAAATGTCTCCCACGGGACGTAGAGTCGACTGTCGCCCGAAATATCGTACCTGTGTTCTCCGGGGCGACGCCGGCCGCTCTGCTTGGGGCGAGCCGCGCGTGTCGCCCTGCGCAGCCGCGCCGCAGGCAGGGCAGCACCCCTTCTGGCGCGCGCGCTCGACCTTCCCTTTCAGGAGTCGCAACTCTTCTTGCAGCTGGAAACGAGCGATCAGCTGCCCGTTGAATTGCTCTCAAACAGAATCAGTTGCATGAGACCATACGGAGGGCAAATATCTGGAGGAATAAGCGGGAAGAACTGGTTCTGGCAGTGCGCGGCAGATTGAATGAGCTGTTTGCAGAACTCTGGAGTCAGCAGTTTCCCCAGCTTGCGCGTGATTAGCAACTTGAGTACTGACAGAAAGGAAAAGTGCTCAGAACCAAAAACAGTGAAACAAGTATTAACTGATCTCTAACCTTGCTGCGTTCCGCCACCTCCGCCTCTAGTTGCCCCTGTAACGTTTTCGCCTGATCACAGGCCTCCGCGAGGGCCATCAAGAGCTCGTTCTCGCGATCTCGCCATCTGCAGATACGGCATTTTTTTGGTTGACGAGTGGGTATCTTGGGAGGAAAGACGATAACCATCAACTTCAGATACAAGAGCACAACGCCCCTAATGCAACCACCCTCAAGCCTTTCCAAGTGGCTTCCTCATGTTGATGGTACATAGTCCTTTTGCGCTCAAAAGCAGAGATCTGAGGCAAGCACTTCCGCAGTCGCAATCCCCGCTAACCGACTCCCGGGTTTTACCTGAATTTTGGAAAGAGTCTGTTCCAGATTGAAATCCTGGCGACTCTACTTCAGACATCCACAGGTATCCTGCAACTACTGGTTCATCTGTCCTTTTAAACCCTCCACGTCAAGGATCTCTTTGTCTTGTGATCTGCAAGATTTACCTGGCCGCTCCGCAAAACCTACGAGTTAAAAATTGCTCACATTCGCCACTTGCCATTAGAAGGAGTAACACTTCGGTCGCTTCGGACGGTTTGCATGCTGTAAACGTTTTGGACACTTCAACGCTTACCGGACGTCTTCCGCCCCCCTCTGCCGTTCCCTCTCCTCTGCTCCGTCCCGCACGTGCCGCAACTCCGCGTCATGCTGCGCGCGCAGCTGCGCCTCCCACTCCTCCGCGTGCGGCATCACCGCCGACAACCGCGCCGCGAGCGCCTGGCGGTCAAGAGATACTCTTGGGGTTGCCACGTGGTCCCTCGACCTTCCAGAAAACAGTGGATGACGCACACGAGTTGATTTGCGGGTTTGTTGACCCTGAGAGTGCCTTACTCGATCTTACTAACGTCCATTTCTTTTTCCGCTGGTGTTCTACGGCCTTTTACCGTCATGATTCATGCGTTTCAACGGTTCAAGCAGGACGAGGTCCTAAACCTAAGTCTTACTCAGGACACGCTAGATTGCTCGCGAAAAAATAAAGGCACGGCGGCATCCGGTTTTACCTCTTCTCGCTGTCGTGCGCCCTTTTTCTCTTCCTCCAGCTCCTCTCTCAAAGACACCAGGTCCGCTTTCAAAAGCAGCATTTCTTCGGCGGCTGCTGGACCTTCAGGAGACGACAGAAGCTGAGAACTCTCGCCTGCTCTTGGGTCCATCGAAATGGCTTTCCTGAGGATCATTGAACAGAAAAGCAGTCGTAAAAGGGCGGACTAAGATCTGTTCGCGCTGGGGAGCTCGAATCTTGTAGCGCATCGGTCGGTTGCCCCCGACCAATATGATCAAGGTCCGAACAATTCTGCGGCAATTCTCGTGACGTTCCAGGTTGCAGACGGCAAAAAGCCAGGTTGGAAGACGCCCTTTTTTGAGGTTGCCGTTAAACGGAAGGGCTGTACAGATCTATGTAGCTTTTACAAATTCGACGACTGTGAATCAAATCTTACGTTCCTCCTGAGACAGTCTGGTCGGCATTCCACTTTTGTAAGGATCTCTCTTGAGGTCAAGTTGGACAGAACCTGTTTGCAGGCTAGTGCAAGCAAGCTCGAATTTGGGGCGCACTACATCACCCCGGCTGAACCCCGATTATGCAGATCCTCTTACATCAGGCTTACGATTGTCTTATTTGCACATGTCGACGCAACAACTCGTTCAGCGACCCCCGTCGCAGCTGTATCGGGAGGATGCCGCCAGGCTTCCGCTTCTGGCAGCACCCGATTCCGCCCTACCTGCAAATTCAATAGTTTGGAAATGACAAGTGAAACATGGCGCAAAGTCAGATGTTGCACTGCCCTCAGCCAATCAAGTCTTGTTTCGCCAAATTGGGTCTGTCGACCAAGATCAAAATAGTGAGGTACTCCTTAGGGGCAGACTTGATCTGCATTAAAGCGCACCAGACAATGAAGTCGGCTGGACTTCCCGGCAAGCAGCTACACGCAGAGCATTGTTTTGAGTCGCCTTGCATCTGATTTATGACGCGAAGTCGAAACGGAACTCCGATGTGGTTAACAAGATTGCTCGCCTGTATTCAATTACTGCAATGCAACGATCCTCATTTATGCGGCATGATGATTTGGCACGATCGTTTTCTCGCCTCGCGCACGTTTTGCTCCCGACTCTTGGAGCCTAAAGGGCCACCCAGACTGGCCGTTCGTCTTTCCAACTCGGTTCTGTTTGGATTCTGGGCAGTCGCGGGTGGCGACCGCGTGCTGCCAGGTGGCAAGCTCTGATTGGTGGAGGCGGGCAGCTGATCTTGCTGAGCAGTGCCGGCCCGACCCCCGGTTCCAACGGGCGTCCATCTGTGGCCTGTTTGCCTGCGACCGAGAGGAACGAACCAACTTAGCAACAATACTTCTCTACACTTTAAGTACCTCTAATGTCCCTTTACAAGTTGCGAAATGTTACCATTGCGTAAGTTGCACGTCGTTGCTGTGCACAACCCTTCACCTGCAGACGATATATAGATCTGCCCCCCTCCTTGCAATCCGTGCCATTACTTTTATCCCCAATCCTTCTGAGTCTGCGGATTATCGGCCCGAACTGAAACACCAATTCTTCAATCCCTCCAGTCTGCATATCAAACAGGCATGCCCGACAGACAAGCGTGCCTCTTTCGCGTACATTTATTCGTTGAGCTTACCCGCCGGGACGCGGGTGTCCACTTTCAGGACGCTGAAAGGACGGATCTTCATCTCCGTCCGAGTCTCGGTCTTCCGCTTGTGCTGCACCAGGGTCTGTAGGTCCCGAAGGAGCGCCAGAAGTCGTGGGTGCGGTAAAAGAGAGCTCCAAACGCAGGTCGTCTTCGAGACTGCATACAGAGCAATGCTTCTTCAGGCCGTGCAAGAAGTGGTAAAAGAGTCTGGCCAAAAAAGAAGGGCTCTTAACAATTCCCGGACTTTCAGAGTGTATGGGGGAATTCAAAATTCTGAAATACGCGTCCTTTTTTAAGCTCTATGTTTGGGCGCTTTGATAGCGCCGCTTCAGAAAGCTTTCAACACCTCCCAAAAGACTCTAGACGAGGATTTTCCCAAGAGTATGTGCAGCAGAGAAATTGAACGTCGTTTCAATTTGTTCCTGGTCTGGGATTGAAAAAACTTGGTGAAGTCAACTCGATTGGAGCCCTTGCCTCTTGGCTGGCTTGTCCATCTCGTCCCGCTGCACCGCCCACTTGCCTTCTGCCACGTAGCCCGTGTTGAACCAGCAGTAGAAGAGAGACGCCTGGCGAGGAGAGAGCGTCGCAGTTTTTCATTGACACCTCTGTGCCAGAAGTCTCTAGAATGAGAAACATTATCTATTTCATACAGGCCATTGAACAAATGTACAGGGTTTACATGGAGAAAGGTGCTCCTTCTGTTGGGTCAGAACTTCAATCCGTCGAGCGTATCAGGTGGGGTATCAATTGACGCACCATCTAAATGCCTTGAATCAGATAGGAAGTGATTAATCATTTTGACGGTTGGGAGCACGAGTACCCTTCCGATGCACTCCATCGCACTTCGGTGAAGGTCCGTTTAATATAGCAAATCGTCTTCCTTTCGAAGGTTCCTTCGTACCTCCGAATTCGCGTCCAGAGGTACATCTGTATCCTTTCTCTTGGATCAAATGAAGTAACAATCTCTCTCTTCCACTCACGTCCTTGGCGATCTTCCTGTCGAACAGCTGCACCTTGACGTCCCCCATCAGCAGCACCGGCCGGACGTCCAGGGTCAGCGTCCGCCGTACGATCTGCCGGTTCAAGCTCCGTATGCTGCCCTCCTCCTGCGGCCCGGCAACCCCGATTGCTTACTTCAGATGAACACAAGAAGTTCTTCTCCAAGTAAACGTAGCTGCTTGAGCAGTGGACGAAGGAGAAAAACTTGTAAGTTACAGTCAAGCATCACCTTCGAATGCTCCGGAAGGTTGGAAAAAGTGACAGCGGGCAGCATGTATCCCGGTAGCTCATGAAGATACGGCTCGCACAATCGTATGATGTAATCCTCCGCTCGCAACAGCACGATTTGAAAAGTCGTGGCTTCAGTACCGGAGAACTTGTGAGAAGACGTGCAGTTTTCCTGAGATGGCTTACGGTTGACGTAAGTACCGGCGTCACGTTATAGTCTCCCGTGCCGTTGTTGCACGAGACGACTAGGATTACGTCTGCACAAGAAAAACCGACGTCAGCCATAGCTACCAGACCCCCTGCTCGAAACATCAATTGTCTCGGCTAATACCTTCTTGCAGAAATAGCTACCAGAATACGAACTCCCGTTTGGGAGCCCAGATTGGACGTCGCATCACCTCCCTGCTTCTTTCAGACTGGAGACCAGGTTCCATTCTGCCAGGTCTTGTCAAGAGATTCCAATCTGGGACTCTACACCTGGAGCTTATCAGATTTCTCGGTTCGGCTCCCATTCCTTAAGTTCGTAACTGTTGCATCTCCAGCGGATTCCCTGCTACTTAGGATTTGTGTTCCTGTACATCAGCTAGATCCTGCTTCGGAAGCAGTGGCAACGAAGAACGTCGCGACGCACCTCCTTTCACCGCGATCGTGGCCGTCACTTTGACCTGGACCAGTCGAAGCATGGCCGCAGGCCGGGGCCCATTCACCAGGCTGTCGTTGTAGTACCGCACATACCGCCGCTGACTGGCGATGGTCACTCCCTGCGAGAGAAGGACACGTCTTCGGTTTTAGAAGCTCGCAAAGATCCCGATCCTTTTTCAACGACCTGCCCCCACGCCAGGTTCGGTGAAAACCGAAGATTCTGAGACAGTTATTGTGTTATTGCCAAGCGGCTTAGAAATGGAGAACGCAAAGTTTCCTCCAGCTTCGACCGTTTTGAATGCTGTTTCGTGGGCAGCTTGGACCCGTGTCACTTTGGGCTTCAGTAAGCATCTGACAAATTGAAGTGGTTGATCAGGATTACCTAGCCAGAAACGAAGTGGAGAAGGTTCTACCTTCTCCTGAGTATCGCATCGCACATCTCTTCGTTTGAAGACCAATTGTTCAGGTTACGCTCGAGGCCCCAGCCACAAACAAGCTATTTTCGTATACGGGCACTTATTTGAACGTCCGCACGTCCGCACCTTGCCGTTCTTGGTCCGCTTGTCCGCGTAGAAGCGCATGGCGGTGTCCGGGTCGGGCATGAGCTCCAGGAAGAGCAGCAGCGCGCAGATCATGAGGCCGCTGCGGCCCTTGCCCGCCTTGCAGTGCACCACGATCACGTTCTGGGGGTGCCGCGCCAGCCACGCGTCCTGAGTAGCCAAGGGGGGGGGAAATGGAAGAGGTGATAACTCAAGGGGTGGAACTTCTGATATAAGGCTTTGGACTCCGCGAACGGGGGAGTGCGCCTTGAGGAATTCATGTCCTCAATCTGAGGTGGAAAATCAAGGACGCACAAAGAAACAGAGCTGGACTCGCTTCTTGGATCCAGGCTGCAGTGGATTCCTGTGCTTTACAACCTGGAAGCTGCGATCTCTACGCTCTGGATCTTTCTGCTTATCAAACCTGGCTTTTGAAAGGATCACTATGGAGGAGACTCATCTACGCGGCGGCTGCCTCTCACGACTCATTTGGGCTTCGTGGTTGCAGCAGCCTTTCGCATGTCGCAGCCGGACACTGAAGCCAACCGAATCTTCAAACGATCCCTCCAGACCAGAAACTGGCTTTTGCACGACTGCAGTGTTCAAGCTCCATTTGTACGTCCAAAGACATATTGAACAGATCCCTGTCAAATCCAGCATCGTGCAAAGAGAACTCTTCATAAGTTGGCAAATGACAGTGAAACCGCTATTCGAAGCCCAAGGCCTATTTGTTTCATGAGGGTGCATTGCTTACGGCTTTCAGGCAAAAGGCTTGGATAACCTCGAGGGGGGCGGCTTGATGGTCGTCAAACGGTATCCGCTCCACTGTAATTGGATCAATCGGACCGTCGTCAGCAAGAGACGGATCCGCTGGAAATGATTGGTGCTGCTGAGGACAACTTTTGCAGTCACCCCATGTATATCCCTTTAACATGATCAGCAAAATTGCTTTCCATTAATGCGGAATGTAAACGACACGACGGCTGAGTCTTTGTAGATTCGAAACGACCGAAGAAGTGCCCTACGAGAGAGCAGATGAGCTAGCGGGCTTGGAGACTGCCAAAAGGAACACAGGGTTTTCGTATTGCTCACCTTGGCCGTTGAACTTCTCCGCATCATACGCCCGTTCCGAGCATCTGAAACGTGAAAGAGGAGAAGCAGGCCTTTAGTTGGTTGAGTCTTGACTGTCTCGCTAAGGGGTGTCTTCCAAGTCGACCAATCCTGCGTAAGATTTCCAATTATGGCTTTTCCCTATGTGAGCCCTCTGCCTTTGAGCTGATTGGTTGTCAAGCTCAGATACTTCCGAGATCCTTGCCCTTCTGATTATGGTGTTCTGTCTGGCGTGAGCATGCCGTCCGCTTCCATGATCAATCAGCGGTCCTTTTGTTCATTGCTTTCGTCTCGCCTCCCCTATGGAAGGATTTGCAGCAAGCATTGCCAGGAAGTGAAAGCAGCCAAGGCTGCAGAGTAACGTTTGATGGTAAGCCAGCTGCCCTTGAGACGATCTTGCGGCAGCACTCTGGCAAAAAGAACCACATTGACTTCTTATATCAACCAGGGGCAGCCGTCTTGAGAGCAGCTGTAATTCGAATTTAGCTTAGGCCATCAACACCATTTGTTCGCATTCAAAGCCATTGTCTGAACACTTAGACTGCTTGCCATGACAATGCTTATCAGCACACAGTAAAGAGAACCACGCATTGTGCAGACATAGGATTCGAAGGGTCTCTCTGCGCCGCTCACAGGTTGAAGACGAGGTAGTGGTTGTCATGCATCTTGGTGAGGAGGCGCAAGACTTCGGACAGCGGGTTGCGGTAGATGCCTTCTGTACCTTCTGATGGGAAACCCATGGCGATGATGCGCGGCGTGATGTCTGCAGTAAGAGGCAGGACAGGGCCTCTTAAATTGGTATTGGGAGCTTGTCAAACTTACGTATATGCCGCGGCTTGCATACCCAGGGGGCCCTTGCGGGTCAATCTGCTTCATCATCTGAGCACAGGAGGAACTGCAACTGAAGGAATGACTTGTGAACCATGACAATGTTATGATGTCAGGGTATACGGCGGCGACGCATGTTAATATCTGATGTTTCATCTTTTGAATGTCTATGCTCACTTTTTAGCATTTGCAATTCAAGATGGAAGATAAAGTGTACTGAGTCGTGTGGTGACCCGAGGCCAGTCACGAGCCTTCCTGTATGGGCCGCTTCTCAGCATTTTTGGTTTTTGCAGCTCTAAAGCGTAAGAAGAGCTCTACAAAGGGGCTCGCGATCGGTGTTAAATCAACAAACATGGGAGCACGGCGTCAAAACTGGAGAATAGATTGCACACTTCGAACACAGAACCTAGGGCCCTGCAGGGAGGCCTACGACGTACAGCTGAGGTCCAGGTCGAAGCCATTTTCCTTGTACCTCCGCTTCTTCTTTGACACAAGCCCTCGAGCAAACGACTGCATCCTGTCTTCAAGCCAGCTCTGCCGACCTCGCTAATTGCAGAAATCTAAAGCGCTAATCGTCAAATGCAGACACGCCTGGCTTCAGTAGCACCACGCTCACGTCCTTTGCTTCCGGGAGCTGCATAAGCTGACTGCCCTTAATTATGCCTGCAGGTTGCACCTTAGTATTGCAGCATTCTGGCTTGAATCCCATCGAGACTAGGCATTGCATTTCCGTTAGAGAGACATAGATCTGGTTGTTACACTCCAACATCAGGTCGCATACCTTCATCAAGGCACCTACTTTTATCTAACAGGATGATCATGTTGAATCTGAGTGTGCGTGTGTAAGTCCGATTATGCAGCGTGCGAGCAGCTGACGACGTCTTCTTCGTGTTCTACCAAATCTCTAGAAGGTTGAGCAGCAATACTTGTCGGAGTCCGATACAGCTTGCTCTCTCCTGCTCGAGCAACCTGCTGGAAACACGGTTTATGGCTGCTTCGAGCTCATGTCCACAGCTTGTTCGGAAGGACCCCTTCCAAACAGCAAGCTGTTGCTGAGTGCGGGTATATCAAGCGACGGCCAAACCTGGCCGTTCATTTGCATACAGAATCCGCAGTGAACGGCTCACATCTCTTCAGCCAGTAAGAGTGGCTGTGCACCCGGCCGGGATCGCCCCGACCACTCTCGTGGAGAAGTGAGCTGATCAACAGTTCCCCGAGAGGAGCCCGGGACATACATCCACGCAACTAGAGCTGGCCGTATTTTACCTTTGCGCCCGGCCCTGGCTCCACATTCCCACATCGGATTCTGACGTACGCACGTTTGAACAGTTCAATGTGCAAGTTGAGTCTGGCTTGCAAGTTCTAATAATAGCAGGGCTAAAACTGGACGGTCGCAGCTTCACGTGAACGAGTGTCGAGTCATCGCGGCCGTTGGCCTTCTTAGTGGCAACCGTCGAATGTGCTCTTTCCCTAGCATTCAAATGAGGAACCCTAAAAAGTAGCAAGGTCGCAGTCTACAACTACAACAGTCTACAACAGTCTACAACAGTAGGTAGGTAGGTACCTAGTCCCCAGGAGACCAGGAACCCCATGAATTGTTGGATGCAGAGGGAAGGAATCAAAGTGGATAGGTACCTAAAACTCTATGGCCGCTATGAATGAACTCTCGAAAAAGTGCGTTACGTCTGTGCGAAGCCCTGCCTTTGTGCGGCTTGGACGTGCAACGTCAGGATTGACGGAACTGACATGGGGTGCTAGCCAATGCTTTCTCTATTTGATAAGTACGGGTGATGCATCAAGTTTGTAAAAAGCCTGCTCCAAGCCGGCGGGCCGTATGCTCAGGTATTCTGGGCGGTATATGTCACATTATTGACTTTGAGGGAGCATGCAATACAGCATACCTCTTCTGACGTCATCATAAACTAAGCAAGACAAGTGTTCTCCTAAGCAAGGGTGGAAACCACTTTGTCGCAAACCCAATACCAGCATGGCTGAAGAAGGGGACATAGCAGTGAGTCATGATGAGCAATTGAGCCAAAAGCTTGGGGGAAACTCTGGGCACATTGCGGCGCTCATCGTGCAAAGGGCGTTTCTGAGCAGCAGGCTGCGCAAAGCAAGGGCAGAGAGACTAGGTGTGGAGGCCATCGCAGAGCGACTGGTCAGGGCAGATGCTGACCTGCCTCGCAGTTATGGTTCCAGGTTAGTGAACCACGTTCATTTAAGGGTTCAAAAACAATCGATGAATAGACAACCCGTATCCTCATCCTCTGAGCATGATATCATTTCAAGCGTCCGTGTCAGATTGGTGTGTACCTTCAACCTTGAAATTGGCATGCTGAGCTCAGCAGACATGAGCAACCATGAAAACATAGCCAAAGTCTGTAAGTAAATTGCTGAGCTCAGCAGGCATCAGAAACCATTTCAGACATAGGCAAAGGAACAGCAGCATTCATGCCCAGGCATATAAACATTAGTGGACCATTGACCATCACTTTTTGCGCTTTTAGGCAAACAATGTTCGCATACATGCATGGTTTCAAGCTGGCTTTTACCTGACAACCATGAGTATTTGCCGTGCACGTCCTCTACCGATCGTAGCCTCTTTGAGTTGATTGGAGGAATGATCTGCTCAAAAAAGCCACTCGCGGAGCGTTTGACAGTACTTCAGCAGAGCAGATCATGCTTTGGTGCTTCCATTGCAGACGTGGCCTTCAGCTCACAAACCAGCTGTTGAGCAACTCGGATCGGGCACACGGTGTGTCAAAGAGGGCCCATGGTGAGGAAGGTTCTTCTATTCATTTAGATGGAAACATCTGCAGACTTGTGCTTGAAATTACATAGGCGCCTATCGCCCATGGATGGGATTTGCTCTTTTCTTTTTAGGAGAATATGCAAATAGGTAGGAGCGAAGAGCCCCATTAAGCGCTTTTCGCTCTCTGAAAGACACACAGCTGAACGGTTGCCCGACGTTGCTAAGAACATGCTGTAGCAGTTAGATGTGCACCATTTAATCAGTGTTCCCCTCAGGTTTTCTCCAGCCGAACGGAACATGAGCATGTTGACCGTGTCTGGTCACTCGAGCCTTGACATACAGTTTACAACTCTGAGCAAAGTCTTCCATTGCATTTGAGCTTGATTTGGTGTTTCTGTAGCAGTCAAGTTTCGAGCTCAGCTGCCCTGTTGCAGAGGGAAGTCCATCAGTTACCACCTCAGCAAAGTGCCAGCTAAAGCACCTCATCATCGTCACCGCGTATTTGATGGGCCGTTGATCCGGCAAGCCCTCCCCTGTCAGGTCCTCCTGGCAGCGCATGGGGGACCCTTCTGATGCAGTCCCAGACAAGAAGAGTCCTGTTCAAGCGACCTGGCAAAATGACCGACAGCCGGCACCTAGACGCTGCGCAAATCTGCCGAAGACTCCAGACAGTGGCGGGGCCTCAGCTAGAAACCTGTCAAGCGGAAGAAGTGGTGGACTCTCCCAGACTTGCAGGTATGTCTCTTCTTCTCATGCGCTCACTAAACGCCTCAAAGGAGGGAAGCTTAGAACTTTTTACTTTGGCCCTTGGCTCGTTGCTCAAACGTCAACTCCAAGGATGCGATGCTCCAGCCACCGGAGATGCCCGCGCTTCTTCTGCATGTACTTGGAAATCACTTCGACATTTGTCGGTCACCCTGCAATAGCGGCTATCACCTTTTTTCTCACCCGGCTTTTACCTCCGAAAAAACATCCTCCTGCTCATTTGCAGATTCTCCCCCCACCCCCACTTCCGATAGCCGCTTCTCTCGGGCCTCTGCCGCTCACCAGCTGACCCCCTACCGGCCCCGTAGGAGTTCCCGCACCCCACCTTCTCTCTTGCAAACTCAAACACAGCCCCAGGAAACTGCTGAAACCGATACCGTCGACGTAGTCAGGCCCGAACTGCCATCAGCTGAGGGGTACGAAGAAGAAGTTGCTTTAGAGAGAGGCGATTCTGCAGTTGCACAGGCTTCCCCAGCGATTACAATACGTCACAGACCGGAGAGCAGCTCCACGGACCGCTGCTCGTTAAATCCCCGGGGTGCTGCTGAGGACCCCGCCTCAGCAACAGCACCGCACGCAGCGCCTCCTTCAGACGTGTTTGAGTCACCCACACGTTACACGACCTCAGTCGAAGACGCTGCGCCTCCAAGTGAAAGCCGTCTTCCCGCTCCGGCGGACTCTGGCAGCCCCCGCGTAGGTCTTCAAGGTCAAAGTAGTTCAGTTTTTGGGTTGTCGCCGTTCCCTGGAGGCACCCCCCCCCCTCCGTCCAAGCTGGTGGCAAAGGCGGCCAAGGAGATGGACGCGTGGAGGGGGGAGGTGCAGCAGATGCGGGCAGAGCTGTCAAAGACGTACAGGTAAGAACTCTGACGTTGCCCATTGTTACTGCCAGGTGCCATTGTGCGTGGGGACTCTAAAGAAGCTTGTTGCAGAAAGCTTCTGCCTAGCAGCTGACATCCCATTGTAGATACAATGTTGACTAACAACTGTCGGATTGTATTTCATATTGCATGTGCTCATCCCCATTGCGTTTCTGACGATAGCGGACGGGTGATGATCAACGGAATTCGACCGTACTTTTGCAATCAAGGCAGATACCTTGATGCAGGCGGTCACTTCGAGAAAACTTTCTTTGAAAGAGCCGATGCTTTGTTGCTTAGGTCCATCTGCAAGCTGCAGTCCATCCTGTGGGAGTCCCCCTCCGCCCGCCGCCTCATCTCCCCCGCCACCCTGCGTCAGAAACGTTCTCCCTACCGAGCGCTTCACCATGCCAAACTGCCCCCCAGCCCCCTCTCTCGAAACACCCTACCCCAACACGGAACAAGTGCTAGTCTTGAGCCAGCAGTCGGCTCCCTCAGCTTGCACAGCAAGCTAGACGCAAGAGATCTGAAGCTCAGACCGGAAGAAGAAAGCATCAGGGGAAGCGAGTTGGGTAAAATCATGCATGAGCGGTTGCACAGCGGGGCAAACGGTGCAGAAGTCCCGAGCGGCGAAGCCGTTGGAGATGGGGCATCCAAGCGGGCGGGGCTGGTCCCGGGTGTGTTTTACCTAGGCACCGCAGATGGGGGTGTGCCGGCGGCCAGATCGCTGGACATGGGCGGTGCGAACAGGGCCGTTCCCGACCCGGGGGTGTCCGAAGGGGAGGCGCCGGACCAGGGTTCTTCGGACACTGGGGTTTCGGACAGGGAGCTTCCTGCCCAGCGGAGGCTCTTCGAGACGGCTGCTTCTGTTCTGGGGGGTCGAAACGGAGGGCCTGCCGGCCCCCAAGAAAGTGAGGGAGAGCCACACGGGAGGAAAGACCCGTCTGGAAAAGCAGGCCCACGTGTGTACGACTTCGCGAGCTGGGACGAAGACGCAACTAGCGGCGGGAGAAAGAACCAAGGGACACGTGTCGGCAGGGGACAGGCGCCTGGGCAGGGCGCTCCTCTGGGGATCCTGGGCTTCTTGCAGGGGTTGTTCAGTCCCGTTGGAGCCGCCAAGAAGGGGCGAGAATTTGAGGAAGCAACTAGTGTGGGCGGAGGGGAGGATGAGGGGGCTTTCTGGGGGTCGGGGTCGGACGAAGAAACGGGAAATGGGGGGCGGAATGCGAGTGCGAGCGGTCGGACAGACCACGGTGAGCTTTTTGCTGATCTTCAATTTCGAACAGATTCTGAGTAAGTGAAAACGTTTGTTTTAACAATTGCAGCTGGGAAATTGAGTGGGAAATCCTCAAGGCCTCGCAGACTCTTTGTCTAAAAGGACGGTGGTTTTGAGGTGCTTATGTCGGTGCTTATTCCGGTTGTTCTTAAGCTTGGGTCCCTGCATTACTGTGTTCATTGAAGACTACGTTGGCTGGCACCCTGTGTGCCCTTCGTTTAGCTTATGCACCGGGCACTGCAACTTTCCAAGCTGACCACGTCTATTGCAAAGCCCTCGGTCCATTGTCGTGAAAGGAACTCTGAGCTCCGAAAGTGCGAACACGCCCGGAATATCAGATTCAACGATTGATTGCACCATTCTCCTATCCCCTTGGATGTCAGCGGCAAGTAAACAGTCGCTCATAGCAAACATTGCAGGCACTGCTGACATGTAATCACCCGTTTTTTCGAACCTTGACGACGCACAGCACTGTGCCACTAACTGTTTGTGTCCATCTGCAGCAGCGGCAGCAGAGCCAGACACGTGGCACGATGCCTCTGACGAGGTCCTCTTCGAGCACACGCCCACCGCCAACTCACCGAGCTGCAGTCCCCGGCTCTCGAAAACGCCCCCTGCAGAGGAACGGGCTACTCGGCCTCCCAATTCTCCCACCAGCAGCCCTTCTCGACGACGGCGAACGGCCGTGCGATCGCCCGTCCGATCGATCGCGGCCGTCCATCTGCCCCCCCTCACGGCCAGCTACTCGACCACCCCCCCGGCGCTCGCTCCGCCGGCGCCACTCGTTTTCAGCCCCCCGAGAGCGCCCCCTCAGAGCAGCCAAAGTAGAAACCGGGTCCTGGTGGACCGTTCCCACAACGAGAGCGACGAACCGGTTCTGCTATCGAAGCCGGAGGCCTGGGCAGCGCCTCCGACGCCCTTTCGGGTCGACTCAGAGAACGTGCCCGGAAACGTGGGCTTGTCGAAGGAGTCTAAAAGCAGAATCAAGCGCGCGGACGGTTCACGGTCCGTGGCCGAGCGAGGCCTCCTTTCTAGTTTCTACCGCGCAGGGGTGGGAAGCCGGCCGCTTCCTCCGGTCACGCGTGACGTTCCCTCCCAGAAAGCAAGCACCGCGCATTCAAGACCGGGGCTTAATTTCGCAGCGGAAACTCGGGCTGCGGCGCGGAATGAATCGACGCCCGTCAATGGGCAGGTGATTGGGGAGGCTGCTCTAGAAGAAGGGCGCCACGTGAAGTGGTGGGACGCGGTCGAGGAAGAAGACAAGGAGAACGGGGTCGCCGGGAAGAAGCCCAAGGAGCGGAGCCCCCGGTACAGCCCCAAGCACATGTCGGCGACACCCTCCAAGTCGATTCTCAAGCAGGTGGGCCGCTGAAGATCGCTCTTCTCAAATTGACCTCGGTTCGATATGCCATGCAGCTGAAGTTGTTCAGTTGTTCAGCTGCCATGCCACCGTAAAAGACAATAGTCCGTGGAGCGATGGTTTCCTTCGAGCCTTGCTCCTCTTTCAAGTCGATGATCTAACTTTCTCTTTTCAAGTCTAAGACTTACTTGAGTTGGACGTTTACTTTCCGCGCAGGGTGTCCCCGTTGGGCCTCGCTCTCTCGCACACGCTCGCGACATACGGCTGCGCAAGTTGCAGGCGCAAGCGGCCCTTGCACCGAAACTCACAGGGAGGGCTTTGAGGATCAAAGGAAGATACATCTGAGGAGATCCGTGTGGGGACTTCGAATCCAAACGTACAGTGACCTCCCCGGTATTTTCGACGTCGCGTCCCAAAGTACACCGTTTAGGACCAAGCGTCCACCAAGATCGAAGGCACATTTGGTACGGCGGTTTTGATTGAATGGCCGGCCTTCACACATGCGGCTCCGCAGCCTGGCCGGGTTGGTTGCTGCTAGCTCGACAATGTACCTATTTCGACCCGCGCTCTAGTACAAGGGAAGAAGACTCGGCTATGTAGCGCTGCATTCTGCTAAGTCTCGCCAAGGGCATTACTGCCAGCCTGACCACCGTCCCGCCAGCAGCCTGTCTCGTGCTTAGAAAATTGAGGATGAAGCCTGTACTTTTGGCGTTGCACATGATCTAGGTACGTTGTGCTCCATAGATCTATATCCGTCATATCATCGATCGCGGCATGGAACTGGACGTGCATCATGATCGAATCTGCATCTAAAGAGGGCAGAAGACACTACCATGCACATGGCAAACAGAGCGCAGATGATCGAGTCAATCTTGTTGGGGAACAACACCCGCGGTGACCATGCCGTCATATCAAACTTGCTGCATGAGTAGGACTCTCTCTTTATGCGATCATTATGTCTCGCATCTTCTTTAGGACGGTCATTGATCCGATGAAACTGCCCTGCATGTCATGCAATCGAGTGTTTTTTCGGCGGTCGGGTTCGAGTGACCGCAAAATACCAGGTTTGACCCCTCACTTCAAATCGCGAGCGCTAAGAAACTCTAGGTCTGCTCGCTTCCGCTGCGCCAGCAGATGTAATTGCAGACGAGTGCCACTTTCGATCTTTGCTTATGCTCCAACGAGATCAGTCACGGGGATTTGATATGACTAGACGGTCTCCCTAAAGTGCATTGGCAAGTTCTAACCCAAGAGGTACATGGGTTTGGTGGCACCTGCAGTTGAGGGGAGGAGAAAGCGTTTTCCATGAACTTTCCAATGGTAGGTGGATACAAGTACCTCATACTGCAGCATGCTGATCCGCGGGCTTCGATTCGTTTTCTTGTGGATTCAGCCATCGTACTCCGTAAAAGGAGTGGAAAGCGGGCAGTAAACCGCTTGAAAACTACCTCAACTTAAAGATGCGACCTCCGAATGTCGTCAGAGCCTCTAAAATGCAAGGTCTGAATCCTATCCTTCACCTGTGTTTGTTCATGGCGTTGAACAGCTAGAGCTCATGGCAATCGATTCACTACAAGTGTACGTTTCAATGGACTTTGAATTTGAGGGAATTGAAAATCTATGTGCTATCACTACGAACTTTTGACTGGCTGCATATCTTTCTGAAAGTATGTAACATCAAATTCCAAGAAGTCTGACCGAAACTACAGAATCATGCCCCAGCCTGAACAAGGTCGGGGTCATTCCATCTAAGACGTCGTTGGTTGAGATTCTATGAGACTATGGTTCCCTTTTCTTCCTGTGAAAGTTTGTGTCGTGTTTCTTGAGGTGTCAGAAGTTTCCGGCGTGGAGGGTGGATGAGGCGTACAGTTGACCACGTATGTCGGTACGTTCGTCAAATGTTTCACTTTAGAGGTGGACTGGTGAACAAACCACTCCTCTACACGACTAGTAAGAGTGAAGGCCAGTCAAGTCAGGCCGGCAGCGTTGGCAGTAATCCAAAACCGTCTGCCTGGTCTGTCAAAGCAGCACAGGTTTCGTGCAGCAAAGCATGCCGAAGAAAGCCTTTAGAAGACGAGACTCGCTTGAAATTGACGGGCTCACCAATTCAGAAGAGAGGGACCGCGTTGTTCCTCTTGGCGTCACTCAACGCCTCCTCCCACCTCCTGGCTACCTCCGCCTGAGTCATAGCCGTCTTCAGCTTCTCCAACCGAACTCTCTTGCTTTCAATGGCCTTAACACCGTTCGGCAAGCCGTCAGCACTCTCCCGTTCCTCCAACTCCTTCACCAAATTCTCCTCGTCGTACGGCTTGGGAAACCCTGGTTACAACAGAGCATGTGAAAGCAAGCAGACTCCAGCTTCTTGGTAGCATCTTCATTGCAGCTTCTTCAGTGGGCCCCTCTCCAACAACTGCAACTTGTGGTGCGACTACGGAGAAGAGGATGTCGCCCTCTGGAGACTTGTTCTGGTAAACGGCCGCCGGATACTCGAAATCCTCAAAGTTGGGAAGGGATGTTCTCTCCATTGTTGCGAATCGTGTTCTTCGAGGCCTGAGCGCGAGGTCCTTTATGCTTTTGTTGCTTCCTCTTTGCGTGCTTGTTTAGCTGCTTTGCGGGTCGCACACGCAGGTGGCTTCAGGCTAGTTTTTTTGTAGCGCTGTTTTAATGTCTGAGCCAAGATCCTTGGATCCTTGAGTCCTAGTCCTAACGCTGACATCACGTTTTGATGACGGTGCTGTCGAGGTTTGCGGACCCGGCGTGCCCGGCCGGTGTGATTCGCAAGACGTGGCCGCCCTCGGCCCGGTGTGCGGGTTTCACTCAGATTTAGAGCTCAAAACCCGCGGCCGCTCGGTTGTGTCCGCGCGCGCGGCCGCCGCAGCCTCAGGGGGACGCCTAGCCAGTCCGGTCGAAATACAGGCGTCTGATCGCCGCTGCCGCCATCATCTCAAGCATAGAGATCTTGCTGGCATCCGTTGCTTGTAAAAGTTTAGTAGAAGCTCCAACGGCTGAAGACCAAAATGGAAAACCGTAAACGCGCATAGGCATGGTCGGGCAAGTCATGCAAGGTACGTTCACTGTCACCAATCACTTAGTGCAACGAGAGTCCAACCTGCGCAACCCAGGACGGTAGCTGACCGTCATCGAATTTGGACCTAGGTCGCAATGACCGGTCAGCAGGGGCAGCCCCGTGCATATACTATCAGTAAGTTTGAACATGCCATGTTCTGTAGTCCGCCGGCAATCCTGTAAAAAGGCGAATCTAACCTGCCATGATCACAGCATGACGGTGCCGTATGGTCTTCACAGCGGGCAATTCGTAACTTAAGCATGCACATGCAGGGCCGGTTGGACCAGCGCGGATGGACCACCATCCGGAGCGTGTCCGACAACCGCAGTACAGCTTGGTTGCGAAGCATTCACCAGAGTGACTATTTTGGATTGTCAAAAGCCACGTTCATATGCCAGTAATGCATGAGACTGGCGAGCAGATTACCGTCGAGCCGGACCGTCACCAATTGCAGGTTTGCATGAACGGCCCGCTGGCCGGCGTCACTGTGAATCGGCTTTGGGCAATGGCAGCTTCTTATGTTTATATATACAAGACGGTTTCCGTCGGACGCCCTACATGACGACTATTAATGTGCGTGCAGCGATCGTCAGCCCTTGCTGGAAACGACACTATGACCGTCGGACAACCGTCAAACAACGATCGAAGCACGTGCCCAGCAACGACAAAAGCCGTCATGGCTCCCAACTTATCCGCGTGGAATTGCCAGGAGTATCCACACATGCACTATGCAAATCAAGCATAAGACCAGAACTTGGGCATCGGATCTTGAGGTGAGAAGTGATTGCCGTTTCTTCTCGAAAAGTGCTCCTTCTCGTAGTAAAATGCGATTGTATGGTGCCACACCTTTGCAGGCGACGTGACCGCTTTTCCGCGGTCGAACCACGACGCTGGCTTCACACTCGCTTCGAGTCGGCGCCTACCCTGGACGACCTAAGAACGAACCTGGTGGCTCAGCCTGGCGGGTCGCTTTTTCTCCCCATCTTAAGAACGTAGAAGAGACCCTGCATAACCGGAAAACGCAAGTGAGCACCAAAACCCGACGGGAAGACCGTTCTGATCTAAAGCGTGTATGATTCAAAACTAGAGGGATTTGCACAGCGTTTGCAAAGAAACTGCGCGGCACTCCGTAGCAACAGAGGACGCTGCCCAGCTCCAGCAGACGTTCGACAGATTGCAGAGACTATAGGGGCCCAGAAGCCGGTCCCTTTTGTATTCTATCGCGATTGCAAGTCCAAACCGTTCAGTACACCTTCGGCTGACAGGTTTGCAAAGCAGGAAAGCAGCTCAAAGCGCAGATCCAGCGTCTGCAGTTTTTAACTACTATGAGCGTTGCAGACTGAACGCAAAAACAAGGATTCGTGTCCATGAAACTCAGCATGCTCAAAAGTCGCGTTTTATCAACTTAATCACTGAGACCGAACTCCGACCAATTTCGAGTAAAAAGCGAAATGCGTCACAGATTTGCCTATCAAACCATCCACAGAAGACTTTGCAATGAAGGACTGCGAGTCAACAACAACGCCGGTATCAATGAACTGATGACCAAGGCTTCAAGAATAGTCGGATGAGTCGTTGACAGACCAAACGCGCGTGCTCGACAATGATTGATGAAAAACGGAGACTCGAGCCCCAGGTACGGGATTGAGGCGGAAGGGCTCACTTGGCAGACGATGACTATTAGCGGGTTCCAGACCACTAGGTACCGGACCGCGTCGAGCAGCCGCGACCACAGAACGGACTGCGTTTGCCACGGGCTCACAAACAGCTTCCGAAGGTCCACCTGGAAGGAGCGAAGAGACACACATTGTTGCATGTCTAAACATGGTTAGTGGAACCGATGGAAAGTCCTTTACCGTCTCTCTACAAAATTTGGACCCAAGAGGCACGTCCACCGAGTGTGCGAGGGTCGATCGAAAGTTGCACCTTCTGTCTCTGAACCTCCAAACGACGCGTCGGGAATACCGCCTGCCAAACGCACACGTTGGACTTCGGCGTTAATCTCCTTACTGAATATACTGAGAATGTCCCGCCTGATGATCTTGTACTATGATGCTAAGACCCTTCAGTCAGCAAAAATGACGCGTTCTCGTTTTGATAACCCACCCGGGTGTGTAATGGCAAGATATCAGATAGTGCATGGAGCAGGAGCGATCTTTGTGATGACTGAAATCCAAGCTTTACAAAGCCTCAGGTTTTAGTGAAGCGACACAGACGGACAACAAAGCGGATTAGCACCACTTGAGACGATCCGAGGGCACAAGTGCAAACGTCTTCTCATGCCATATCAACAACCGCTCTCCGGACGAGGGCAAACTCTTTGGAAACTGCTCCGCGGAAAAAAGTGGATGAAACTACTGGTGTTGGACAACGCCTCACCTTTTCCAAGCAGAAGGGACACGTGTCCTTCTTGCCCACCATCACCCATCCTCGTATGCAAAACTCGTGATACCTGCGACGCGAGGTCCACAGCCAGTGAGAATTCGCCGTGAGAAGGATTAAGTCAGCGGTGCGTGCTTGGATCAAAAGGGGCCCGGAGACCAAGACGTATCACTTGATCTCTGAAAGACTCAGGTCTGAAAGAAGGGCTTCAATCAAGTCCAAGACGGCGGGGCTGACTTCTTCAATGGCTAGCGACGAGTAGCAACGGGCAGAAAAAGCCACCGAGGGCCAGCCCCTGTAGTCTGATGCACGAAGAAGCGAAATCCTAAAAGCATAGGCTCGATTGTCCACAAAAGACGTCCTTGAGGGTTGCACCGTTTCGCAAGGGTGGCTGGACGCCAACCTTTTTCATCACTAGGACACAGTCGTCACAATTGACTGTATCCTATAGCTTCGAAGCTCTCGGGTTTTGAAGGGTGGGCAAGTGCTGTCAATCTCATCTTCCGGGAATACTCACAAAAGGTCTTCTACAAAGTTCCTCCGAATGACCCAAGACTTCGCACCGCTGCTTGTAAAGCACGGCGACCTTTCTGACCCACCGCAAAAACTCTCTGGCAATCGGATTTGTTGGAAAAACGAGGCTGTGCCCCATCCTGATTTCGCTAGAGGAGCAAGTGAGCCCGTTTGGTGCATCCACGCAGCCGAACCTGCTTGCGGACACGGTCGCTATGTCACTCCCTCGCTGGCCTCTCGCATGTGCTTTTGGGTCCAGCATTCACAGCTTACCAGGCGCTTCTTATGATGGTCATTGAGATTGGGCTCATCTTCAACCGATTCCGTCGAGACAATACAAGCTCCTCACTTGCGCTTGAAGGGCGGCGCCATTTTGTCGGGTCAAAAGGAAAGGACTACAGTCCACCAAAATCAGGCCAATTAAACGGACGTTCCGAGTTACACACCTTTGCTAGCACGGCAGCTCCGTCCCTCGAGGCTCATAGGTTATAATCTGAACCGAAAATCGCAGATCAGATTGTGCTTACAATCAATTATCCGCACGAGTCCTTGCAGGGCAGCGCCGTTTTCTCCGAGTTTATTAAGGTCGACAACGCCAAACCAAACATTTCGGACGCTCGAACTTTCGCACCTGTGCTTGCACGGCAGCGCGACAGTGTTCTCGAGCTGCTCCGCCGCCGCCTCTGCGTCCCGCAGGTGCTGCCCGCAGATCCCGCACACGTTGCTCGCTTGGGGGCCGTTGCGCGAGGGACGGCCCCCGAAGCCCACCCGCGACGCCATGAAGTCGGTGCACACGTCAGCAAGGTCGCGACCGAGCACGCCGAAGTACAGGCCTGTAGCGGGTGACGTCGGACAATGATCAATCCAGCTTATCGAGAAATTTTGGAAGTGGGTTTCTGCGTACACCCAGTGTCAAGTCCCTAGAGGCCACTTTATCAACGGCTAATGTACGCAGCAACGGCGACCTTCGGTTCAAAATCTTCGACAGACTTCGCCCCGCTACTGAAGTTAGACTAATCCTGGCCTTACCCTCGACCGAAAGAAAAGCCGAGCTCTCCTCTGTTGCTGAAGACAGAAGTCTAAAGTGGCCCTGACAGATGATCAACAATGGGATACGAGAGGGCAGATACCTGAATCATCTAGAACATTTAAGCGAGATCTGCTTTAAGCAGAAACAGCAGCTCACCATGTAAGAGTAGGCAGTCCCGCAGCTCGGAGCCTCAAGTGGAAGTTGGCTCTGGAACCAACTTCGCAGACCTGAAATAGGCCTACGCTCTTGATACAGTACATGAACGATAAACGGATGTAAACACTCCAAACAGAAATAGATGCTTACCATAGAACATCAAGACGGTCCCCAAGGGCCCCAGCCCCAGGCGGGGCGCCTCCGGGTCCGGCTGTGCGAAACTGTCGGACAGCAGGAGGCCGTAACCGACGACGCCAACGAGAAAGCAGGTGCGGTGCACCGACAGGAACCATGTGTAAACAAGGCGGGGAGTGCTCCGGGAGAGCGGCCGGCGGGCGGAGCGGGATGCAACGTAGCCTGACACGAATGAGAAGGCGGTCCTGCAAAGGGGGGGGTTGGAATACGGGTCTTCCAGGAAAAGCTTGGACTTCAGGGAAGGTTCTGCTGGTTGTCTGGTTTGTCTTGTAGAGTAGCGAGATGAAGACTACTGGAAAGAGCAGAATCGAGGTGCTCGAAGGTAATTCGTTGCATGAAAACAAAGGGCCTTGAAGCTCGTCTGAAGTATGGGAAAATGTCCAGGAGGAGCGGGCAGAAAAAATCTCCAAAGAAGAAGTCGAAAGTCGCAGAAGAGGTGCAAATTGTCCATCGGGTGGGGTCACGATTCGACAGACTCGCTGTTAAGTCACCCTAGACCAGAGATGCAAGCTGAAACCACAACAATTCAATCCAGGGGCTTTGAACCTGATCACGCTTGTGAAAGCAGATCCAAGAACGGTCCTTCCTCATCTGTTAAAACCAGAGATTCAACTACTTTTCCACCTTCTTAATGCGATCCTGATGGAGTAGAGAGATCGAACTCAGGGCTCACCAGATAGCAAGCATCCTCCAGTACTGGACATGTACGCTGAAGATGGCGGGGAAGAGCCACAGGCCTAAAGTGGTCACAGCATTGTAAGATCGCTTGTGCTTCTTGCGCCACTGGACTAGCAGTACCTGGAGAAACAATTCGAAAGAGTAGGTCGTAACAGACACATGGCGTAAGGTCGTAAAATGGCCACATCTGGTCTTAGAGCTTTCTCCCTTTGAATAGTACAGATTTGGAACCTTGCAGGAGGGAATGCTGGGCGTCATTCACGAGGAGGGCATGCCAAAGCTTTCAAGTCGAAGGTCGCCTCTTGGGGGGATCCCCCAGACAACCTGGAATCGTCTCAAAATTGACGCTGTGCAGATTGGCCTTCTCTACCCAAAGCTCAATTCACATCTCTCAGCATGGGGTATGCTGTTGGGAGAAGCTTCCAGTCACAGGCTCTTGATCCGAATCTCCACTAGCTTCTCAGCAGCAACAATTCCGTGAGAAGGCCGTGATGATCAACATCCTGACTTCTTGCTCGACCAAACATACTTTTGATCCCCACCACCTCCTGTCACTTCCACCTTTTCGCTTTGTGCTTGATGTCGAAACTGGCTGCCATACTACACTCATTGATGAATCTCAGAACTTTCTTATCTTCAGAAGTGCCAACATCGCTCTGTCTAAAGCCAAAGGCTGGAGACTTTGACAGTGCTTGTCTCAAGAAAGTTTCTTGAAAACCAATTCAGGAACATAGCGTGCTCTTTCGAAACTTACCTGCGACAGCGCCATCAAGAAGAACGCCAGTGCGATCATAATCCCCACTTCCACCGTCAGTTCAGATGGTTCCTCCTTCTCCAACAAAACTTGGTGGTGCTCTGAATCCAAAACCATCACAAGGTTGGACCCATTCGCCTCCCTAACAACCTCCTTCGCCAAGTCACTGATCAAGCTGTCAGTAGCTGGACCTGCGAGCGTGCTGGTGTTGAATTCTGCGGATCCGTTGGCTGCGTGGCTGAAGAGGAGGCTTGAGTTGAAGTGGAGCTGCGGATCTTTGTGAGCAGTCCTGAGAAGGACCTCTGCAAACTGGGACGAGTTTGCCAGGTCAAGTCGGCGGAAGAAGGAAGGCCCAAATTCCACCACCGTGAACGGCTTCGCGAGATCGCCCTCCGGCGGTTCCATGACTTTCAATGGAAGACGCGGTTGGTTGGGTGGCCCCAAATGCACCCAACTGTCAAAGCGCCTTCTTACCCTGTCCTCTTCCCCACAAAGAGGATGAGGATTCCAGCGTCACGCATCAGGAAGTCACTCACCACCAACTGGACTCTGTCGTTCTCCTAGCTGGAGTATGCAACTTGAGTTTCTTGATGCTTAAAGTTTTGAGGAGTATAATCTTACTTATGAGGAGCAGGTATTAAACTTGACTGCATGGTGGATGCAAAGAAGCTGCCCACCGTTCACATTCAGCAGCCAAGTTGTACATATTACTATTAGAATGTTTTCTGCACATGAGCCATTCCCCCTTCATTGAGCTCACCCCTAGGTCAGTTATGGCACAAACCGCTCTCCAGAAACCGGAACAATCAAGGATGGGTTTAGCTCAAGTTGTAACCTAACGCAGTTGAATTCTCAAGTACGTTCTGGTGCCAAGCAGCAGGGATGCAGAAGCAGAATGCAGTTCTTTCCAAGTATCCTCCTCCGACTCGCTTGATCCTCGTGGGTCAGAGTTAATAGCGCCTGAATCGAACAGGTTAGCCGGAAAGGGAGGACTCGGAGTTGGAGTTGGAGGGGTCCATGGCAGTTGACAAGACAGTTCTGAGCACCTGCTGGGGCGCCTTGCTGCTGGAAGGAGCAGCAAAGGTGGAGGTGCCACGGTGCTGAGAGGGGCTATCCTAGGCTCCATTTGTAAAGCCGTTCATTAAAGGAGGCTAGGAGCCACTACCGAGAGGAAGTGGGGCGTGGAAATTGCACTGTGCTGCATGTAAGAACTAAAGGGCAATTGTGAAGCAGACAATCTTCTCGGAGCTGTGATTGAGAGAGCCAGCAGCATCTGTAAGAGGATTGCTCCTAACCCGGTCTGCAAGACGTCTTGGGGTTTGTAAAGACATAGTAATCCACAGGGGGAGCTGTCTTTCAGTATTATTAGTTAGGGACAAGGTCAAAGTCTCGTCATGTCTTTTGGAGATCTAGTGTAGCTGTGAACAAACTTGCGCAATCTTCTTGGCAGATGAGGTTCCATGTATTACACCCCTTACACTAAAGCAGTCACGCTTTCTCAATACCCGATGTGCTGCCTCATTCAGCGGTTGCAATGTCAGCGAGTTCAAGGACTCTCTCTACCTTCTCTCTTGGCCGTGGACCTGCTGCTCCCTCCCTGTGCATCCCGCCGGAACCCCTGACTCCCGATTTGACACAGCTAACTGATAGGTCGCCACTTCTGGGGTCTGCGGGGCTGCTTTTTGCCGGCCAGAGCACTCCCCCAGCCACCAGCCCCCCCAACACTGTCCTCACCAGTCCTATCTCAACATTCAGCACCAGTGTGATCAGTCTCCCTCGCACTCCTGTAAGGACTGTGAACAGGTTGCCTGCGAGTCAGTCCCCGCCACCCCCTGTGTTCACCATGAGCAGCACCGCTCCAACGCAGGGTGGAGAAGGGGAGACTCAGGGGGCGCAGGCAGGCAACCAGCAGATTCGACAGCGCAGCAGTCCCCTCAACTCTGTATATTGGCTCGCTCTCGAGCTGTTTGTAACCCTAGCGCAGATTATATCCTCCATCGTCGTTCTGTCGGTGTCCACGGACGAGCGGCCAAAGGTGCCTCTAGGGGTAAGTGACCTGTTGGTGTCCTGTGGCTGCCTCTCGGCGCTTGTGCCATGCTTCAGCAGATTTGCTTCCCCCTTTCTACCGTAGAGCGTAAATGGAAATGTCATCAGTACGTTGGTCAATCTTCTTGTGACTTGCTTACTGGTATGTCCATTCTGTGTACTGCCACTTTCTTTGCATGCACCATGTTGTGGTGCTGTCACAGGGGGCTCGCTTGCAGCACATGGGGTGAGCAATTTGCGAACTGTTTCTTGCAGCTATGGATCATAGGTTACGCATCAGGCTGTTTCGCTACCCTACCAATCCTGCACTGGCGCTACGCACACAGGCGGACTCGGACTCGGCAGTCCGGGGGTTCTCAAGTTCGGCAGCGACAGATGCAAGGTAAGTGCGTTGAGTAATGTTGTTGACTTACATTTACGGTTCTGTATAAGTAGCTTCTTCTCCATAGATTCTATTTCATTGCAGTCACAGAGGTCACATATTCTCTCTGCCCTGGAGAGTCTGGAATGATATTGGTACTGAATCAGAGAATGGCATTCTGCTGATTTTGTGGGGCTGATCATCCTATCCTTAACCCTAATTTCATGAAGCAACCCTACGTAGCAATATGGCATGGTTATCGAGTACAATTCGGTTGAGAAGATGTGGGGAGATTCAACTTAAGATGTCAGTTTTGGTGCCCTGGCCAAGTGGAAGCAGACAGTGCATCTGTCAAGCTCTTTAGTTGCCCTGAAAGGTCAATTTTGATTGCTCCTTGGATGTCTATCTCCGCAAGTTTATCTTGATTTGTGGTGAAGGGAGTCTCTTTCTCGACAAGGGGCAGCTTAGATCAACGGCGAATGTTTCAGTCTCAGGAGCCTTTTGGTGTGCCTCCAAAATTCCCCCGTTGCTCAGTAATCAGACTCAAAATCTCTTGTCCTTGTGAAATCACAGATCAGGAGACCTCCGTTGTGCAAGGACAGGATGCAGCACAGCTGCCGGCCCCTGCGCCTGACGCCAACAACAACTCCGGGGTCTCTTCGTCTCTGCAATTCCCGTCAAGCGACGCGGGTTCTGCGCGCACGCGCAACAGGCAGTCCCCCACTGATCCTGTGATTCAACAGGGGGCCACTGCAGTACCCGCCTCTTCTTTAGCGACCGAGACGGTCGTTGACCTGGGGGCTGTTCAGCCAACAAGGACACGACGCTTCGATGATACCTCGTAAGTGGATGACGGCGGTTCCTGGGAGTGGCGCGTACTCTGGATCCTGAAATAGGATTGGGGCCCTCAAAGCAGCTTGGGATATACGGAGGTCGCCGATCAGTACGTGCGACATGATCTCGATGGAGAGTGTCGTTTGCGTGAAAAAGCCCCTCTTGGTTGATGGACACAAAAGCAGAGGATGCTTTGCTTGCATGGTGAGCACCTTAAACCCTCATTCCATTGCCTCAACCCTTGCATCCGTTGAACAATTAACTTCCTTGCCTTTGCAGGTGGACTCTCTTCATTGAGCGACTGAAGATCTGTCTCGATTGCTTCTTTGCTGTGTGGTTTGTCACCGGCAACGTCTGGCTCTTTGGCGGCAACGCGTCCGCTCACGACGCTCCGAATCAGTATCGGTAAGCTTCCGGTCATCGTCCAGCAGTCCTTTTCCCTTCTTCCCAGCCTTCTCTGTCAGTTGAGATTGTCAGGCTAAGATTGGGGCTTAAGTCGCACAGCTTGTGTCGTACATCACCGTAAGGACAGAGTATTATCCTTACTCATGTTCTGGAAAAGTGGCCTTTCATTTTTCTTATTCGATTGGCGACTTGCACGGGGCACTTTTCGGCTGCAGACTCATAGTTCATCAATGTCCAACCTGGCTTTCTCAATCTTTTGAAAGGTCACAGGACTTGAAGCCAGATGGGGGCGCTGACGGGCTTTCCTCTTTGCTGCAGGTTGTGCATAGTGTTCCTCACATTCAGTTGCCTGGGCTATGCCATGCCCTTCATCCTGTGCGCCACCATCTGCCTACTGCTGCCCTGCATAGCACTGATGGGCTTTGTGGATGAGCCCATGACAGGCCGCGGTGCCTCAAAGGTCAGAAGTTTCTCATCTTCCAGTGAAGCGAAGGGGGTTTCCCTTGTCACATCATAGTATTGAGTCAATGATGAAGGCGCTGTGCAAGCAAGGCCAGTCCTGTCTGGGTTGTAAAATCTGACGGTTTGTTTTGTACTTGTGGGAAGGACATGGATGCATACACCGCCGCACAGAGGTCCTTTGTGAAATGAGTGACACATGAAACACTGCACAACCTTTTGTGAAGGTACTAACGGTGGCGGGAAGATTGGCCAGCTCACTTATTATGTTTGATATCCAGACACTCCCAAGTGAGATCTTGCCACTGCCAGGTCTTGAGCGAGTCGTAGCCCTTTGCTCGCTCCTGCTTTGGTCGAACACATATCAACAGCGAGCTGGAGAGGCGCCCCCTCCTTCTGGCCACCACTCCTCTGTCAGATCTCTCGCGCGCGTGCAACCGGCTATGCATATCCGGCAATCGTAATTTGCAACGGAAGTAACAGTCCGTTTTTGAGTTTTGAAAGCACGACTTTCGGTTGGATACGACGATGCCTCATCGGACTTGGTCCACTTTAGTTTGCAGATTCCAAGTTGCCTGCGAGCAAGGTGTCTGCTTGTTAAGCCAACGTTACACGGTTTGGCGGTCATTTTTCCGCAGAGGCTCGTTCATCATTCTTGACCGTCCGGCTTTCTCGTTCTCCAGGAGGTCATAACGTCCTTCCCGACCTACAAGTTCAAGGCGCTTGGGAGCGTGAAAAGTAAGCGGCTGACGCGTCAGTCATCAACCAGCGACTCGGAAGGGGAGGCCGACCGCACCGCCCGGGGTGGCATCCTCGCAGCCGGAACACCCTCAGAGAGGCCTGTCGCGGCTGAGGATGCGGTGAGACTGCCAGCTCCGAACATTTGGCTTCTGGACAGCGACATTCGGCAACCAAGATATGCTCTGGGAGTGCTTGGTACCTTGCGAGCATTTGGACTCGAAGCTTACGTGCTGGAGTTGATGCGACAGGTTCTGCTGCAAGCGCGCGCAATGGAGTGATGAAAAATCTGCTGCCTGCTTCTAAGGTTTCTGTGGTAGCTCGTCTTTCTTCAGAGTTTGCCAGGCCGGGGCCTTTTGCTCGTTGTTTTCAAACCGTACTGAGATGGTATGCTTGTTATTAGACGAGCAGCAACGGGGAACGGGGCCCCTTCCCTTCTGCTGGTATCCGTATGCGCTCTCAATGCCGAGCTTGTTGCAGTCAATATTTGGTAGGCTGATTGCTCTACTTTTTTGCAGCTCTGTTGCATATGCCTGGGGCAATACAAAGATGGGGACGAGCTTCGGGAGCTGCCTTGCACTCATCATTTTCACAGGTTGGCAACGTATACCTTACATACATCGAGAATGTATGGGTTTCCTGCGCTGACCCAACTGTGCAATGTCAAGTCTGCGGATGGGAGTTTGGCCTGCTTGAGCTCAATGGCGGGGGAGTAGACAGCGGATGTAAAATTTTTATGGAGTCGAAGAACGTTCGTAAGTCCTTCTTCTGTTTCAACTGAGATGCTGGTTCGGCAGTGCACTGATGCCCCTTTATGCTCTCTGGACAGTCCCTAGTTGTTTTGTTGACAGGGTAGCATTCCGCAGGCTCACAGTCGAACACTCTGCTTTTGCAGCTCGTGTGTTGATCAGTGGCTCAAGATCAACGCCAGTTGTCCCCTTTGCAAATCGGATATGATTGGTGGGGCCGATCCTTCCGCTATGGAAAGCGGACAACGGCCAACAACTGTGGCAAGTCAGACTGACCCTGAAAGAAGGGACGCGATTAACCCCGTTGAGGAACTTGTATAGGCGATGTACAATTAGATAGATACTGACTTCTGTCACTGTCAATATACTGCATACGGTTGCCACTGTCTTGTCTTGCAGACGAAGAGTCTGTCGGTCTATCTTCCAAGAAATGATCCTGCGGCAAATTTGGCAGTGGTGTCAATTTGCAAGGCACCTGAACAGCCCTGATTTAATGAATGAATGTTGAATTCTTGGCCTTTCAATGAACAAGTTCCGAAGGGGTACACTCCGGCTGCATTCTCCAAGCAATGGCGACTCCATGCATTGCCGACAGTTGTGCTTGACTTGCATGCGCAATTACTAACTGATTCACAAGTCTTCCACAATCACTTTCACTCTGCGTATATACACATGTTTACAAGACTCAGTGTACGTATTGTGCATTACGGTGAAACCTAATGATCATGCTTCAATCATGCATGCCGGCCAGGTTGCCTGATGATCGTAGCTATACTACATGGTATAATTGACAATTTACGGTTATAGTTGCTTCCTTAGTTTGCGTAGGTCATGTGTATAGAGCGGCCTGGACATATACTGGATAGCCAAGGCCCCCCACGTTCGGCGAGCATCATGCATGAAATTAGCATTTGAGCAAGGTGGACCCATGAAGGCCACGCGCGGATCATCATGTACCGTCATGCAATGGCATGTGCTGCGGAGTATTCAGAGTGCATGTGGTCATTTATGGCCTGGCAGTTTGGCCCGCTTGTGTGCATAATTTCTTGCGAAGCTGATTTGAACATGTTGCTTGTGATTATTTTGAAGTTGCTCCGAAGCTGTCTTTGTACTCATTTGTGAGCACAACCGTCCTATGTAGTTGTACATGTGCCCGGACGGTCAGTTTAGATGCACATCTGTGACCATTGAATCCAGCTGCGCCACTGACATTGACACAAGACAAGGTCTGGGCCATAAGCCTGATAAGTGTCATGCAGCGACTTATTCTTGTCGCCATGACTCCTACACCACTACATGCATACGGGGTGACCTAACACGAAGTAGTAACTGCTTCTACCAGAACTCAGGGCACTGGTGCAATTCTCACAGAGCTTATAGATGCAATCTGACACGAAAGATGGAAGATACCCTCAACACTCCTTCTCGAGATCATAATGTAATGCAGATGGATATTGAGAGGGTCAAGGCTCGCCAACACATTCAGGTGGCTGAAAGGGCTGGTAAGTGGCCAACTTTACATTGTGTTGCACATAAGTGCATGCAAGTCAACCAACGTCAAGCTGATCTTTTGTTGTGACCGGAAGTACACTGCCTCAAGCGCAGCAGAAAGCTTGTGAGCAGATCATTGAGACACACAAGAGAGGCACGATACACGTTCAGTGCTCCTCCAAGCGACTGAAAGAGGAGGAAATCAGTTGGGCATTCTCATGCTTCCTCTTTTGACGGCACCGGTTGACTCTCCTGCAAAAAGAACGGAGCAACTGAAGCGGGGAAACAAAGTTCACCTTGTAGATGTATCTCAAGCTGGACTCTTTACACAGCAGCTTCACTCAAGTATGGCTACCGAATGGACTCATTGAGTACCATGGCACCATTAGAATCGTGGGATATGGCGCACATGTTGCACACTTTGCCCTTACCACTGCTGGTCGGCTTGATGACATGGATGGCTTCCCTTCAAAGAGCCTGGCTGCATCACTGTATGCCGAACCAAGGCCTGCCCCCGCGCTAAACGCTACGGTTGCAAGTCGTGTTGAGGGGCTTCCTGCAGGGCCAGAAGCCAGGGTTGTGCGCTGCAGTGCATTCAAGCATGTCACACCAATACCCAACCTCAAAGCTACCTGCTGAGCCGTGTGCTAACAATCAAGTGCATAAGATCTTGACAGAAGAGTTGAGACATGAATCGCATTTTCTTCTCATGTCTCTTGCTTAAGTGGTCCAATCCAAGCGGCGTATACATGACGGAAGACGTTCCAGAGGTGTCTGTAACGAACCTTTTATCGATAGAACATGCACGCTGGGAAACTGCTTCAAACTGAACATCAGCGCCCCCCATGAATGCTACTTCTAAAGATTCTCAATGCATAAATCAAGCAAGTGCAGAGGTTTTGGACGACGCAGACTGTTGCAGGTTATCAGACCTCGGAATTCGTCAAACAGCCCGGAGTTTTCTTAGAACAGTTGCAACTTGGAATTGATGGGATTGATGCTCACCTGAAAACGTGCGCACTCAGAGGGAAAGATCAGCACCAATTTGGAACTCAGTGACCGGATACTCTCGAGACACAGCATGCCTTGCACTTAATTGCCATGCCAAAACATGCACGAATTGAAACTTAATAGAACTGAAACTTAAAAGTATTTAAGTTGCAGAAGTGCAAAGCACTCACGGAAAAGAAGGAGCGCAGCTAAACTCCCGGCAGCGCCACTATAGACAAATCGCCTCAAGGTGAGATCTACTGCTTTGTCCCATCTCTCATCCACCAGCAGCTCGGGAGGCCTCTGCTTGGCATCCGACATTGTGCTTGCAAATGACAGCTGTATTCTTGCCGGTCCCACGTATGCCCACTCACTTTTCAAATAGCCGCCGGTATCCCCACCAAATTAAACCCACAACAGAATTGATTAAGAGCCGTGCAATTTGCAAGCGGCTTCACTGCATCCAAGAACCGCAAGCCGCACTACAGTGGGGAGACAATCTGTTTTATGCTGTCCATTGTCCGAACTTCAAAGCCTGCATCGCCCGTCTGGCCTTGGAAGTTTGAATCTGTGCTAGTAGCTAGAAAGTTCAAGAACTGCTTGGCGCTGCGCAATGCTATCTACCCTAAGCAAAAATCCAGGTGTCCTTGCGAAATGTAGCGACCATTGGCATGAGCTTTCGTCTTTGACCGTCTTCCACTGGTGCCCTTCTTTCTGATCTGGTTCTAAATCACATTCTAGCCAATCTCGTCTAACGTACCATAGTACCTAGACAAGGTTATCCTGTAACCCGTCCCTCGTGTTGGGTTTCAACGTGCCAGGACTAGCGACCGGGGGACCTTCGCGCGCGGGGGGCGGGACGTCCAATTGACCGGCCGAAGTGTTGGGCTACCATGCAGGGGCAACACGCCCCGGGCCCAACTAGGATTCAACCGCGCCCACTCTGGAACTAACGAGATCCTAGTAACTGACCACAAAGTACTAGGTACCTAGCACGAGTGCTCGAGTAGCTTTTTTGATAGGAGCAGAAACCCTAGCTTTCAAGTGGAAGAAGTTGTCAGGTCTTTCTTCTTCTTCAGTGGTGTGGCGCTAGGGAGAGGTTGGAGTATCCTAGGCGCCAGTCCAGCAGACTCTCCTTGTTGAGGAAACGGGTGCAGTGGATGACAAGCAGGGGTGAGCAGATTTCACATTCTGCAGAGAGGGTTTTGTAACTCAAAACATGGCCACCTCTGTGGCGGCGGCCCGGGCAGCCTGTACCCCCTCGACCTCTGTGCGGCAGTCAGTCGTCAGCAGGCCGTCCACCAAGGTCACCTCGCATAGCAGTGCATTTCTGGGATCATGCCGGGGGTTTACGAAGCCATCTGTCGGCCACATTGATAGGTCAATGAGGCGGTTAACAATAACTGCAGGCAAGTCGCCAGATGATGATGCAACGAACGGGCGCTTTATCCCCGCTACTCATAGACATCTGTATGAGGGGGTCCAGAACCTCGGGCCGGTGAGTTTTCCCAACACCAATGCTGTTCCGTGTGGTAATGGTGACCCTACATTCTCCAACTTGCAGTTTGTAGGCCTCATGATTGTGTTTAAGTGGGAAATGCACCGGCTTGTTTTGCAACTTGTTTGGCCTGGAAGTTGGATTGTAACCCGGCTATCCTCCTGTAGTCAATGCAATGGTGGTTCTGGCGACTGCATTCTGAGGGCGGCAAATGTGCCCTGTGGGCCCTGTGCCCTGTGCCCTGTTTTTTTGTACTTGTTGGTAATGGCTTCTTGGACAGGTGTGATTGTACGTTTGAGTGGTCATTTCATACATCGTCCCGCAAGAGAATCTTGAAACGTCAACGCCATTCTTCTTTGTTCCTCTCGGCTTCGACATGCCGAGAATACATACAAAATTTCACGGTGAAATCATTGATATGTCGTTGGAATGCAAGGCAGCACACACCTCGTGCAGCAAGACCCTTTTGATTCCAGCAATGAGACGCTCTGCACCTTGTTGACTGCTTGAGCCGTAAGGAGTTTTGATCCATAGTTGGCGAATGGCCGATGAGTGCTCTGCTTCTGCATCAGGGGTTAGCTCCAATGTCGTATTGACTGGTTCACTAGGACCAGGGGTGATCAATCGTACATTTAGTCTGTGGATGCGAAGAGCGCCAGCAGTGAGAAACTATATCAGATTTTGCTCTTCCAATGGCCGTTAAAGCGTTGGCGATCGCGGCCTTTCCAGTCTGCCTGTTGTTGGTGACGAGCTCCCGCTGCCCCTGGATACTTGGGGTTTCTGTAGCGATTGCAAGTGATGGAGAAAACAGAGCATATGTTAGCCGTCTGTTGGGAGAGGTCCATCACTTCCCTGAGAGGCCTGAGGCTTGCAACAAGCTCAATGTTCAGCGAACGTTCCTCATCCAACGGTACAGATGATTTTCTGATTCACAATCTTCCTGAGAGACGAAGTTTGGCGACATCTGTGCGGAGCAGAAATTCACAGGTGTTTCAGAAAAATTTGTAAGAACAAGAATTCAGATGCCTTTGCTACAATGGTGGAGAGGTTCCTAGTCATGTCCTTTCTGGTGTTTGGGCCTACTTGGTACCAGCACAGCAGATTTTGTCCAGTGTTAAGCAGAGGCTCCAAGCCCGCTGCTTGATGAAACCTAGTTTTCAACATAAGTCCAAGCTTCCAAGTTTTTGCAGTCTGACCTGCCAAAACTTGCCACAATCACCTTGATTGCGCTGGAGCTCTGTCACGCCTCAAACAGCGCCTCAATTGGAGCGGAAAAATTCTCTGCTCTGTCAACCTGTATGAGTTCGGGAACAGGAGGTGTGCCAATGTTTGTCTCGTCTGTGACTTACTTTCACTCTGGCCTTGCTTAGGAGCAGAACCATAACACCAGCACTAGTTGTCTTCCTCGCTTTCGGAATCCCAATCTCGGAGCCTTAGCCCGCTAGGTCAGCTCACAAGCCATTTTTTCCCCGAGTGCAGGACACCTGGAACTACAAGACGTGGTACCCCAAGCACGAGGACACGCTCAACACCAAGAAGAAGTGGTTCATCGTGGATGCACGCGACAAGGTGCTGGGCAGGCTGGCGTGCGCCATTGCCATCAAGATCCGCGGCAAGGACTCGCGCTTCTTCACGCCCAGCATGGACATGGGCGCGTATGTCATTGTGATCAACGCGGATAAGGTGCGCGGTCGCTTCTTCTTTCGCCTTCCCTTTATTAGGTCTATCCTTTTTGAAGAGATGCCACCGCTGTGGAGCTTTGGGAAGTATTGGGTGGGCGTAGACGCGCTGGCTGGATACATGAGGTGAAGTGTGTGACGCAACGTTTAACGTTATATATGACATGTTTGCTTACACTTTTGGGCTTGTTTGTGAGATTTTGAAGCTATCTCTACCAGCTTGGGCCTGGTCAGGTCAACCGTCTGGCCGACTCCATCTAAATGGAGGATGTTTTGCATTGAGGATGCATCTTCATTAAAGAGCAGGACCAGGTCGTTGTCATCGGCCTTCAGTTGGACCTTTTGAGAAGGAGATTTGGTGCCAACCTGGGAGTTGTGTGCAATCCTGGCCAGAGAGTCATCAAAGTTCATTCCACTCTTACGGCGGTGGCCGGTGGGACGCAGTTTGTTCATCCACCAGTGCCAAGAGTACTCTTTCAAACAAACTCCGTGGTTCATCCTTTTTCCAAATCGTCTGTGTCTCCTTTGTCGGCATCGTCCGTCCCTCTTCTTCCTCTGACACCCTTCTTGCCTCAGTTGTGTCTAAGCCTTTTCCGACAAGTCCGCTCTCACCTCCGCTGCCTTGCTGACGCCCTCAGATCGCTTTGCGACGAACATGGAGTGCCTTCCCTCCTGCTAGTCGACTTGGCCGTCTGTGACCCAGGTCGTTGTCTTCAGAAAAAGAGGTATCTTCTTCGACAAACATAGCGCCCGAATAAAATGAGCCGGAAGTGACGACGACTTCACGGCGTGTTTCGTGAAAGCTTACTTGTTTTCCTGCCCGCAGGTGGTTGTGTCGGGAAAGAAGAACAGCCAGAAGCTGTACCGGCGGCACTCGGGGCGGCCAGGCGGCATGCGTGTTGAGACGTTCGACCAGCTGCAGGACCGGATCCCGGAGCGGATTGTTGAGCACGCCGTGAGGGGGATGTTGCCAAAGGGACGGGTAAGCATAACCCAGTTCCCTGCTTTGGAGATTCTTTGACGGGTTGGCCGACTAAGCAATATGTTGTCGTGGTGATTTTCGTCTTTTCGAACTGGTGGCTAAGCGCCTTGATTGCCGAACATTGTACGCTTCACTGACAGTGTGCACAGGCGGACCCCTGACATCCTTCATGTCCGCTGTTGGAAGGAGATGTTACCAAATCGATGCATCGGTTTGTAATCCTTGGCGGGACTGACCAGGATCAACAGGCTGCTAATTTTGCAAACGGCCAGGCCTTTTGGTACTAATTCAAATGTGTGTTGCAAAAGTTTTGTACTTTTCAGAGGCCGACATGGGTTCTGACGGTCCAGCCTGTACTGTCAGCGCTTATCGGTATACCGGTAGTCCAAGGAAATGATTCCGAGTCATTAAATCATCATCTGCATTCGGAATGTCAGGAATCCGGATTTTCCTTTTCAAAGATTCGGAAACGTTAAATAATCGAAAGTGGGTCCTCGGAAGCCTCAAAACCGCCAGAATCGGCCTACAAATCCCCTTTGAAAGTGAAAACATAGGGCATTCGGAAAGTTGGCGGAATCAGCGTAAGTAATCCCGCTTTCCTGGCCGGAATTCAAAGTAAGTTCGTTCGGATTCTTCACGTTGGACTACGGGTAACGTCGAAGGCTGAATTTGGAGCATTTGCGGCTCTTTCTGGTTGCTTGCAACCGCTCTCCTTTTGCCCCTAGCGTAAACGACGTGTGGAGCAGCATTCAAGAGACCTCGTTCAAGAGATGCTTCTTGAAAGATTCCAACGGCCATCAGTTTTCCGACCTGCAAATTTCAACCAAAAGGTTCGTCTTGACTGATGTTGTCCTGTGTATCATTCATATCATCCATATTCCTCTCCTGGCTGCAGCTCGGGCGCACGTTGTTCACTCACTTGAAAGTATACACTGGCGACAAGCATCCGCACACGGCACAGCAACCCGAGGAGTTGGTCATCAAGGATCCCTTGATCACACGGAATGCGCCTGACGCGGTTGCTGCCTAGAGTGTTGCACAAATTCGAAAGTTTCTTGAAATACATGGTGGCATAGCAACATCAGGTACGGAAGTAGGTAACAAACTTCATACAAAAGGGGTGGGCAATTTCGAAGCGCGACATCAGTGACTGACAATCACTATCATCTGGTCAACGGCGACGGACACAGTGTTCTTTTCTAGCGCTCAAATGTGCTGGCCGCGCATGTGCTTAACATGCTCGGAGAGCCAGGTAGGCTCTTTTGCAAACCGGCCTTGACTTGGCTGAGCACGTTCGATACCATGGGGCTCTCTAGACACACTTCTTCTAGAAACACATGAAAGCTGCTCAGGCTAAATGCGTGCGCTCGACTAAGTCCTCCGCGTTCAGATCTGCGTGATGAATCTTTTAAAGGGACCATGCTGCCATAAGCTTCAAACATCGAGGTCAGACAATGTGACGGTCATTCATGGTGCAACATCAAATTAAGGCGCCTGCATGCATATACACATGTACGATTGAGCACGTCCTGACTCCTTGTGCTTTCAAACATACGGTAGTCAGGATCAGGGCCGCCGCCGGTTTCCGAGCATCAATAAGCTGGCATGCTCACGTAGGCTCACATAGGCTCGATCAGGCCGCACGTACGTACCGTACCACCGGTACTGTAGCTTCTTGTGGCGCGCCGGGTTGCGACCCCGGGCGGCAACTTAGCCTAAGGCTGCGCGGCCGCATATGAGATTCAACGCGTGATATGTAGGTACCAACGGCAGCCTAGGCACGTGACCATGTCCATCATCGGGGCCGCGGGCGGCCACAGCCGCCGCTCAAAGTGACTCAGCGATTCAGGCTCCTGAAGCGTGCCAAGTGGCAGGACCACTGACAGGTGGCACTTCAAGAGGCAGGCTTTCGTCCAGACACCGAAGCCCAGAGCTCAAGTGTGAATTCTTCTTGACGAGCTCATTCGCAACGTACAGGCCCGCCTGAAAATCCTTCTCAGAGAGTGTTATCATCCTGGACCTCCGGGTGAAATCCTGCTGAGGGAGTTCCTGTGATCTGTCAGTGGCAGTGACATCAGATAAAGTCGCGATGCGCTGCCATGCATGCAAAGCCAGGCGCGCATCATACACGCCATGCAGCCAGTGAGAAAACAGGAATGCCGAGGACCCGTGGTTGTGCTGCCCAATCCGCATCAACCCAGCCTGTTTCCTCCTGTTGAGTGTATTGCACAGAGAGTCGCAGAAGCCTGCAATTGGTACCTACTTCTACCAGTACTGGCACCAAGCAAAATCCAATTGCCTTACGTTCTCGTTCAACAATTGAAGCAACGTCGCAAGAATACAAAAACGTTCAGAAGCCGCTAGCAGCTCTTGAATTCGCTACGAACGACCTGCTGCAACAGTTTCTTCCACCTTTGTAAGAAGCACCCGAATTGCAAGATGGCTCAGCGCGAGAACCTGAGCGGTTATGAGAGGGCAAACATGGCCCCAGGCAACATGGGCGCCGGCCGGTTTGAGGAGCAGGGGAGGGGCCAGATGGGGACTGGCTTCAACACCCGCACCACGGGGGAGTCGGAGGGGTACTGCGCCAACCCTGCCACAACAAACCTGGTGAGTATCTTACAAGCACACAACGGAGTCTGACAGGTGGACTGACAGATGGCTAAGAAGTCCCTCTACTCTGCCAAATTGGACATGGTCAATGTTGGAGCTGCATTTCAGTTGTGCAGACAAATACTGAAGTATGCATGCTGGCCGCGACCAATTGGCACTGGGGTTCTTGGAAGTTGGGTCTCTGAGCGTGTGCAAATTGATGAGTGAACCTTAGAAAGAAGAGGTTCAGTAACTTTGTCAAAATTGGACAAAGTTTGGCAGAAAGAATTTGCAATTCCCAGTACTCACCCATGTCACCCATGACGCTGAAAGCAAGGTTCATGACAGCTCTTGTACTTAATCACATGGTATGAAGAGAAATATATCATTTGTATGGAAGGTCATATGTGAACGAGATAAGTTTCCTGACAGGAAGGGATGGAGGGATAGCATAGGAATTTCCTATTGACAGAATGAGATAGCAATTGCTTGGTAGAGAGACCGATGTTTTATCAGAGTGCGAATGCACACTCAAGTTACTTCTACTGTCAAACTCTGAACCGCAAGCTTCATGTTTGCCCCGCAATTGCGCCTCCCTCTGCTTCTTGTCAGAGGTTTTTTAATTGTCTGTCTTAGATGATCAGGAGAAGTAGACAGGGGAAAGTATTTAGAGAAAATGAACAGAAACTGACAACGCATTTCCATATGCAGCCTAAGGAGTTCGAGACACACGTGAACATCATCGAGAAGGTTCCCGAGATGAAGACTGTGACCAAAACTGACTATGTGAAGAAGCTGGAGGAACGCGAGGAGGTGCGCACTGTGCCGCGCTCGCGCGTGGTGCAGGAAGAGAAGGAGGTGACCCACACCGTGCCACGTGTCAAGGAGGTGCCCAGGACGAGGGAGGAGATTCGCCACCGGTGAGGCGAATTTTTAAGACGCCTTCTCTTGGAAGGCTCCTGGCAGTGTCCAAGAAAAGGACCTCCTACGTGTTTCTTGCTGGATACTTCGCATGTAGTGGCCCACCACGTATGCTCAGAATTCAGCTGGTTAGACCTCTTCATGATAAGTTTTGAACGCTCGACTTCAGACGTTCGAAGTACCCACCCAAACGAAAAGTTCTTGATCGCTTTAACGAGCAGTCGCTTCGCACAAATGCCTGATTTGTCTCGGAACTGTCACTGCATACTTGAGGTACCAGTTGCCATGCTCGTGCATGTGTGTTTGCCCCCGAAAGGAGCCATGACTCCTGTGGTAGACTCCTTTGGACTTCGAAGTAACTCAAACTTCGAACATCTGAAGATGGAAATGTTCGAAGTTTTAAGAATTGAAGATGGAAATTTGCCGAGCGCAGAAATCATAGAATCATTGAATGGTATTGACAACATACAACTTGCTTCAGTTCGGTGCCTCATCACGAACTTTGCGAGAAATCTGGATGCGAAAGCATGAACTCCACTGCTCGTATATCCTGCAGTGTGGTCGAGGAGAGGGTGCAAGTCCCGTACACTGAGAAGATCGTGGAGCAGGTCCCTGTGACCAAGACCGAGACAGTGCCACGTGTCGTTCGTGAGGAGGTCCAGGAGCGCGTCAGAGTGCCCCATGTGACCGAGGTGCCCGTGCAGCGCCAGGTGCAGGTGCCCACTGGCAAGTGAGTGTCAGGCAGTCGCTCTTCTTTTGAGCAGACCATCGTTTGATGTGTTCATCTTAAGTTTGCGGTTCTTTTCGAACGTCAAGAATTCTTGGCCGTGTTTGCACCATTTTTTTATCAGTCTCCAATTCGGGCGTTTCCACACATTTGTTCGGGCCAATGGTGCTTCTTGGTTGAAACTGATACACAATATTAAAACACCTCTCATCAATTTTCGGGTCGAACTTTTCACTGTCGTCGGAATTCTCCATCATGAAACAGTCTTGTCCACGAACAAGACGGTTTCAAGAACAAAATGTGTAACCTCGAGTCCCCATAATTTGGATCTCTCTGAACAATAAATTACCCACAAGTGCACCCTTATGTGTAACGGGAGCGTACTGGTGATACAATCCCTACAACGATAGCGATTGGATCGGGCTCGTATTGACGATGCGTTGTCCTTTGAATTCAAGAAGTGCGAAATCGAAGAGCCCGCTCAGCATATGATGTGCGAAACCGAAGTAACACATACCAACTAAACGCTAATCTAGTTCGCTTTCACTGCAAGAATTCGTCGTCCTTTTTGAGTGGTGCAGCTTCGTCGAAATGCACTCACCATTGACACGTCCCTTCCCCCCTTCTCCAGGTACTGCGAGCAGGAGGTTGACGAGTACACGCACAAGGGCGCTCCCCACATGATGGGCACTACGGGAACGACCGGCCTCCAGCGGACTGGAAGCTCCAGCAGCTCCAGCAGCAGCTCCTCCGACGAGGAGGGTGCAGGCGGACAGAGCTTGGGCGACAAGATCAAGTCCAAGATGCCCGGCGGCCACAAGAAGTCGCACCGCCGCACCGGGGAGATGGCCGGAGCAACAACCGGAACTGGAGTCGCCCACATGAGCGGCGCCGGATTGACCGGAACGCAGACCGGTACCGGCTATGGAACTGGGATGGGCGGCCCGGTGACTGGAACCGGTCGCACAGCGCTGTCCCACGACGCTGGACTTGGTCACACCGGGATGGGAACTGGCCACAACGTGACCGGAACCGGAATGACCGGAACCGGTCTGGGACATATGACTGGGGCCGGAACTGGGGTGGCTCCTCACACCACGGGGACAACTCACCCGGGTCCGTCACCTAACCTGACTGGGCGTCCCGCACCGGGCGAGGCGGGTGCGACAGCGGCTGCCACCGAGCACCACGAGAAGAAAGGCTTCTTCAAGAAGATTGAGGAAAAGCTGACTGGGCACCACTAGAGAACTGGCTAGGTAGGTGGAAATCTGTAGTGCCATGGCAACAAATTAGGCAGTTGCAGCTACTTGGCAGTTAAAAGGGCAAGGATAAAGTTGTAAAAGATTAATACTCTCTGCAGACTAGGATGTGTTGTCGAGTGCCAGTGCCGTTGGACAGGTGGTATAGCAGAGACCTGTTGAAGTGATACATAACATGGTGGTGACGGGGTGATGGTTATTAGCTGTGTACGTCGATCAATGTGAAGTAAGTAGAAAAATCGGAAAATTTGTAAGCACGAACGGGAAAGCCTGCGCAACGTGTTGGGTCTCAAAGTGTAGAGTAGTGACGTGGAATTGGGTAAATCTGTAGCATATCTTGTAGATAAACAATTTTGGAGTTCGAAAGTGCTCCTGACACCAACCGATCTTTCTCAAAAGGGATTCGTTTTTTCCACGACATCTTCATTGTCTAGCTGATGTTATCCTTCTACATTCAATCGGTTGAAACAATGATGCTTCTAAATTATATTGATACTTTGTCTGGTGATGAAGAATGGTACTCCGTCCGTCAACAGATGAATTATGGATATGTCATCAAAGTTTGATCATGTTTCCTGAATGTGAGAACGATAATCAACTTGAAAAAATAAACAAAACTCGAATTCAAACTCTCTAGGCTTATCGCTGGCAAATTCATTGAACTGCTTTATCAAAGCCAAACCATTCAGCTCGCAACCGAAGTATAACACCATCAACAAATAACTACGCACTGAAAACTGGAAATCCATGCATATACGAACGTACCTGCGTGGACGGCTGATCTAGCTTGTTAAATGTAACTTTCATTGTTAGAAAAACCTGGTGACGAAGTCCTTTAAATCGAGTACAACACTTGGTGGCGGCCAGCGTTCGATATGTCCGACCATGCCATATGCTATACATGTACACTCCCCATGGGCCTGTGCTTCGCTGAATGACAACTTCATTTGTGTGTCAGCGGTTTCCCTCAACCTGTACCTGAATTCACGGAAATGAGCCCTGTCCGAGCGCGGCGCACAATGTCGAGCTTCGACATGGATACGGTATTGCAGAATGTTGAAAGCGGTATGTTAATGCAATTCCGTGCACCGCGCACTATACGGATTCCAATCAAACTACCCGCTCAGCTTTGAGGCCTACGGACTCCGATCAAACTACCCGCTCAGCTTTGAGGCCGCCCTGCTGCCTGGCAAGTGCAAGTCCAATTGATTGCAGGAGTCACAGAGATCGTGTGTGCAGGCTAGCTCCAGCAAGCTGCATGTTGGAGCTGTCATCAAAGTTCGCTCGTCATAGTAAATCTGCGGCCCTCGTTGCATAACGACAGGCCACATGTGAGTAGCAAGCCAACCTGCTGTACAATTTCAGTGATAAAGTGGAACGTGGGCTGTCGAGAACCCCGATTCCCCAACGAAGGCAACGCAACTGGTTTTCGTCTCGTACGTAACATGATAGCGTTCGAGGACAGACCTCCTCAATAATCCAGCGAAACGGTCCTACATCACAATACAGCATGCTGGTTGGGACTTCTTGTCAGGCGCTTCTTGCTGCAAGTCCGGCTTAGCCGAAGGTTTCGAACTGTGCGCAACTTCCTCTGAAATCTCGGAAGCCACGGTAACCTGGCCACTCCTGTCCCCAGAACTTTGTGATCCTTTTTGGGCCGGCTGACCGCCGTTCTGCGCACTGCTCGTGGTCGGAGCTGCAACGCTTCTTCTTTTCAACTCGATCAACTCGGCTTTTAAACCGTCTCTTTCTTTTTGAACTGCCGCAAGCTTCTGGAGCGCCTCCTCTCCTTTGGCATGCGCAATGGCTCCGGTGACTCCAGCATCGTGAGCCTGGTGCACGTTCAGAAAAATCTCCTCAGCAAGTTAAAAGCGGTTCGCTCAAATGAAGTTTTGAATCTGAACAGATAAGTCCAATGACTCGGTTAAAGAGTCGTGTGAATACTTCTACTCTTCTGGCAACTCGATCTCCCGACCCAAAAGCCGACACAACCGTTTAGGTGTTCCTCTTGCGAGCTCCTCAAAAGCTCGCACGGGTAGCCTCCGCAGGCACAGGGATGGTAGTATAGCAACAAGCAAGGATAGTCTCCAGGGCACACTCAAATAGAAGCGGACTTGACACTTTTGGCAAAGACGTGTTACAGTAAAGTCACAAACAGCAAGCTATCAGATTTTGATTCCCTCCTGAGCGGCCCTGAGTGCAAGCAGACATCTACCGAGTCATCGCAACTGGGTTGAAAGCGGAACCTTTGCAAAGCAAGTTCTTAGAATTGAGAACCTGCGCCTGAATAATCTGCACCTTCTAGGAACGTAGGAACATAGGAACGACGACAACTATGAGTCGAACTCACCTTGTCGCTCTCCGCTTGCAGCGCTTTCTTTGCTTGCTCTGCTTCCACCAGTACGGCCTCCAACTTCTGTTTTGTACTGCTCTCAGCAGATTTTGCGGCTGCGATCTCGGCCGAAAGTGCCTCCACCTGGACAGAAGCGACCAAAGGTGGTACTTTCGGGGTTGCCTTTCAGTGACCAGTAGCGGTTGACACTTTCCATGTGGTTCTACGAATAGATGTTGACCCACTGATCGAGAAGGAGCGGATTCGAAGGGTGACATTGCCCGTGCGCTTGAAAAGTAGAGCAAAGCATTTTGGTTTCGCTCACGTTGACTTCAGTCGTAACCTTGTGGCAAGGACTGCTGGAAGGAAGACGAGAAGCGATGTCCAAGTCTCTAGGTCCGTCCAAAAGGTAGGCAATGAAGCAGACTGCTTGTTTCCTTTTAACAATTGCTTGGGTCGACTTCTGAACACAATAATATCCTCAGGGTGGATCTCGACAGATCTTTTGCATCCAACTCCGACTCCTGGAACGTAAGCTCTCTGAAAAGCAGCATCTGAAGTCACGAAAAACGGAAACGCCTGACCTTCCGGATTTGACTCTCGACCTCGCTTCACACGTCCCGCGGAGTGAAGCGAGGCCGCTGCGCGCGCATGACAACATATCAAGCCAAAGAACCACAAAAAGGTAGGGGAGATTGCGATCCCCACCTTAGCCTTGGTCTCTTCGTCTGCCCGTTTGGCCGCATCCAACTGCGCCGTCACGGCTGCAACCCGCTTGTCCGCGAGCTCCTCCGCCTCCGCCAACCGGCCCTGGAATCTGCTCAGCTCGTCCTCGTATGCGGCGGACATCGACGACTTCGTCTCCAAGACGGGTGCCGTTGTGGATTCTGGAGCGAAGTGAAAATTACTGTTCAATTAGTCATCCACGTGTTGTTCTGAAAACCAGGTGATTGGATGTAACGGTGCTGAAAGAATCAGTGAAAAGACTCTTTAAAAAGCGGGCCAAAGGTGATGTGGGCCTGATAATAAGTGAGCAAGGAAGGGAAGAGTGAAGTCGTTTGAGGGCTGCGGCGAGAAGACTCCTGGAAGCGTCGACCCGAGACTCGTCCCTGCATTCTACAGCACAGCATAAGCATAGTAGCGAGGTCTAGCAGCATCTGATAACTGGAAAGTCGACTTGCATGCTGACCTTTCGCTCCTCAAGTCTACCCTGCGCGGTTTGCCAAATTCCAAACATTGTCTACTCATGTAAACACCTGCGTGCTGCTATGAGTCATCTCTCAATCGTCATCGAGCAGACCGCGCTCAGAAATTTTCCCTGGATGTCAGATAGTGTCTTCGCCCACTCCTATATATCTTCCCTGCAAGACAGGTGATTCAGCAGCCGCGACAAGAAATTTGGTCGAAAGCCGAGCTCGCAAACTCGTGCTGAGTGTCCCACCCTCTTTGCCGCTCACCTACTTTCTCCTTTTCCCGCGCAGCCTGCTCCTCCGCCGCACGTCTTCTGGCAAGCTCCTCTGCGTGCTTTGCGAGTTCCAGCTCCTTGGAGGCGGCATCCAGCCTGCAAAGGGAGCGAACTGTAAAGAAGCCGTTGCCTTTACAGATTGATAAACGTTGTTTGTCTGCCATTAGATTATGCAAGCTTTTTGGACTTTTGCTTACAAATATGCCTACAAATGTGCACCATCTATGCAGCAAATCAAAATTGATGTCCTGCACCCTCGACCCGATTGTCTCCCGTAACCAGCGCAAGAGAAGGTGTACGGTGTACGGAGCCACTTCCCAGACGCCACATGGGAAAACACAGATTCCCTTCTCTCGAAGCTACTCGAACCCAACACAGCACGACATCGCTCACCTGCTTTCCAACGTCGCGTTCGCCTTTTTCGCGAGCTCCACTTCTGACAGCGCCGCTGCCACCTCCTTCTTCACTTGCTCCTCTGCTTGCCGCGCCACGTGTGCGCTCGCCAGCGCGTCCGCTGCCTTCTTCTCTGCAACTGCCAACGCGGCCTCCGAGGCTCTTGAAGCCTCCTCGTGCTTCTTGGTTTGCGTGAGAGCTTCCTCAGCACGGGCCTTGGCGGTAGCCAACTCGGTTCTGGCGGCAGCGAGGTCGGCGTTGGTGGCAGCGAGCTGGTCTTGCGTGGCGCTGTGGGCATCGTTCGTGGTCTGCAGAAGAATACAGCAACGCGGTTCAACCTTCGACTCTGTCAATTGCATCGTGCAGGGTGACATAAAAGTTACGAAACCTATCTTGTCAAGAAAACACTCTCGTGAGCCACGCTTTTAGCCCTTATCAGAAGGAATTCTTCCAACATGGTGACATCTGGCAGGCACTTGGTTTCGTTGGTTTCAATTGCTACCGGTTTCCTCTAGGGGAGCCAAATGACGGACGCACCTGGCAAGTCGGGGGGGGGAGATTAGCGAACTTTGAGATTGCAACCCACTGATGGCAAGAGCATCCCAGTACCCCCTTGCTAGCGACCGAAGAGAGTCCCACAGTGATGTACCTTCTTTGATTACACAAAGCATTTAGCGGTAAGGGAAGCCTTTGCAAAGATCTGGCAGGGCCTTGGTTGCTTCTCAAACACACCTTCAAAGAGAGGAGGCTGAGAATTGACTCTGCGGTTGGCCTCACCTGCATCGCTGTCAGGGCCGCTTCCACCTGGTTGATCTTGTCCCTATGATCAGCCTCGCTCTTTGCCAGGGCCGTCTGCAGCTTCTTGAGCTCAGCCTCTGCACTCTCCACCGCCTGCTTGTGGCTCGCTTGCTCTTGGGCAAGCTTCTGCAGGTATCAAGTTGTGGTTTGGTTAGAAGAAGCTAATCAAGCTAACTAAATAAGCTAGTCAAAGTTTCCGCGTTGTCTCTTGAAGCCAATGCCTCATCCACGTTCCTAGAAAGAGGCTGGAGCCGCCCCAAACAGTCCACATGGATGCAGTACGACAAGAGGAAAAAACCATGCAATCTCAGGGAGCTGGCAGCGTTTCAACTGCAAGAAGCGCATCGAAGTGCTTCCCAAAACGTGGTTCGAACTGTATCTGCCTCTTGTCAATGGCTCCCACAACAGGGTACACATGCATCTCCTGCCCGAAAGTAGCTCGGACCTCGTCCCTGTAATCGATTTGTGCAGGGATGGCTCTACAAGCTCGGGGAACTCTTCAATGCCAACAGGAAAAGCGGCAAGCGCGGCCAGTATTTGGCATCACCTGCTCAAGCTGCTGGAGCGCCTCCTGGGCCTCTGCCAATGCCTTCTCCAGCACAACGCGCTTCGCCTCCCCCTCAACGCCAGACTCCAGCAGGGCTGCCGCACGCTTCTGCGCGTCCTCCAGCTGCACCTGGGCCACCTTCAGGTCGGCTTCCAGCTTCTCGCCCTTCTGTTTGGCAATGAGCAGAGTTGAGCGGCTGAGAACTTGGCACCGGTGTTGTGAAGCGTGTCAATTCAAAGGCCCAAGTTCTTCATACTTCCTGAGGCAGACACAGAAACGAGGGAACCTGTATCGAGAGCCCCCAAGCAATTCAAGGGAATTGCCGGGCTGCAACAAAAAAATGTGCATTTCAAAGTCTGGTCTTCAAAAACCCCAGGGCAGACCTCAAGACTGATTGCCATGCCCAGGCAGGGCACCAGGGCCTAGATCAACGAAACAAAGTACTCGGTTCCAACAAAAGAAAATGGTGACGAGATCTTGACTGTTCTTGAGCGCACAGGACCAGTTCACAGCGCCGAAGGGTAGGAAGTTTCGTTGAGCAGCTGAGCAGCTTGCCAAGACAGGCATGTCGCATGATCACGGGCGGCCTTCTGATAGATAAAAGCCCCCCTCTGACCGATACAGTAAGCTCAATTAACAAACTACAGTTCCAATTGGCCATGCGAAGGGTCTACTCCTACAAAGACGGAATTGGCGAGGCAAGAGAGCGAGGACAATCCGACTTTACAGAAGAGCATGACCTCATACGACAAGATGCTCACCAGGCTTGCGGAAGGGCTCAGATAGGAACGAAACTCTGAAGTTGCCGTGTCAGGACTTCCAACAGTGGCGGCCCGTGGCTTTTCAAAGGAGTTGCCTCGGCTTCGGGGGGACACAAAACCTTGCTGCAAGCAAGAGCGCAAGTCCTGGTAAATGATTGTAAGCAAATGCGGGGGAAAGTCATGGTTAAGGCTTCTGAATGCTTGGCAAATAATCTTCTGGCTGGCTGCACAGAAGAACGTCAGGATGAATGTTTCCTGGTTTTTGGACAAGTGTTTCTCCGTGCAATTTCATTTGGTTGACAACCCATTCTCCTGGTAGCCGCGTCAAAGACGCTTCCTTGACCACAGGCAAAGCGCTTCTCAGGTCAGATTGAGTGGACTAACTGTGGCGAACCAATTGAGACGCCGACTGGGACCTGTTCTTTTCTGGAATAAATGTTCATGGAACCAATCTATGCACGAAATGCTTCTAACCTGCTTTGTCAGCCAGTCCCCTGACTTGTTTGACCCGCTCCTGGCTGCCGAGGGCATTGGTATCTTGCCCTTCTCCCCTGGATTCTCAAACATGCTCCTTGCAGCTGCAAAGATCACTTCTGGTGAAGGCCTCAGCACTCAAACTCTTGTTCCAAGTTCATGGCAGAATGCAAAATCAGCCATGTTGAAAATAGTAGTTGTACGTCAATAACATTCATGGCTGAAGAGCATGTGACTCTGGCAAGTTTCATGACCTTGAACCTGACTCCAGAGTATCTTTAAGCGTGACACAAACTCTGGCTCAAACATTCGTCCCAACAATGACTCTCACAAACAGGACTGTGGTGATGTGACATCTCACATCTCCTTGTCATTGGGTTTGGTATACCTAGGTAAGTCCGACTCCCAAGCAGAGCTTTCTCATTACAACATATTAAGGGCTGTATAACGCTCGCAAAGAATATTATGCACTTATTGCATTGCAGAAGTAGCCCGAAGCTGATTAGCTGTTTGCTTACCCTTGACATTCTGGAAGGGAGCCGAGGTGTCAATCTCGGCATTGCTTGGCGACCGAGCCATCTCGTGAGGAGCACCATCAGCCATCCTTGCAAAGTTCTGCAGGAACAGAAGCGCCATTACTCCAACTGTCGGTATGAAGGCTCTTTGTTGTACTGAGAACCGAGAATGGAGGCTTCCAATTCCAAATTATGGAATGGTCTCGACATGATAAAGACTGTATGTCCAACACACTGTTCACACCTTGACGGGAGGGGCTTTGAAATGTTGCAGCAGCAATGCAACCGCAAGTAGAAACTCCAGGATGAAAAGGCATTGAGGTTTCAGCTAAGCAATGGTGTCACACAGAATCCTGTGAGTGCAAAAAAGACGCGCTCCTTGGAGACAAGGAGTGGTTCAATGCCGCATTCATCTGCAGCCAAGATAAGTATATTCGTGATATGTGCGAAAGCTGGCAATCTCCAAACTATCGAGGTGACACTTTCGATCTGATGCAACAGGGATCTTTCATACTGCAACTTTATTGGCTGCACCTGTAGGCAGATGCTGACACTTTCAAAGACATTGACTTACTGACATCTTGAAATGATCCTTCTTGTGCAAGAGTACATCGACGGTCGCAACAAGCAACGGCCAAAGGTGATGGGATAGCAGTTTTCAAGGGTTAAAATACAAAATGTGCATTAATAGCAGACTCGATGCAAGCAAGCCAGGCTACAGAGCTCAGTAAATGCAACCAGAGTGTTCCTACTGTCGAAAAAAATTTGGCCAAAACTGTCAGGAAACAGTGTGCTGACAATTTCCCACCCCCCTCAGATCTCTCGTCAACCGATCCCAACCACTTCTGATTGCCCGTACAAGTTCATCTGTGTTTTAGGAATTAAAGCCTAGGCTTTGAAGACAAGCTCCATTCCTCCTATGAAAATCAGCATCACGTGGCAAGTCCTAAGAAAGTCAAGGACGGCACCGACGAGTGCAATAGCAATTGCCCCTGCAACACTTTCTTCCTGATTATAGCTCTGTGCAGCTTACCAGGTAAATACCAGGTGCGTGTGGTGCGTCGCAACTCCAACTTCGAACTCAATTGCGCTTCCCCTGCAGCACTAGGGCCCGTCAATCCAGATGCTGATCTCTCTGATTCCCACCACGCCACCTGAGGCTCAGCGCAAAGGGTCACCTTGCGACTGCTCAGTGCTCTAGCGGATTTGTGAGAGAATTAGATTCTAGGTAGCTGCTGCTCACGCAATTTTCGAAAATGCTGGGCGGGGTAGGGCACGTGCCAGGGCTTGCACTGGGTAGCAAAGCATCATTCGTAGTTGGCACCTCGACACCAACCTCGCATTTAAGGTTGTCGACTGATTCTACTGGCAATTTAGTGTCATCCCTCGTGCGTGCATCATGCACCTTGCCATGGCGGCAGAGCCGGGCAGACCAATCACCACATGTGCAGCAGCCTCTACCGGTACACTGTGGCCACAGACTGACACGACTGCGGACTGCTACAGGTGTCAGGCCAGACTGCAGAACCATACCTACCACAATACCCACAGATGTTGAAAGCCTAATGAACGAATCACGCTGCACACAAAAGCGAACTTCTTTCCCAGGAGTGCAAAAGAACGTTTGCAGAAAAAGAGCGTTTGCAAAGAAGCTCCTCTAAGTAACTGTGGCGATGGCCAAGGTGGCGCCAGCAAGTTTTATGGAGATTCTGAATTTTCCACGAACAGAAGCTGTGAAGATCCCACGGCTGGGTTTTGGGACTTATCAGATAACGCCTGGCAGGGATACCGAGGCGGCGGTGTTAGTAGCTTTGAAAGAAGGGTACCGGCACATTGATACTGCAGCCCTTTATGGCAATGAGCAAGCTGTTGGTGAGGTGTCTTAATACCCTGAGTGCTTTCAATCCCCCAAGTTTGACTTCATCCACAACTCCTCAAACTCTCTCAACAATCTGCGGACAATCTCTGAGCCAGCGCTTACTTCTTTCTGCTGAATGCTAGGAAGATCAATCCATATGGGAATTCTTGCATGCCCTCTCCGTAGATTTGGAGAAATCTGCATGCAGCATGCTTGCATAGTGGGGGTGATGGTGTGGTTTGAATTCCTCTGCATGCACCGTTGGTCGAGTTCTGGCTAAATATGCACCTCAGATATAAATCTACATTCATGGTCTCATCTGAGGACATCGTTAATGGCTCCCATTGCGGAACTGTGGCTTGCCTTAGCTGCTAGATTAGTCTCTTCTGGTTGAACGAGGCTATCATTTTCTCCTCCCACTTTGCCCCTACCACCACCCCTCAGATTTCCGGTGAAGCCACTCAGAAGTGTTTTGGACGATCAGTATCTTACTTTGGTGCTGCTTTTTACAATTGTCTCATCAGAGAGCTGGCGAGCTGCACAACCTGGGGTGATGTAGTGGTTGGGGGTTTGAATGCTAGTATCGCCTGCCTATTTTATCTATTCCCTTAGAATTCCTCACATAACCGAGGTAGCATTCACACATAAAGTAGGGTCTTTACTGACCTTCTAGAGAAGTCTGCTTGCCGGAGGGGGCCGCCAAGTCTACCAAGTCAAAAGATTTTGACCACACCAGCCTTATCCAGATCACCTGTGATGTCCTTCACCCCATCATTTGCCTGGCAACTAGGAGAGTCAACGAGCAGTACACTCACTCCGCTATGAACATCGCTGTGGGTCCTTGAATGAATTATTTGCCCTGACTTCTACGGCCCTGAAATTGTGACAACTTCTGACGATAGAAGCTTTTCTCTTCAGGTGCTGCGGTGCGGAAGAGCGGTCTGCCTCGCGAGGACGTGTTTGTGACCACCAAGCTTTGGCACAGCGACCACGGCTTCCAGAAGGCACAGCAGGCGTTCGACAGGAGCCTGCGCAAACTGGGGCTTGACTATGGTATGGCAACCACTTGATGATTTATGGAGTATTCTGCACTGTGTATACTCTCACCATATTCATCAAGTGGCTAATGGCCCTGGCCGCCCGGGTATACCTGTGAGTCCACTGGCTGTCCTTTCTTTGGCGCTTGCTTTAGGCAGCATTTTGGTGTGCAGTGTCCCCTCAATTCAGAAACTTCAGGAGTGCGCTTTTTGGGAAACCACTTACCGTAATGCATTTGTATGTATCTCTGTGGCGGGTCCCTACCTGAATTTTTCCAGAGAGGCTGGGAGTCCGTGGCTAGGGAATCTGATTCACTCATTGGTTCCCTTGGTTTGGCAGTTCCACACCGGTGGGATCCTCTGTGTCACGCCATGGTCTCTCCCGCTTCTCAATGTGTTTCAACCTGTTCATTCATCTGGTTCCTGAGGTGCCTTTTTAAGTACCTTCTACCTTGTTGCTGTTCCGTCAAATGAAAGGAGTGCGTCTTCCTGACTGAAGCCGTTTTCCTGTTACACTTCATTCCCCGGCCAACCCATGCCCGTTTCTGCAGTCGACCTCTACCTGGTGCACTCCCCGGGCCGCCCCGGCAACCGCACAGAAACGTGGCAGGCGATGGAGGCAATCCTTGAGAGCGGAAAAGCGAGGTCGATAGGCGTCAGCAATTACGGGGTGCGCCACCTGCAGCAGTTGCTTAGAACTTGCAAGTACCGCCCTGCCGTGAATCAGGTGAGAACGGGCCCTACGAGGACCTTCTTCGCTGTCGAACTGCTGACACGGAAACCCCTGTTTAAAGTTTGTTCGCTGTGGTTTGCAAGCTCGCTCTGATGCACCAAGTAATACAGGCTTGCGAAGCTTTTACCAAATAGAACGTCCCGAAGATGTGAAGCTCATCCAAAAGCGACGTCGCTCGCATTTGCCGAGAAGTTCCCTTGCAAAGAAGATTTGATGCTATCCGTTCCGAGATGGCTCACTTCTTCTTTCCTGCGCAGATCGAACTCCATCCGTACAACCAGCACCGAGACATTGTCGAGTTCTGCGAGGAACACAAGATTGCGCTCGAAGCCTACGCCCCCTTGACACGAGGGTACCGGATCAAGGACCCTCAGCTTGCCAAGGTACGATTCGGGCTCTGATGAAAGCCTTCCAAACGGACTGGGCTCTTTCTTTCTTCGCATCGTTCTGAAGCCACCTTGGTAGTAAGTCTAATCGATTTGATCTTCTGTCTGCGTGTTGTGCTGTTGTTCCAGTGTTTGCATTCTGGCATCATGCACTGAGGCGTGCTGTACAGATTTCTGGTGAGTCACGGGCTCCTCGAGCTCCTGGCCTATGCAAGATGCACAATAGGAGTTATGAACTGCCCAAGAGTTGTTTTCCCCTCAACCCGCTCATCACGCGAGTTGCCTTGCCAGGTTGCTAAGAAGTACGGACAGACGCCAGCTCAGATCCTCATTCGGTGGGGCCTTCAAAAGAACTATGTCGTGCTTCCAAAGTCGGTCAAGCCGGACAGGATACGCGAAAACATGCAGGTAAGTCCGCCTCACAGGGCTTTCTGACTTGCTCAGACAAGCTGGGCTTTCTGTTTTGCCCCGACAAGCTGCCTGGAGAACTTGTATTGTGGCATGTTTTTGGGATGATCTTGGGAATGCCGGACGACATATCTCGACTAGTGATGAGAATCTTACACGAACGTAGCCTATCGCTGATAGCTAGCATTCTGGGACGAGCAAGAAGTTTATTTTTGTTGACGGAAAGCGATTCTATTTCTACTGTCATTCAGATTGCTTTCAGTCATAGCGAGCGATGAGGTAGAGTGATGGCGCTCCTCTGTTTGTCGCCCTTTCGGTTTAGGACCCCTTCCAGAGGACACAGAGACACGCACGCAGTCTCCATGGGAAGTTGGCGGCTTTGCAGGCTAAATGAGAGCATTGGTTGTGCTTCGTGTTGTGCGGAATTTCACTTCTCCAATCTCCTAAGGATTGCCGGGGTTCGGCGAGGGCACCGTTCTGCCCCACGCTTCTCCTTGCCTGATGTAAGATTTGACGCCTATTGGCAGCGCAGACACTTGAATTGCCTCATACACTTCAGTTGATATATGTCAGTGCTAGTATTGGTCGCAATCGGGAGTGCGATACCTGTTTACAAGCCCCGATTGTCCTTTAGAAGCCGGCCCTGACTTCGCTACCCAATTCACGTCGTCCTCTTGTCTCCAGGTGACGGACTTTGAAATTGCTCCGGAGGATGTCGCCTTTCTTGATTCGCTGGATGAGGGGCTGGTCACAGACTGGGACCCTACGGTCGAACCATGATCGTAACTTTTCTGCATGCGAAATCAAGTTCCGCAATTGTTGATTATGTAAAGTTACAGAGAGTCCAGAAGCAGGCTTAAGGAGTGTTGAGTAGATCGGGCAGAAACAAACAGCAAGTAGTGAGGCAACGCACGCACTTAATCAATCAGACGGTACCCAGTACGGTAGGCGTAGGAGATTCTTCGAACAGCACGGAGAGAACATCAATCGTTTCATTTGGCGGACAAAGACCCAATATTGGCACGCGTTTTATCAGGATTACCCATCACCATGGCTTTTGGCCTTTAAATTGTGAAGTATATGCGTTCATTAAGTTTGCGTTGATAAAAGTGATGGCATTCCCGGCCTTGTTTTCCGGCCATGGCCCACATTCCACCAACATGTAGAATTTGCCTAAGTCAGCGTACGTCATGTCCGTGCAATCACTAGCTCAGCCGTTTTAAAACCCACGCAGAATTAACGGAAGTCTAGTGATGCGAAGTGCACATGATCATGCAGACAATATAACACATTTCGAAAGCAGCCGGGCCGACCGACCAAACGCATGCGAACAGGTAGTGAAAGTTATTGCACTTCTGAGCCCTTTGCATGAGACGTACAATAAGCTAATTAACGACTTTTTGATTCGACGTACGTTTTGATTTGACCCTAAATTAAACACTGTGTGCTGATTGCCAATAATACAGTTATGGCCCCAACCGTCTGTACAAGGCCGCGATGAAGTTTGAAGTTTTGCCCCTTTTTTTTCCCACGTCCTATGAATAATCTCGACTGGATCCCATAGCGATCTGGACGCAATATCAGCCGATTGTATCTTTAAGCAAGCGCATGGCCGACACATGCAGCACTTTATTCGTCAGATTGAAGCATGACTGCATTCACATGTACGTCATGGCGTTAGCCATCTGTATATCTCAGGTCAGTGGCTGTTTGACTTGGACTCAGTAAGTTTCGAGGCCACAATCCACTTGTAATTCAGAAAGATTCGGTCATGGCAACTGAGCATTTGGGGGCCTAGGTTTGATTTCGCTTGAATGGTTCGTTCAAAGAATTACTCGCAGGGTTTGGACGAGCTGTCGGATTTGCGGAGCAGTCGAGACCAGGTTCCTGGGCTTACGCAAGCATGACATCAGCTACTCTGTTTAAGCTAGCAATCATGTATAGAGCAGATCCGGTATATCGGCCTCGGCAAATCATCGTACACTGGTTCGAAAATGCTATGGATGTGGACGGTGAAGAAGGCATGTGCATCGTATGCCCCGTGGTCGACTGGCATTTCCACAAATGCACTAAGCCCCCAATCTTGAGCGGCAGATGATCGAGATCAGAGAATGCTGATGTGAATAGAAAAGAGGCGGCCGACAACCATGCACTTTGAATAGTGTTTTGAATCATACTTCGAGCCCCCGGTCACACACCAGAGGCGCAGACTTCAAACACAATCATTGTCAAAAAGAAGACTTCCTATACTTATCGCTATGGTACACTATCTGGACCTTCCATACGGCCCAAACCTCGCCTTGGCAACAAGTCACGAGGCAACTTTCTATCCGATCCACAATCACCTTAAATGGTTGCTGATTCTGCAACCTCCAACTTAGTCGCTGTTCCGCTGAAACGCAGCGTCAATCAATTACAAGGAGACACAAGCCAGCTAAAGCTTATGCTTGAGCCTTGGAGCCTTACGCTAGTGTTTTTCGTCGTTTTCCAACTCGTCATATCTTACCTAAAAGCGCACGAATGTCGTGCACGCTGGTATCCAATCAAATTGCGGAGGCTGGCCTGATCACCTATGCCTCCTGATGGCCCGATGTGGGCCAACCAATGCTTGGTATATGTTGAACCCAATCCGTTCCGTTTTGTCAACGTTCCTTTCTTGTCTCCGTTTGGTTCTCACTTAGGAACCTTAGGAATACTCCGCCCGGAACACGCTCATCTCCAGGGGCCCGATCGGGGACCCGAACCGCATGTCAAATCGGTCGCTTTCCAGCTTGGCAAGCCCCGCTGGGAGGGGAGCGGCGCCCCCGGTAGGTGCCAACCGGGCTCGCTTGGCGCTTGCGGGGATGTCGAAGGGATCGAAGTCGAGAACGGCGTTGGTCTCGAGAGTCGAGCTGGAGTCGAAGGTATAGGAGCTCGGGGAGTTGGTGGTCTGGGCCGAAGTGGGAGAACCAACCTCAGGGGTCGGGGAATGGGTCCGGGTAAGCTGCGAGGAGGGGGCGAAATCGCGTCAGCTCGATGCAAGAAATGTTTGAGGAAGCCCTCGAAGGGTTGATTAAAGGCAAGCGGACAATCATTGGAGGCGTTTTCCGTATCACCTCAAGATGCATTAGCGAAGCGGGGTGCGGTCGTCAAGCAGAAACATGAGCCCGCTCGCGGCACGATCTCAGAAGGACGACGGGCTCCTACGCCCACTCGTTCTACGTACAGCCATTTTTGAATCCTATTCGGAGAAAAGTGTTTCAGAAGTCTCCCACGGTTGTCACTGAGCAAGGCGGCCTTTTGGACTCGTCACTGTAAATTTTCGAAGAGACGCCACAAGCTTGTAAGATGCACAGCGGTACGTACCTCTGCCAACAGAAACTCAAGTGTAGAGTTCGGAATCTGCGGGGCGAATCTGGACGTCACGAGGGCCATCGGGTGGACGGGCGTCGGGGCAGCCAAGCTGTTCAAGCTGCTCTGACAAACCTGCACGCCAGCGGAATGTCCTTGTTAGATTCCGGCGGAACTGGCTGTATGGGGATGAAGATTGCGCTCGAGATTGTGCAAGAAACACTGGACAGCAGGCCTCCGGATCGAACAGAATCCGACTTCTTGGGGAATGCAGAAGTGGGCAGTGTTTTGACGAAACACTCGAGGCCCTTCTTGCCCATCCAGCAATTGCGGAATTGGCAAGTGACCTGCAGCAACACAAGTCCTCTCGAGTTGAGAGGAGAAGGAAGCCTACCAGCGGGGGTGTTCTGGACCGCTTGGTCTGCTGAGAGGAGGAGGGAGACTGGGAGCGCATCTGAGTGAGCTTGGCCACACTGGCACGTTCTTGGGCCAACTCTGTCTGCAGAAAAGAGAAGGAAGCAGGTGAGAATAGGGCCAGACAACCGATGTTTCGAGCACCTTTTCCAAGAGTCGGGTACAGTAAGAGAAGGAAAGCAGGAGAACCGACTTTGCCTGCGAGCGGTCGACACGAGAGTCTCGAGACAGGAGTTGAGAAGACCAAGCAAAGGAACAAAAGTCATGGCTGCTGGTATCACTCACTTTGAGCTTCTCATTCTGTCTCTGGAGGATGGCAACCGCGCCCACACAGCCATAGACAGGGTCCACGATTCTGCAAACACCATGGAACAAAAGTCAGGTAAAGCCTTGGTAAGGAAAGCGTCCCCCCAGAACAAGCCAAAGAGCGCAGCTCAGACACTCTTCTGCCCAACTCCTTTTTAATTTCTGATGTCCTGAGAGAAAGAAGGGTGTTCTTGGCTCGAATTCCCGGTGCTTGTTTCTCACCTTGCTTGCGCCTCATATGCCAGGCTCTGCAGTGCGTCCCCTCGCAGGTCCTTGGGAAGACCTGACAACAGTTTGATGATGTTGGCCGCACCATAGCACCTGCAAGAAAGCATCATCAATTTTCTCTCAAAATTCCAGAGTGAGATGCACATTTGGGTTCTTTTCGGTTTAGTCTTGCAGCCAGGCAGAATGTCACGACGCTCATCATTTGCTGTGGGCCAAGCTGCCTTTTCATAGACGCATCAACACATTGAACTTTCTTGATCACTTTGTTTACCCGCACAAGAAGCCCGGGGACGAGGACACGTTATGACTTGGAGATGGAACCATCTACTCACGAGCAGTTCTCAAACCTCAAGTAGCTCTAAGAGACAGAATTAAGCTCAAAGCTTTCAAGCTCGTACAAGAGACCCAAATCCAAGAAGCAAGTTGACAAGACAAGGCATGATAGGGACGGACGCATGCACACAGACAGCAAGAAGTGGCCAGGGCACTCGCCAGACGCAAGAAGGAACGTGCACCCATTCACACCCACCTGTGCAGGCTCTGGAACTTCTCCTTCTCGGACTGCGGGAAGTGTGGTGCAAATAGGCACTCGTCCGTGCACTTCCTCCGCAAGAACTTGCACGCGGCGCAGGGAGAGCGCGCCTCCTGCTGTCCGGAAGTGGTCGGCTGAGGCCCCTGGCTCCCCCCGTCCTTATCTGACGACGTCATCCTGCCACCGCTGAGGGTATCCAGATTATCGCAAGAAAGCCCGAAGGCGGGAAACAATCCTATTGAGCTCCTCTTTTGCATCCCGTGACGTTTTGGCGGCTGGTTTGCTTTGCATCTGAGCTTGTCCAGCGGCTGTCTTTCCAGAAAGAATGCTCCGCTTCTTGCTCTGTATCACAATGGAGGGGAAAGTTGGAGCTGGGAGTGGGTCCAATCGAAGCTTTTGTACTTCTATGCAAGCTTGCCAGGTCCGTGTCAGGTTGCTCCACCAGCTGCCACCCATCTGGAAAACGCTTTGCCCAGGCCTCATAAGATCAGCCAGCTACTCCTACCTATGTGATAGCATGCGTTGGGTTGCCGACGTATAGCTGACAAGATTCAAACAAACGTCACGTGAACTTTGCTCCCCAGCTCAAGACTCAAGAGCCCGGTGTCGTGTGACCTCCTGACCACTTGCTTCGGTTGGGCCGTTTTTCGGTTTCTTCCGAAGGTGAAACGCTCCCTGTCAGAAGCTTCCCACGGAGCCCTGGACCAAGCAGTGGGCCAGAGTCTTCTCCCAAAGCGTAACGCACGTTGTCTGCAGGGCCGCTGCAGGAGCTGCGTTGCCATTTCCAATGAATATCTTCAACCGACCGCTCATATGCTGTTACTTTAGAAATGTATCTTCTCGCGATTCACAAGAGCAGGCAATACGATTCCTTCGTCAGCAACGCTCATGATGATGTGGACACCCTGAAGATTGACCGGTGTCCAATGCACAGCCGAGATCCGAAGATACGAACCAAGCTCTCGCCATCAAGTACAGTGAAGTGCGTCATAGAAGAAGTGCGTCATCTTCCTTCTTTATTACACTTTATACACCCACGTGGTCTTCTCAGCCAATGGAGAGCCATTCTGAAGCTTCAGGACGTCCTCTCGCCGATTGTATCTCTTGCGAGATCTGCTTCTGCGGTTCCCTTCGATTGCCTTCTGCGATCTCGGCCCACACCGTGTCTGGCCTTCTTGACTATTAATGGCAGACGGATCTAATGATGAGGAGTGCATCCCTCTGCCAGTGCTGGGGCCTGGAAGGAATCTGATGGATGCATCATGGGCCCTGGCAATGGCAGAGTCATAGGACCTACATGATTGGGTTAGCGGGCACTTGCTAAAATGGTTAGCATGCAACCAGCAGGGAGCTTTTATCAGTTACCTACCTGTACAGTAATAGTGTTGCCTTGTCTCTTGACACCACATTCGCCAAAGCCAAAAATCACTCATCTACCAATTCAGCAACACAGCTGGCAGCATGCGGAGCTTGGTTTCGAAGGTTCCGGTGAAGAAACTGGGTTAAGCCTTTAAGCAGACCTAGTGGCGGGTTCCAGCTGGCGGGAACCCTCTCTTCTGACTAGCTTTTCAAGCTATTGAAGCGCTGTCAGCTGGCATCAGCCACGCAGCGTCAGCTTTCTACTAATAGGACAAGCGCAAGCGGCCTTTAGTTTCATGCGTTTGAGTCCTTGCAACCACTTGGGGCAGTGTGACAGCGCGCTCACCCTACCTAATAGTAGTCAGTGTAGGTCGACTAGGTACATACGGTACTCTTAGTCGTTACTGGCACAGCGAACATCCTAACTCCTGAATTGCGTCAGAGGCTGCAGCAGGTACAAGTAGCCCTGCAGGCTTCTTTGAGTGACGTTTGCGTTAGGGACGCGCGTCATGATGTTGGCAGCTCTTAGCAGCAGCAGGCTGCTCCACTGCTTGCATGATGAGACCCAACAAGTATCGGGGTAAGCTGGGCACTAGCTGGAAGGATTGGTACCGTATCACTGAATGGTTCTCGCCGCTCGGTAAAAAGCAAGGCACTACTACTAATACTGTAGTGGAAGCAGTAGGTATACCGCCCGTATACCGTAGGTACCCGCGTTCAATAGGTGATGATTGATCTAGTACGAACCGTCGCCGTCGGTGCGAAAGAAGCTAAAGTCGGCAATCAGCAGTTACGACGCACGTGTAACACCTCAGTATGCGTACGGACTGGCTAAACTGGGAATCAAAGCAGTAAATTGTGCTCTCTGAATGCTCCCGCCTTGCGCAGGAGCCCCACCAGGGCTGCGCGCGTATAAGATAGCGACACGTGGCATGCAGACATTTGCCGCTGCAGGACAGGTGGCGCGCTAAGCCGCGGCGCGAAGTAAATTTGGTTCAATAAGTTGTGCAGGGAGTCCGCAGTTCAGGGTTTAGCGCGTGGAACCTTCCGGAACCCCGTGCTTATTGCGGAAGGCCGCACGATGACTTTAGAGTAGCTCAAGACCGTAGATCGGCGGAGTCTAACCGACCGTTGGAAATTAGAAGACAAAAGGCCTCGCGGAGAAGACTCTAGTACTCCGCACTAAGTTACGTGACTGGGCAAAGGAACTCAATACCTCATTGAGAACTTGCGCTAAGATTGCTTGGTTTATTGTGCAGGTTCTCCACGGGGCCTCCTTCCGGAAGCTTCTACGAGTTCCAGCGACCCAGTCATACTGTAAATAGAGGCTCTGTCGACTTAGGGAAGGCCGCGCTACACTTCGGCCAAGTTTGATAGAAGTTGGAAGATTTGCAGAACTTCACTTCATTCCTTGAGTTTCCAGAATTCTTAGCTTTGCAGGGTAGGCGCAGAGGCGCTAAGAGGAGCAGGAACAAGGGATCCGCAGCTGCACAGCCCAAGGGGTTCGCGCGCTGCGTAGCAACAAACACCCTGTGTGGCTTTAAGGCAGGACGCCTTGTTATTCCCAAAAGTATTGTCTCCGCAATCGCATGAGTGTTGTGTGTTGGCCATCATCATGTATGGCTCCGCAAGCATGAATGCTCATGGCCATTGTTGGGGAAGTACCCACATGGTGGAATAGCGAGTCGAGACGTTGCTCCCCGAGAAGTACAAAGTGTTATGTGCATTGTGTGAATGAATGTGTGACTTGTTGACAGGTGAAAGCTTCGCATATGTAATTGCAGCCTACAAGCTGCTAAAAGCAAGTGGCATGGGACACTTGTGCATTTGCTGAGAGCTACTACGTTCCGGAGAGCTGTGGCCTGATAGGCTCGCTACGCTAAGACAAATTCCGCTGCGCAGGCGACTATCGCGGCAGAGCGCGCAGGCCTTAAGCTGGCCGCGCCGCCCCGCGCGCATGATAGTGCGCCGCAACTCCGATCACCCTTGCCACGTGGCGCTGAACCCCGAGAGTGGGCAGTGGCCATAGGGGGGTGCTCTCTGGTATCAGAGGGATCTTGCAGGTCCTTGTGGAAGAGAAATTGTTGAAAAGGTGCTCCCTCTCTCTCCGAGCTTTGACACAAGCTGCGGAGAAGGCTGAGACCTTCACTAAAAGAATTGCAGGAAAGTCGCAGCTGAGAGCGCGACAATTGAAGACTGACCATCGGTGTCAGGGTAATTTCGATCAGGAAAGACTTGTTGAAAGTCTCCGAGAGGGAACTCTCCCCGAAAGAGAGACAGG